TTAATTTTTGTAGGTCCTAAATTTTAAAAATCTTAAATTTTATAGGTTCCAAATTTTAAAGATCTTGCTTTTGAAGATCTACGATTTTTAAGGTCTTAAATTTTAAGGATCCTAAATTTTATAGGTCTTATATTTTACAAATCTTTGATTTTTAGGGTCACAATAAATTTCAAATATCTTAAATTTTACTGGTCCCAAATTTTAAAGATCTTAAATTTTATTAATCTCAAATTTTAAAGATTTAAAATTTTTTTTAATTCTTATTTTTAAGGTAGTAAATTTTAAAGATTTTAAATTTGAAAACTATAAAATTAAATTAAAACATTTTAGAAAATAGAAAATTCTTCGTGGCTTCAAAAAAGTATAGCTTTTACATAATTTTTGTAGACAATGTATAGGTTCAATTAAAATTAGCTCAAGAAAATAATTCGAAATTTACCAAAAAATAATAATAAAATAAGAAGACGTACACTTGACCGTAGCAGTCACAAATTTCAAAATTTGAAAAATATATCTCCATGTGCTTGTGTCTAATAATACAGTTATATATACGCATATAAAAAAAAATAATGCCTTATTTTGAAATATAGAATAGAAAATATACACATAATGCATTTTATATTTCTTCACCTGCAGACAAAAGGTTGAAGGGAATTTAAAAAAATTGAAATGCCTTTTTGTAGATGTGGCGGGGAGAAAAAACAGAAATGGACTGAGCGGAAAAGGTAAAAAAGAGGAAATGGAAAATTAAAATGCGGAAAGGGAGCGAGGGGAGAGAAAGAGAGAAATTAGTGTGAAAAAGGAAACGATGGGCAACAGGAATTAAATGGAAGTAAAAGCCTATAAGATAATGAGAAAATTGGAAGAAATCGAGGAAACCGTAAAATGCTGTTATGGTAGGAAAAAATTTTTTTTAATTTCAAAGGAAACTGATATATCCTAATATAAATAATAACGGAAAAAGAATAAATAAAATTATAAATTATTCTAAATCAGTTGATAATATAATATATAATAATAATATAATAAAATTTTTAAATATTATATTATATTATATTATATTATATTATATTATATTATATTATATTATATTATATTATATTATATTATATTATAATAAAAAATTCTAGAAATACATCGTATTTTAAATTTTCATAATATTTATTTGAAACACAGCCTTGAAGTTGTCGAAAATAATGAACGCGTGTATTTTATTTGTAATAAATTAGATAAACTGCGTCCCTGGCTATGCCGCGTATTTTGTATTCAAACCAAAATTATTTACTTTATACTTTAAAAAAAACAAAAAACAAGAAATATATTGTCATTTTTTCTCTTTTTTAAAATAACAATTTCTTTTTTAAATAAATATATTTACTAATAATAAAGCTCTAATTTTATTGAACAAAATAATTTTAAAATAAAAAGTGTGATAAAAAAGAGAAACATTAAAATATTTCAAAATTAGAAAAAAAAAACGGATGTAGAATGTTTGGAAGAAAAAACAAAAATAGGGTTAAAATAACAGAAAAAAGGGGTCAAATAATGAAAATAAGGGTTAAAACAAACAAAATAGGGGTAAAGTGATAAATACAAGGAGTAAAATACCCGAAAAATGTTAATAACGCACATAAAATAGTAGAAGTGTCAAAATAAGCAAAATAGGGGTAAAATTACTAAAATAGGGGTAAAATTATCAAAATAGGGGTAAAAATGGCAAAATAGGGGTAAAATTACCAAAATAAGGGTAAAATAACGTGAAAAGGGTAAAAAAGAAAAATGAAGGGTAAAATGCAATAATATATATGGACACGGATGGTAAATAGAGGGGAAAAAGAGGCATTGAAATAAAGAAAGCCAAAACATGTAAATTTCTAATATAACAATTTATACAATTTATAATGGAGAAAATAAATGTTCTAATTCGTCGAAATTAGTTAATTATAAATTAATTAATTAGTCAAGATTTCAATTAAAGCCTACAATCTAATAATTTATATTGCCGCATAAAACACCGACGAAAAAAGAAAAAAAAAGAAGAAGAAGAACCACATGAATATGCGCGTGAGGACTTTGAAATTATAACAAGTGCCTAACGCTCGTATAATATAGATGAGCAAGAGCGTGAATTACCTCACGAAAGAAATTTCGCTTGGTTGCACATCACCGCGTTGCGCCAAAGTGTGAATCCGGCTTTACAAATTCGTGTCTGCTTTAATTTTTTTTTTTTTTTTTTCATTATTATAATATATAATACACGCGCTGCACTATATGGTACGCCTTTTATATCTAACATCAAACATATATAGATGTATCTATATGTATATATATATATATGTGCAAGTACCATCGCATTTTCAAGTGCAGAAATCTTAATGTTACTTTGCTTTAATTATTTCTTAATTGACTCTCTTACCCATGATACATTAAAAACCAGTTTCCACATCGCGACGTTTCCTATAATATATATTTACATTTTTTCCTCATATTTATAATTGACGAATGTAATGAAAATTTAATAACAAATTACCACCTAAAGGTATTAAATTTATAATTTTTTAGTTTCTAGTTTATAATTGAAAGTATTTTTCAAGAAATATTTATTTATAATAGTTATTATATATAATAGATATTAAATATAATAGATATTATATTTTAAAACTCTTAAATTTTACAGGTCCCAAATTTTAAACATCTTCGATTTTTAAGGTCCTATAGATTTTCATGATTTAAGACTTTAATCTTTAATGTTGCAGGCCCAAAATTTTAAAGACCTAAAATTTTGGAGGTCCTACATTTTAAACATCTTTGATTTTTAAGGTACCAAATTTTAAGGATCTAAACTTTTGAAGGTTCTACATTTTAAAGATCTTAATTTTATATAGGTTTAAAACTTTAAAGATCTTTTATTTTTAAGGACCTAAATTTTAAAGATTCTAAATTTTGAAGGTCCTACATTTTTAAGATCTTAAATTTTAAACGTCATACATTTTGAAGATTTTAGAATTTATACTTCCTAGATTTAAAAGATATTAAATTTTAAAGGTTTCAAATTTTAAAAATCTTAAATTTTATACGTCCAATATTTTAAAGGTATTAATCTTGCTTTCTAAGACCTACGACTTTTTAAGGTATTAAATTTTAAAAATCTTAAATTTTACAGGTTCAAAATTTTAAAGATCTTAAATTTTGAAGATCCTATATATTAAAGATCTTAGATTTCTAAGGTCTTAAATTAAAAAATATCTTAAACTTTATAGGTCTTAAATTTTAAAAATCTTAAAACTTATAGGTTCCAAATTTTTAAGATCTTAAATTTTGAAGACCTTGCTTTTTAAGATCTGCGATTCTTAAAGGTCTTAAATTTTAAAAATCTTAAATTTTTTAGTTATACCAAATTTTAAAGATCTTGCTTTTTAAGATCTATGACATTTGAGGACTTTAATTTTAAAGATCGATAATTTTAAAGGTCCTAAACTTTGAAGATTTTAATTTTTATAGTCCCAAATTTTAAAGATCTTAAATTTTATAGGTTTTAAATTTTAAAGATCTTAAATTTTGAAGATCCTACATATTAAAGATCTTCGATTTTTAAGGTCTTAAATTAAAGAAATGTCTAAAATTTTATAGGTTCTAAATTTTAAAGATCTTAAATTTTAAAGACTAAAAGAACACCCAGTATATGAGTTTGTACAATATTTTCATTTGCTTCACCTGCTATATCGACTTTTACTCTATATAACGATCGATAAAACAGTGTACAAAAATTGATTTCCTCGAGATCTCAATAGATGGAGTGAATGAGACGAAAAAAATGTAATATGCATTTTCCCCAGATATACATAATATATAATACGAAAATAAACACTGATGTCAGATGTGAAATAATATTTATTATAAAAGAAAAAGAGAGAAGAAAATATTTCGAGTATGATGTCCAGTCACATAGGGAAAAGTCTCACTGATAAAATATATATTCACATAATATACATGACGTGCAACAATTTCACTCAATCCACCTGCGAGTGGGACGTATGCCGCCCCGAAATTCTTAGAAATTAGATCGAAAAAAATTAGAATGAAAATGTTCTTTTAAATTGTTTCTTAAAATATATTGTAATATATAGAATTAATATAATAATATATTATAATATTAAATATAATTATGATATACAATTAATATATATTATATTATATTATTATAATTATATACAACTATATTATTATATTAATATAATATACATATATTATAATAAATAGAATAATAATTTTATAATAAAAAGGCTATTTAAGATTATTTGGTTTCCAATTTTATTTTTAAACTATATATTCTAAAAAGGGGTCTTTTTCCAAGAAGGTCCTAATTTTTAAAAATCTCAAATTATATAGGTCAAAAATCTTAAAGATCTTAAAATTTGTACGTCCTAAACTTTAAAGATCTTCAATTTCGAAGATCCTACATTTTAAAGATCTTCGATTTTTAAGGTCCTGAATTTAAAAGATCTTAAATTTGAAAATAGACTCAAAATTTTAAAGATCCTACATTTTAAAGATCTTTGATTTTTAAGGTCCTGAATTTAAAAGATCTTAAATTTGAAAATAGACTCAAAATTTTAATGATCTTAAATTTGAAAATATATAATTTAAATTTTAATTCGTATATAATATAATATAACATAATATTTGCTTTCTTTAAACCCGTTTTTTAATTACTTTGCAATAAAAAATTAAAAAATCACATTTAGGCCTTTTTTATTACAAAATAACAATTTAGTATAGCATATATAGGTAATATAAAATAATTTAATATCAAATATATAATTCATAATGTAAATAAATATATTAATTCAGTACGTATTGTGTGCCTATACAAAAGATTGCTCTCGGCGCGTTGAAAATGTCAGCGCTAAACTGAAATGGAAAAGAGAAAGAGAGAGAACGACGCTACCTAAGTAGAGGGGTTAGAGAAGGACAGTCTAACTTTTGAGATTTCACAGCGATCAGTTCGTTTCTGCATTGCTTCGAGTGTGTTTGACCGTTGAAAATTTTTTATCAACCGCGACAATCAAAAAATGTGCACACAATCGCTACATATACTTAATTATAATAATTATTCTATAAAATTATAAACAAGTGATTATAGTTCAAAAAAAAGTACATACATATAAATATATACCCTTTACCATTTAAAAAAAAACTATTTTTAATATAATCTCAAATCATCAATAGTTTAGAATTAAAATTTAGAATAATTAAAAAAATATAATTAATGTAATAGAAAATAATTATTATAATCAATAGTTGATTATTTTCCATTTAAGTTCATTAATAGATTTATAAGACAGATATCGTCAGTTTATAATGCCGAGGCAACATGAAAAGTTGGAAAAAAAAATAATACTTGCAGATGGTAGGATAGCAAAACGCAAAGTACCGGAACCGTTTAATTCGATATCAAAACCGCGGAACCGAAAACCGTTACTCGCTAGTTTATTTTGTACTTAAAAACACATTTACCGTTACTTTTAGTCTCAAATCATAAAAATTACCCACTAAAAATATCAATTCATTGGTTTTTGTATGAAAAAAGATTCCCCCTCCCCCACTCCTTAGAATGTTATATATTTGAAATTAAAAAGTACTATACAATGCGATACAATTCAAAATTAATTTTTCTTTTTAAATTTATTAATTATAAAAAAAGTTTTAATATTAATAAACTTAGTATAGTAATAATATAAAATTTATTTCTATTTTTAAAAGGTTTTTCTTTACGGACATCAACAATATATAAATGAGGGTTAATATTTTTGGAGGGAAAAATGAGTAGAATTTCAAAAAAATATTGATGAAGAAAAAAGAGAATAATAGAAGGAGTATGAAAGCAATATACTCACAGTTTACGAAAGCGAGTTGGACGAACAGGGTCTAAGAATATCCACGAGTAGGATCATTGAACCAGACACTTCCACGTGCTGTGAAGACTGAGAAAGTAAACGAGATTCATCGCGTTTACTTGGTGGTGAATTATCGTGAAAGATCTTGATTTTTTTTTACTTGATTTATATACGGAAGGATGTCTGACAAAATGACCACAGACGAAGATCGATATGATATTGATGATTTAGAAATTATAAAAACAATTGGTGAGTTTCGCACCTTTATTATAATTATAATCTTTGTTATTGTTATTATTTTATACTTTTCAAATATTGCGCATTGCCGAGGTCTCGCATTGTCATTATTACTATAATGAAAACCGTTTCTTTTTTTGTCTTGAAATTAAAAAGGATATGAATTATACTTTTACTCGATTTTTATTATAAACAAAGAGATTTCAAAATTAGAAAAAAAAAAAAAAAATATATATATATATATATATATATATATATATATATTATATTTTATTAACCCCACGGATAGTTAAAAAAAGATAAAATAAAAATATTATATTCTACAGTTAATAAGGGATTGTCTATAAACTACGTTACCAATTTTCCATACTTTTTAACCCCCCCCCCCATTTCGATTGCATTAAATGCATTTTTATAATTTTTTGGACCCCCCTTCTTGAATTGGTAACGTAGTTTGTAGATGGCCCCTAATGGATTTAAAATTTTCCAAATTTTCTAAAAAGAATCTTTTTAAATTCGCGCTTTTTACTGTCACCTGTTGGCTATGTTCATGATTTTAAATATAAATATTGATTATAAATCTATAAATATATACACTTATTGTTGGCATAATTTCATTGACATAATCAATTTATAATATTTTCCAAATTTTCTAAAAAGAACCTTTTATATTCGCTTTTCACTGTCACTTGTTGGTTATGTCCATGGTTTTTAACAGAAATATTGATTATAAATCGAAAATATATACTTATTGTTGGCATAATTTCATTGACATAATCAATTTATATTTTTTTCCAAATTTTCTAAAAAGAACCTTTTATATTTATTTACTTTAAATTTTTTATTTAAATTTATAATATTTTCCAAAAAGTACCTTTTATATTCACTTTTCACTGTCACTTGTTGGTTATGTTCATGATTTTTAACAGAAATATTGATTATAAATCGAAAATATATACTTATTGTTGTCATAATTTCATTGACATAATCAATTTATAATATTTTCCAAATTTTCTAAAAAGAACCTTTTTTATATACTTTAACTCTTTCATTTAAATTTATTATATTTTCCAAATTTTCTAAAAAGAACCTTTTATATATTTATTTACTTTAAATTTTTTATTTAAATTTATAATATTTTCCGAATTACGTAAAAAGAACCTATCTTATATTCGCTTTTCACTGTCACTTGTTGGTTATGTCTATGGTTTTTAATCGAAATACTGGTTATAAATCGAAAATATACACTTATTGTTGGCATAATTTCATTGACATAATCAATTTATAATATTTTCCAAATTTTCTAAAAAGAACCTTTCATATAATTATATACTTTAATTCTTTCATTTAAAACAATATTTTCCAAATTTTCTAAAAAGAACCTTTTATATTCGCTTTTCACTGTCACTATTGTTGGTTATGTCCATGAGTTTTAATAGAAATACTGATTATAATAATCGAAAATATACACTTGTTGGCATAATTTCTTCGGCATAATCAATTTATAATATTTTCCAAATTTTCTAAAAAGAACCTTTTTGTTCACTGTCACTTATTGTTGAAAGTCCCGCGATGTGCCTGAAAAAAAAGCAAAAACAGATTTAACATGTTTATTTTTAATGATATGCGTTTAATTTCCTTTTTTACCGTCCCTTCATTATAGCTGTCCTCTTTCACTGAAATTTATCATATTTTCCAAATTTTCTAAAAAGATCCTTTATATTCGCGCTTTTCACTGTCACTTGTTTATGTCCATGTTTTTTAATTTTTTATATAGAAATACTGATTATAAATAAAAAATACACACTTTTTAGTCACTTCTTCATTGACTCTTGACAACTTTCATTTATATTATTTTCCAAATTTTATAAAAAGATCCTTTTTGTTCACTTTTCACTGGCACTTATTGTTAAAAGTCCCACGATGAACCTGAAAAAAAGCAAAAACAGTTAAACATGATTTTTATTTTTAAAGATCCGTTGATTTTCCTTTTTTACCGTCATCCCTTCATATAGTAGCTGCCTTCTATGATTCACCTGTAAACCAAAAAAAAACATGACACGTTAAATTTAAAAATAAAAACAATACCTATAGATTTGAAATCAGTTTGATCCGTTTTCCACGACACTTTGGAGAAAAGTGTTATTTCTCTGCCATCACGATCTCTTCTTGTTGAAACTCCTGCTGTACATCTGAAAAAAAAACAAAACAAATTTGTAATTAGGTTCCTTACTGAACTTATTTTCCCTTGAGAAAATAATTATTCCCTCAAGTGAATTATTTTCTAAATAATAATAATTCTTTTCTAAATAATTGCATATTAACAAACTTCGTCTATACATATTTGTTTTTATTTACAAAAATAATTATTTCACCCGGAAAAGTTGCTAATTTTGGTTGAGTGATAGAATAATGTTTTCAATTTTCAGTAAGTTTCAATCCAAGGTCTCTATTTTTAGTACGAAGGATGATGCGTTTATTAGAAAATCTTTGCACCTGTTACCAAGTGCGTCATTTATAAACTTTAGGGCTACTGCGCCTGCTTTCTGGATTATTTCCAAATTAAACATTTGTTCGACTCACAGACTTCCGTCCCAAAAGTGCTCTCTGAATCTTTTGATTTATTACTAAACATTTGATTTATGATTTTCCTCAGCGAGAAAATTTCCCCTCTCCATTATATATATAGATGATACAAAGGGGATTTTCACCAGTAAATAGAACAAAATGAATAATTTTATCACCTCGAGATTTTATGACATTAGAGAATTATTCAAAATTGACAATAACTGTCAGTCGTAACGTCAATCACTTTTTTTTCGACTGAACAATTTTATATAGATCCTAAGAATGAATAAAAATGTTCATCTCGAAGAAATACAAATTTTTTTTTGTCTAAATCTAAATTGTTGTTCTTAAAGGGAAATAATTTACGATTATTGTTTTTTTTTGTAAATAAAAGAAAAGGGTACAATTTGCTTTCGTTTGATATTATTATTGTGAAAGTAAAGGTGGCACAATAGTGACCGCCTTATCCAGAAGGTGAAATGGGAGCGGCGAACGAAATAAGCAAGTGGGCCACTGGAGAGTAAGGGGGCAATGAGATTTATATTTAAACTTCAAGTGAAGTCTGCACTCGAACTCGAAAATTCACAGTTAGTAGTATTACGATGAAGACTGTAAAAGCAAAAACTTCCGTATTTTTTCCCCTCTTAATTGATGATTTAAATCGCACACATTGCCTTTTGGATTAATGTCTAAGCAACAAAATCATGCTTTTCTATCCTTGAATGATATTTAATCTACATTTGACCCTATAAATCATGATGAATTTTCAAATTCAAATGCACCAAAATGATTATATTATCGCGATCACACACACACACATTCTCATCATTTTACTTCTATTGACTACACGCTTATTTTTAGAAGCACGAAATGTTTTGAAAGCCATTCACAAACATGATATACACGTCTATAAATGCGAGGGAAACATTTATTTACTACTATTTTTAGATTTTTACATAATATTCCTATTTTTTGAATAATTAGGTACAATTAAATAACTTTGATAAATAGAATTTTTATTACTAATTTTATTATTAATTTTATTTTTATTTTCACTGTATTCTAGGTACCGGGACATTTGGAAGAGTAATTTTGTGCAGACATCAGGGTATTCCTATGGCTTTGAAGATCCTTTCGATGGTGGATGTGATTCGATTGAAACAGGTCGATCATGTTCGAAACGAAATAAATATTTTGAAAGAAGTAAAACATCCCTTTATCGTGAATATGTAAGTTTGGTTATTAACATTTCCTATTTTTTACCCTAATTTTCTCTGTTTTTTCTTGAATTATATGGCTTTAAAAATATTTTAGGTTATGGAGCGGTAAGGACGAGGCTAGAATATACATGTTATTGGAATTTGTTGCTGGTGGTGAACTTTTTTCGTACCTGAGAGCAGCTGGACGTTTCTCCGGAAGGACGAGTTGTTTTTATGCTGCCGAAATAATTTGCGCTTTAGATTATCTACATAGTAAACATATTGTCTATAGGGACTTAAAACCGGAAAATCTACTCCTAGACATTCAGGGTCATTTGAAAATTACGGATTTTGGATTTTCAAAGAAACTTACAGACAGGTGGGTATATTACTATGTAGCCTTAAAAGCTCTCTTTCCAATGAGGGGAGAAATAAGTCTTCAGGGTTCTAAAATTGCTATAATTTTTATGAATTTAGGTTTGAAAGCTTCTGTGCATGTTTATCGTTTTCTATATTCATTTAAATTATTAATATTTTCCGAATTTTCTAAAAAGATCCTTTTATTTTCGCTGTTCACTGTTACTTGTTGGTTATGTCCATGAGTTTTAATAGAAATACTGATTATAAATCAGTTTATAATATTTTCCAAATTTTCTAAAAAGAACCTTTTATATTCGCTTTTTACTGACGAAAACAGCCTTTGTCACTTTCTTATTAACTTTAACTCCTTAATTAAATTTATAATATTTTCCAAATTTTCTAAAAAGATCCTTTATATTCGCACTTTTCACTGTCACTTGTTGGTTATATCCATGATTTTTAATAGAAATACTGATCGACAGTACTTATTGACATAATCAATTTATAATATTTTCCAAATTTTCTAAAAAGATCCTTTTATATATTCACTGTCACTTGTTGCTTATGTCCATGATTTTTAGTATAGAAATACTGATTATAAATCGAAAATATGCACTTTATAGACACTTGTTCATTGATTTTAACTCTTTCACTTAAATTTATAATATTTTCCAAATTTTCTAAAAAGATCCTTTACATTCGCGCTTTTCACTGTCACTTGTTTATGTTTATGATTTTTAATTTTTAATATAGAAATACTGATTATAGTTAAAAAATAAACACTATTTAGTCACTTCTTCATTGACTTTAACTCTTTTACTTAAATTTATAATATTTTCCAAATTTTCTAAAAAGAACCTTTTATATTCTGTCACTTGTCGGTTATGTCCATGATTGCAATAGAAATACTGATGGTAAATCAAAATATACTTTTTGTCACTTTTTCGTTGACCTCTAACTCTTTCACTTCAGTGAATGTATATTTTTTAAATTTTCTAAAAAGAATCATTTGTTGTTGAAAGTCCCAAATAACATCATCTCTGAAAAAACAAAAATAGAAAATATTAATTAATTAAGAAATATACGTCGATTAATAGTTATTAAATATATGGCGATTTATTAAGAAAATAATTAGGTATAAAAATAAAATTTTTTAATACAAACCATGTACATGTATTTTTAAGGACGTGGACACTTTGTGGTACACCGGAATACTTGGCACCTGAAATAATTCAAAGTAAGGGTCACAATAAGGCTGTGGATTGGTGGGCATTGGGGGTATTAATTTACGAAATGTTAGCCGGTTTTCCTCCATTCTACGATGATAATCCTTTTGGTATTTACGAGAAGATTCTGAGCGGAAGGATCGAATGGCCAAAGCACATGGATCCAATTGTCAAAGACTTAGTGAAAAAATTATTAGTTACCGACAGAACAAAGAGACTTGGAAACATGAGGCAAGGTGCTGAGGATGTCAAGAGGCATCGATGGTTTAAACTCGTCGACTGGACGCAGGTTATTATAGTTAAATTAAGCCTTAAAAACTTAATTTTTTAAAATTAAGCCTTAAAAACTTAATTTATTCTTAAAAAGGAATTAATAATATTATTCTCTTATTTAAAATATTTTTCTATTAATTTCAGGTACCACAAAGAGCACTTACCCCTCCAATTTGTCCAAGATTGAAAGCACCCGAGGATCCAAGTTGTTTTGACGATTATCCGGAAATTGATTGGCGCTCCCAACCTCCACCACCTCCGGATCAATTGGTTCTGTTTCAAGATTTTTGACCCACAATAAGTGACTATCATAAATGTTCAAAACATTTCAATCCTGCCATCTTTGCCTAGAAGCAAAAAAATCATCTCTTGTCTCGTGATATTACACACAGTATCTCATATATAACTTATTGTCAGTAAGGAGACTATATTTACGAAAAATCGTGCTTCCATAAGAAAAGAAATATTTTTTATAATATGGAACAATTATTTTTCTTCTCACCTATTGTCAATTGAATACTATAGACTCAATTGTATATTTGGAGACAGAAAAATTAATATACTCGAGAGAGGTTAGAAAACTCGAGGCTTTTTGTCGCTTTTTTTTTAAAAATAGAGAAAAAAGTGCAAATAGGATTAAGGCTGTGATTTCAAAAATCTTGTTTGTATGTGTCTATATGTGTATAAGTGAAAAATTTTGGATTTAGAAAATATAAATAGTACTGTTATTTCTGTATATTAAAAAAATTTACGACGACACTTTGAAAATATCTAAGTAATAGCAAAGACTTACATATATAAAAATGTTTATAGCTTAAAATAATTTAGTCATTATATTGTAAATGATATTTATAAAACTATAATATTTGTTATTTAGTTTTATGACCGACTTTGTTCAAGAAATCTTAATTTATTTATATATTTTCTAACACTAAAGTGCCAGTAAATTTTTGGTTTTGAAAATTATCAAAATAAATTTTTCCCAAAACATGAACATGTGAACATTTTTATTAAAATCCTAAATTCTTATTGCGAAATATAAATATAATATATATAAATATAATAATATATATATATATATATTATATAAATATAGTATATAAATATTATTTAATGGGCCTAAATAACATTTTGTCAATGGAGAGATAGAAAAGGATGGAAATATATTTGTGTCCTTCTCTAGGTTTTTATTTTTCAAAGGTTGGCAATCGTTCTTGGAAATATCTTGAGAAATTTCTCGGAAACAAAGGAAAACATTCTTCATTTTCATCTGGAACGCTCCACCAATCAGAATTACTCTTTAATATCATGTTTCAGTAATTTCCCGCTGGCGCTTCAGTCGCACTAAATTCCCACCTGAGTCGACCAACTATCCACCTCTCGTTATACCTTGTTCTTTCATTTCAATTTTGGCGTGCATTCTGTTCCCGAGGCGGTGGTAGTAACAAGTGATACGAAAACGGTTACTAATGCCGCCATTGCGGAACTTTGTCAACCACGTTTTCAACGCTTCTCTAAATTCTATGTAAGTACACAATTTATTTGCCATTTAATCAAACAATTTTATTTTTAACTTCATTCGAAATATTTATTATATGCTTTTATTGACTAGTTTTCTCTAAATATATCGTAATATCATATTTAAATAATTCATTTTCACTTTTATGTACTACGTACTTTTCTTTTTCTTTTCACCATGTACATTAGAAAAATTTATATTTTAAAATAATTGTGAATTATTTAATTTCTTTGTATTACATTAATCGAAAATTTCGATTGATAATTAATTTCAATTTTTTTTAGAAAGTATATTATACTGTTTGTGAAAAGGCTTAAAAATTTTGACGTTCACAATGCTAATGCTTCTGTCTAATTCCGTTCAATTTAATATTCGAGTTCGATGAACAGTATTTTGTAGTTGCTTTAAATTGAATAATTTTTTTTAAATTACACTATATAATATACTATAGTAAATTATATTTTATATATTATTTTTTATTATAATTTACTTTATTTTATTATATTCTAATATATTTCACTATATTATATATTATTATTTATAATTATATTATATATTTATATATATTGATTGAACTACAATGTATTATGCATACTTTATAAAACTAATGTCATATAAACTCTAAATATTTCTTTTCTTTTCAGTGAATAGCCAGAATCCAAACCTGGTACAGAAGCGTCTGATGTTCACCAATTTTTTAAAAATATTGTGACTCAGGTATTCATTTAAAAATGAAAACGTAAATAACTACCAACAAAAACATTTTTAGTTAATTAAAATTATTATTTGAATCGTGAATTTCGAAAAGGACTGTACTCTGAAAAGTGTAAGGGCGATTTTCATATAACAATCGTTAGTGAAAATGACCCTTCCAGCTTTAAGAGTAAAGTCCTTCCTTCTAAATTCAAGACTCAAATATTACAATTATTCGTTCCGTATAATTATTATAATAATTCAATAGAATACCGATTCATTATTATATATAATTGATTCATTTTTATATTTAATTATCATTATAATTATTCCTTCGGAATAATTGTTGATTTTTACTATACTATTAATTACAATCTCTTTGTAACATTTTCCAAACACTTTATTATGAATATGTTTACTCTAATTAAAATAAATTAATAATTATAAACTCATAATTAATTATAAATAATTCATATTTCTCAATGTGGAGAAAAAAATCAATTTTCCTTGTGAAGATACATACAAAATGTATATCACTGATACAATAATTTTTAAAACATTTTCCAAATTTTCTAAAAAAAACTTTTTTTTCATTTGTAATTGTTAATATTTCACTTTACTATTTTTAAAAGCACTTATTAATTTTTGTGCCGCACCGAACACTTTACTCTTGAAGTTGAAATAAAAATTCACTATAATACTTTAAAATTGCAAAAAAAATTAATGTGGAGAAAGTTTTTGGTGCTTTTATTCACTATAAAAAAAATCATTTTACAATTTATTTGTAACATTTTCCAACACAGTCATTAACAAATCCGTTCATTTATATTATATATTATTGGATAATAGTTTCATAAATTCATAATCTAAAGCAGTAAATTATTTTTTACTACTAATCCTTTTATAACGTTTTCCATGTTTTCAAGAAATAAAATCTTTTTCTTATATTTTTCATCGAATTCATAATTTTGGATAAAATTCCATGTAACTATTTTGTTAGGTTACAATCAGATTCGTTTGATTTGTAATTTAATATGTTCACTTTCACGCAGTATTTTCAAAAGAGAAATATACTAATGCTTTTTACATCAAAAATTTGATATTTGTTACGTCCAGTTTAAGCAAGCCTTTTTTGACTCAAACATTTTCATATATTACTCATTTTTTTCAAAACGATATCACTTATTTATACGAAGTTTCTTTTCGAGACATTTCATTCTGTAAAAAATATTTTTTTACTAATTAATACTTCAGTTTCATATCTTTATGTATTATTCATAAAAAATTTATTATATGCAATGAAATACACGTGACTGTTATTATTGCTATCGTATCATAATTGTAATATACTAAACCTTACGCCAAATTCTGAGTCCTGGTATTTTGAAGTCACAAAATTATCTCTGGAATTTTTAAAAAAGATGCGTCGACTGTAGCAAGGGTTCTGATCAGATTTTAAAATTGAAGAAAACGGATTATTCTTACCTTCCTTTGAACAGAACTGTAGAAGACACCTTGCAACACCTCAGTGGTAAGAATATTTTAAAACAGAAATTTTGCTAGAAAAATTAAAATTATAATTAACAAAAAATAATATAATTCATAAAAATTATAATTCTCAAAAAATATAAAAAATCCTTTTTATAATTTTTGATAAATTTAAATTTATGCACTGAATAATTTTTACATTGAACTAACCACTTTTGTTTCTCTTTTCCAGGAATTAGTGAATAAAGAAAATATTTTCTGAAAAAAATTGAAAAAACTGCAAATTACTTGGGAATCGAGATAAGAACTTGGAGCTAAAATAACAAAGTCCCAACCGATTGTCCGCAGTGGGAAATAAAAAAACACTACAAGAAACCATTGGTGCGAAAATGTCAAAAAAAATTGTTCCGCAATTGAAACAATTGAAACTTCAATTTCAATAAGAAAAATGGAAATAAAAATCGTTTCTATTGAGGTTAGGCGTTCAGTCGTACCTTCTAACGTAAGTTAAAATTCTTCCTAATTTATTTAAGAAATATTCTCGTTACAAAACTAAGAAAAGAATATTTTCTAAACCTTTAAAAGTTAAAAATTTTTTTATATTTAGTAATTAATTTCACTTCTTTTCTGTTTCAGGAAGATTCAAAACTTCGACATGACGAAAAATTCCAGTTCTTCAAATTTGTCGTAAGTTTAAGTTAATTTCAACAAAAATTTTCGTAGAGATTTTGTGAGCTTAAAATACGAACTAAACTGAAGGTACCCTTACTTTTAAAATTTTATTTTATTTAATATTCTTATTTTAAATTTGGTTCAAGGTTATTAAAAATATTTCACAATTATTGTAAAAGTTTTTGAAAATCTCGTTTTAATTTTAAAAGTAAGGTTAGATTATTCATTCACTTTCTGTTAAAGAAAAAAAACTCGTAATAAAACGAATTGTTTTTAATTTTTCTTCTACTGATCTTTAATAAGCTTTTTTTTACTATAGTGATATAAAAAAGACAATTATATTCATGGAAATTAATTCATTAATTCATCCAAATTGTGAGCAATCAGAAATTATAATAATTTTTTGATAGAAAGCAATTTAAAACCGCATTTTCATTTAAGAAAACAAATGTTTTTACTTTTTCTTCTACTGATCATAAATAATGTTTTTTTACTCATTTATAAAGAATTATTGTTCCTTTTTTGTGAATGTTCATCGAAAATAATGTAATTTTATTTTTTGTCAAAACAAAATATTGTATTCGGAAAAAAATTCTCAATACGAGAAAAATATTTCTCTCATTTATACTAAGTTTTTAAAAGTAAAATTATAAATTTTGTAAATAATAATTCGCTTTCATTAATAGTCAGTTTTAAAACTCGTATTGAGAATTTTTTTTTACAGAAAGTTTTGTAATCTACGAAATTGAAATTACGATTTTCAATTTTTTAACTTTACATTCACGAAAGCAAATGCTTTAACTTTTTCTTCTACTGATCATAAATAATACTTTAACTACTTATTGAAAAATGGCTAATTACTTCATTAACTAACTGTTTAAGAATAAACACAATTTTTGTGATATTAAAAACAATTAATGTAAATTATGTAAATTTGTAAGAATTGTTAATTTTTAGGAAATTTATAATAATGAAATTAGGATTTATATGAAATTAGGTTTATATTTAGTATTATGTAATTCAAGTGAAAAATATTTCATTCATTTTTTTGCAATTCCGACGAGCTTATGTTTTTAATTTTTCTTCTACTGAAGTAAACAAATTTTTTTACTCATTTTTATATCATTTTCTAATTTCTAATTATATAAATTCATTTAATTATTGTAAATTTAAATATTGGTTTTATACACTGTTCATGTAATTCTATTTGAAATACTTCATCCAAATTGTAATTTTGAAAATTTTACCAAATCTGAAAGAAAATAAAAATCACACTTCTTCTTTAACTTACCGAGTTTATTTTCCACTAAAAATTAGTTGTATTTTCCTGTAACTGCAATATTTGTAAATGATTCAATTTTTAAAGACTGATAAAACGAGTTAGGTTTTTTTAGAGGTTATGTTCACTTAATAAATATTAAAATATTTTAATTATAATTTTCGTGTCAATTTCTTTATAAATCTGAGATTTTTATTACATACAGTCTAAGATATTTGAGTATCAATAGAGTTTTATTTAATGAGCTTATGTATTATCACATGAATTGAGGTAAAAAAAGATCTTGAAAGAATATTCAAAAATTATGCTATCGAAAAACCGACAATATCCTCCAGGGAATAGTCGAATAACTTTAAATCAGTTTTGTAGAAATTTGCAAGTTTACGAAGTTGCTTAAAACTTAATGTTGAATAATATTCGTTTAACTTTTCCGATGTTGGTTGATTTTTTGATGATCGTGCCGGAAATCTGTAAAATAATTTTCGTATTTATTATTCTGATTCTGCAATTATTTTTTAAGAGGAAAATTTTACTGTTTGTGTCTCAACTCTTGGAGTGATGCGCACAAACCGAAAAATGTTACAGGCGCATCCGTTTGAAAGCGAGAAGGAAACAAGTATATCTTTATCCTTTTCTATCTTATCTCATTTCGTTTGCAAATTTATTTCAAGATATTTATTTATTTCAAGTTAATTTTTATTTTCTACTTACGTTATTGATTCGGCGCCAATTCTTTCCAAAATTTCCGTTGCGTCCTCAACGAGACTCTCATATTTACTGACAAGATTGTAATTAACTATACATGGATGGCACAAATTGGAAAATGGTTTCCAATGCTCGTTATGACTACCATTTCTCTTAATATCCGTTATAAAGTCGACAAATTCTCGAAATGTCACGTCATCGCCTTTAGTGATTGATTCCTTTGTTGCGTTCGCTCTATATTTCTGTTGACAAAAAAATGCAGATAATTTTTCACAAATAACCTCAAAATTCAAGTCTTTTTAATTTGTTTAAAATGTGGGATTAATGTTGTAAAAACGTAAAAATAACCTCAAAAACAAGGTAAAAACAAAACTTAACCTCAAAATTAAAGTTAATTGAGGTTTGTCTACAATGAAATTATTATTAAATAATAAAACAAAATCTGAATTAAGGTATGAGAACATAACCTTAAAATTTTACCTTTATTATCTTCCTTCCGAATCGTTCTTGAAAATATTTCGAACTCTTCTCGTGTTTTGCTTCGAGTTTATTTCGAAATGCCGACAAAAGTCTCTCGAGTGGATGACGGACGACAATTAATTTATCGTAATTAATTATTTTATTTTCAATTTCTTCTAAAGTGTAATTACTAAGTCTTGGAAATATTCCCATAGCATGAGCTTGATCGGCCGGTATTTCCATTGGATCACTTCCTCCCCATTTTCCCGATATCACCATTAACACACGTTTCCAATTTGTACAAGCGACCTGGAAGTGGAATTTTTATTATTTTTCAAATTTTCAATAATTTTCTTTATTTTTTTATTTATTATTATTTTCTATTAATTTTGTATTTATTGTTATTTTGTATTTATTTTTTCATTTCTTATTATTTTCTATTCATTTTTTTTATTTATTATTATTTACTATTTACTTTTTTATTAACGAAAATATTGTTTTCTATTAAAACAATAAGTTTTCAATTTGAAGAGAAGAAATTAGTTATTATTTTGAATTAGAATTCGTAGAATTACAAATAATGCGCGCGCAACGTGCGAGGAGAGTGGGGGGTGGCGTCATTCCCCCACTCTCCTGCGTCCGGAAAAAACCGCGCAATATTTAAAAAAAAGTATTTCTTTTCTATATTCTCTCACCTTAGGTACATAGCAGTACAAAAGTTTGTGCTTTTCATCGACCAGAATATTGGAGAATTCATTGAGACTCGTGATTTTTCGACGAATTTCAATGTCTGGCAATTCTTCGCAATTATTTTGTAGATTTTCCTGTCTCTCTAGAAGTGATGATCTTGCCAGGGCATTTGGACCGGTCCACGAATAAATTGACGTAATGTCGAAAATTTTTTCATTTTCATTACCGCTGGAATATTTTGTTTCCTTCCATATTTCACCTCTGCTACCAAAATACGACTCTGGAGGAAAATTAAAAATAGTTTTTCATTTTTTAAAAATATTTTTTTCCAATTTTAATATGTTAATATGTTAACGGTTACGGAATACAAGAAGCGGCCCCCCACCAAGTGGGCGTTTACCAGTCAACGCGCAGACCTATTTCTGCGCAGTGTCGAGGGAGGGGGGTCGCTTCTCTTTGACCTAGTTTTTTACGTACGTTATTTTTTATTTTTCTTTTTTAGTTAAAATATTCTCTTTAAATTGTAAAAAGTGTCTGGTTAAGCAATATTGAAGTTAAATAGTTTCTGTAGGGGTGTTCGTTAAAATTATTATTTTTTTTGTAATTTTTTTTTCTACTTAAATTCTATTTAAAGTAAAAGTCACAATTTTACCTCCTTTGACAATGGTCCAAAAAAATTGGAGAATAAAAATCGTAATCCTCGTGACTGTCCATCTTCTCATGGTAATTCCCAGGAAATATGGATTACATTTTCGGCTGTAAGCCTAAAACAAATAAATTAAATAAAAATACAAGAATAAAATAAAAAAAAGTCTAAAGTAACAATAAATGAAATAACAATAAATAAATTATAAACAAACACAAAAAATTTCAAAATAAATAATAAACAATAAATTAAAAAAAAATTAAAAAATAAAATGGAGCCTAAAAAAATGAATGAAATAAAAATACGAAAATAACATCAAAAAATTCTAAAGTAACAATAAATGTAATAACAAATAAGTTATAAAAGAAATACAGAAAATATAAAAATAAATTATAAACAATAAATTAAGTGAAATAAAATGAATACCTAATAAAGTTTAAAAAATAATAAAAAAATAAATAAAAATTTAAAATAACAATAAATTGAAAAAAAAATAAAATAAATTAAAAAAATTAAATTTACAAAATAAAGAATACAGGTAATTTATTAAAATTTATTAAACAATAAATAAACTTAAAAATTCTAAAAATTGAAATAAATAAAAACTTGTTTCAAAATATTAATGCATTTAAAAATAAATATATTTTATTTTATATTTATTTTTAGAATTTGTAAATTTTATTAGATTTCACAATGATGTTTAATGGTAAAAAAATGAACGACTTAGTAATAAAGAAAAAGTATCGCAACTTTACTATAAATTGGAATTGGAACATTAATCGAATCTCAGTAAAGTATATAATCACGAAAGTTATTTCACCAAAAAAAAAAAAAAAAAAAAAAAATACGAAAAAACAAAATTAACTGTTGCGCTGCGCACACAAGTAGGTCGACAGTTACGCGCAATGTAATTCTTTAGCAAGTAACACAGATTCAGTAAAGTCGACCTTTCAAAAATTTTATTTTTAATTATTTGTTTATACTTATTTTTTTCACTTTAATTCTAAATTATTTTTTATTCTACAATTAAAAATATAAAAAAAGAAATTTTTCAAGAATGACATTAATTATTCGTAAACTTCTATTATTCTAAATTTAAAAATTTTTAATCATTGATTGTAAATTATTTATTATTTTAATTCTAAATACCTTAAGTAATTAATAATTTAATTTATGATAATTTTTATTAAAAATAATTAACTAATAAGAGAAAAAAAATTGTCTATAAGTACTCGCATTGCGTTTCAATATAAAGAAAATAATAAGGATCATGATTTTCTCTCCATTGTAACCTTGACCTTTAATTGAAGGTAAATGACAGAGATTTTTTTCTTTTCTATAATTACAATTTTTTTTGCGCTCAAAAAAATTTTAGAATAATTAAACAATTAATTATTTAACATTTGTATTCTACTTTTTTTTACCATTTTTCAAAATTTGCATTTCGTTTTTTAAAATATCATACATCAATTTTTATTTTTTGAAATATATTTATACTTTTGTATAAACTATTAAACTTTTTATTATTATTTTTTAATTATTATAATTATAATAAATAATAATAAATATAAATGACTATTTTCATTACTATTTTTACTATTTTATTATTATTGTTACCACTATTTTTTTTTTTTTATTAATATTTGTAATACTTTTTTTTTATTTAGAAAATTTTATTATTATTATTGTTATTATAATTTTAATTTTTTGTTCTAATTTTATTATATCGTTTTCATTACAATGTTATTATTTATTTATATTATTATTTAAATAGTGAACGAGCTTAAAAACGAAAATGTAGTAAAAATTGTTATTTTATTATTGTAAATTTTCCTATTCATTATATTGTTAATATTAAATTACAGATTATTTATTTAAGTAATAAATTTTTTTTTAAATTTTATTACTATTGTTATTTATTTGAAAAATGATTTCGTTAATAATAACAAATACTATTATTTGCTTTTTGTTAAAACAATTCTTTTTTTGTAATAAAAAATGTCTTCAAATGAAATTTAGTAAATAAATAATTTATTTTTATTTATTCATTTATTTAATTATAGATATTATTGTTAATAATAAATAATTTTTATTTTATTAATTCGTTTATTTATTAATAATAATAATAATAATAATAATAATAATAATAATAAATATTAAAATAAATTATTATATTATTATATTAAATTAAATTAAATAAAAAATATTAATATAAAAAATGGAATAGTAAATAAAATAATAACAACGAAGTAATATTTATAATAATATTTTATTTATTAACATACCTGATGATTTTTCGTAGCGTACCCAAAATTTAATTAAAACACAACACTCTCGTTGGACAAATGAAAAATAAGAACTCTTTGATCATTGTGAAATGAATTTTTATTTTTGGAGCACTAAATTTTTATTCAAAAAGTTATACAAATAGTAAAAAAAGAAAAACCAGTTTTTTGTTTTTTTGACTTTTTTATTCACGTATTTTAAAAAAATTTCAATTCCACATGGTTAAAAGAAAGAGAGAGAGAGAAAGAAAGAGATGAGTTCTTTACATTGAGGAAGATAGACGGGAATTAAAGTCCAAATGGAATCTTTGCTGAATGTACCCTAAAAAGAGAATGGACTGTAGTCTTACTTGTGAATCCGAGCGCTTAAGAAATATACATTAAAGCATCAGTAGGCCACCATCGCATCATCATCATCATCACAAATTATACATAAAATTGAAAAAGAACCAAATAAAGGAGACTCACCTCTTCAATAAATTCTTCGTTCCCCCTCCTCTCTCTCTCTCTTTCCTCTTTCTATATAAACACTACAACCACTTTTTTATGTCACTTCAAATTTTTTTTTTTTTTATTTGAACCAAAAAATATAGTAAAGAATACAAAATTTTTATTTAAAAAAAAACTTTTTTAAATTTGCTTGATGCTTTATTTTTATACATAGTCCACTTGGACTGCGGGAACTGTTTTTGTAAATAAATAAATAAATAAATAAATAAACATAGTTCAAAAAGTTAAAATTATTCCAATTTTTTTTATTTTATAAAATTTAATGAAAATAAAAAAAATTAATTTTATTATAGTTATAGTTGCATGAGGTGAAAAAAGCGTCAAAAAGTATATCAAGGCATTTTTTTTTTAAATTTTTAATAAATTCCCCATAGATTTTAGTGGCTTGCAAATAAATGTTAATTAGAAAATTTGAAAAAAATTAAAATTGAAATTTTAGAAAATAAAAAATAATATCTTTGGTGTAACATTAAAAGAGTAGATTTCACACCGGTGACGAAAGATCCTGCGCCTGCGCCCAGAGTGGGGATAACGAGAGTGAGTGAGAAAGTCTGAAACTTCTCTCTCATTCACATTGCATTGCCCCCACTCCGTTTCACTTTCGGTAGTTAAATACGAGAAATAAATAATTTTAAATTTTACTAAATAATTGAAAAAAAAAAAAAAAAAAAAATTCTGGGAAAATTTAAAATTAAATTTTACTATTATTATTTATACTTTTAATTATTATAGAAATTAAAAACAAGAAAGAAATTTTTTTTAGAAATTAAAAAAAAGAAAAAAAAAATTGTTTTTAGAATTTAAAAAAAAGAAAGAAATTTTTTTTAGAAATTAAAAAAAAGAAAGAAATTGTTTTTAGAAATTAAAAGAAAGAAAGAATTTTTTTTTAAAAAACAAAAAAATGAAAGTTAAAAAATTCCTACTAAATAATTTTTCGTATAAAAATAAACAATCAAATTATCAACAATTTTATAACAATTGTGTAATAAGATATGCAAATGTGTATAAAATAAAAAGCCAAGTACATCGAGACTTTTATCTTTAGTGTTGCAATGCACTTGCACGAAGAATGTTCATTAAAAATATATTTCTCTAATGTGTCATTATTAATATGTCAATTATTACACTCAAAATTCAATCGATAGAATTAATAGTAAATGTATGTTAGTATAAAAATAGAAAAACAAAATTTCTATCGTTAATTGTTTCTCATTTATTTACTTATTTATTTAATTTTTCATTAATTTACTTATTTATTTACTTTTTCGTTAATTTACTTAATAATTTACTCATTTATTTACTTTTTTAATTTACTTAAATATTATTCATGTATTTATTTTTTTATTTTAATCATCATTACTCATGTATTTACTTATTTATTTACTTTTTCATTAATTTACTTATTAATTGACTCATTTATTTACTTATTTATTTACTTTTTTGTTAGTTTACTAATTTATTTACTGTTTTGTTAATTTACTTATTTGTTTACTCATTTATTTACATATTTATTTACTTTTTCGTTAGTTTGCTTATTTATTTTGCAAGAAAGTTTCCATTATTACCTATTTGTTTCGTAATAAGAAGAAAATTTTTTTTTCTGACTTACTTATTAATAAAATTATGTGATTAGTGCCCTACCAAACAATTGAAATAAGAAAACAAATAATGGATAATTTAAATGTCTACATATATAGAGATAATAATTTACAATAAATTATTTATATAAAAATGTGTGTAAAAAAAAATTTTTTTTTTTTTTTTTTTTGTTGAAAAATTCGAATATTTGATTAGTCATTATAATAGTGCTAAAAGAAAATAATCAACTTTTATTTGTGTATGTTAAAATTGACATAAAATTGAGAGATTGTAACAACATTATAACTTGTTGGCAACTTTATATGAAGTCAAGGTCCATGATTTTCCTTTCGTATATTATACAAACACACAAGTTTTTCATTTATTTTATTCTCGCAAAAATATTCTGCATTTTCTTTAAAACGAAAAAAAAAATTTTTTTTTTTTAATTTTCCCAATATTTTACATATTTTTTATTTTTTGTTAACTTTTATCTTTTTAATATTCCTCATCTATTTATAATTAATTTTTTATAGAAGTATAAACAGAATTACAGTTATAATATAATTTAATACTATAATATTTTAATTATAATTTAGTCAAAAAAATTTTGTTTGCATTTCTTTTTTTAAATTTTTTTCATAAATCTAATTTTATATCTATTATAGTTAAAAAAAAAAAGTTTAAAAATGTAGTTAAAAATTCAATTTTAAAAAAAAATATTTTTCTTTTAAACATAGTGCTTTAGATTATAGAAATAATTAAATAGGAATTAATTTGAAGAAAAATACACTTTCAATAATCGGTTATCTCTCGTGGTGCAAAAAAGCCGAAGGGGGGTGCAAAGGGGAGGGGGGATTTTTTACTATAGGAGAAAGTGTATAGACATTGCCTTTGTGGGTATGTAGCATTGAATCGATTCTCAACTTTTTAGTTACTCGTTCGCGTCTCGTCTCGTAACTTTTATATAATAAATACATAAAAAAAATCAGATCTAAATGTTTTTTTACAAACACTGACAGTTCTCGATGGAATAATTTATCTATAATTGTACATATATATTATCATTTTTCTTGGACTTACTATTGTTCTTGTTTTTTATATTTTTAATGTTATTTATTTTTACCATTATTATCATTTTTATTATTATTATTTAAATAAAAGATGTTTTGATTTTTATTATTTTATAGCTTCCAAAAATATTGAATTATTATTATTATTATTATTATTATTATTATTATTATTATTGTTGTTATTTATTTATTTATTTTTTTGAGGGAATGTTATTGTTATCTTGTATATTAATTTAAAAATTAAAAAAAATAAATAAAGATAAAACTATTTTCATTTCTTTCTTTTTTTGCATTCATGACAGTTTAATATATGTTTTAGAGAAATGTTTTTGGGCATTGGAACATGGATAATAATTGGCCTAATTATTCTCTGGGCACTATTGGACGTTTTCAGTCGCGTTGGTCGTGCTCTATTGGAAATTTTCATTCCAATTTTCAATTCAACACCCATTGATCTAAAATCCATGTTTGGAGAATGGGCTGGTATTGTATATACTTAAATAACAAAATTTTTCAAATTAAAATCCTAATCATTATACTTAATAAATAATAATAATAATATTCATACGCAGGTATAATTTTATTATTTGAAAAGAAAATTTATTTCTTTTTACAGAAGCAAAAAAAAAAAAAATTAATTTATTATTGTTGGTGTATTTTTAAAGATTTATTGTTTCTAGTTGAATTTTAATATTCAACGGAATTTTTATAGAGCTCAAACTAGTGATAAATTTTTCCTCAAGTGATAATTTTCTTTTAGTATAAAAGCAAATGAGTTTTTTAGTAACAAGGAAAAAAACTTTTTAAAATTCCAGAATGAATTTTCATTGCGTTTAGTAATCCTTTATTAATTCAATAATTTTTTTTAATAATTGTTTTAATTCCATATTTTGTTATATCAATTTAAAAAATTTGTATTATTATTTATTATTAAAATAAATTTTAAATTATCAAATTATTATTATTAATTATTAATTATTAATTATTAATTATTAATGATCAATTATTATGTATTCGTCTATTTTAGCATTAAATTAAAAGAATTATTTATTTCGATATGAAAAATATCAATTTATTTTTGACTTGGATTTTTATATAATTTTTTATTATTATATTTATTATTTATTTACCTACATATTTTTTTTCATTATTTATTTGTTTTTCATTTACTATTTTTATTAATTTATTTATAATAACATTTTTCATCTTTTTGTTTAATTAATAAATTAATTAATTAACAAAAAGAATGTTTCTTTCAGTCGTAACAGGTTCGACCGATGGAATTGGCAAAGCCTATTCCAAGGAACTTGCCATCAGGGGAATTAATTTGGTTCTCATTTCTCGAACTTTAGAGAAATTAGAAAAAACGAAACAAGAAATGTTAGAAATCAATCCTAAAATTCAAGTAAAAATTATCGCCGTTGATTTCAGTAAAGGAAGGGAAATTTACGAAAAAATTAAGGAGGAATTAAAGGAAATTCCTGTCGGAATTTTAGGTAATAAATATATTAATTAATTAATTAATTAATTAAAAAAAAAAAAATATTTTATAATTTTTTTTAACTTACTCCTAAATTTTTTTTATTAAATTTTAAATTATTTTTTGAACCTTTTTATATCCCTAGGGGAGAAAGTTACACTTTTCATCCCTAGTGAGTAATAACGATTGTATTTATTTTATTCCCAAAAAATATTTTTATTCTTTGAACCAATTTTATGCCTAGGGAAGAAAGTTACACTTTTCATCCCTAGTGAGTAATGGGATTAAATTTATTTTATTTTCATGAAAAGTAATTTCTCACTTAATTGTGAAAAAAATCAATTTACTCACTAGGGTTGAAAAGTATAACTTTCTTCCCTAGAAATAAAATCGGTTCAAAAAAAAAAAATATATTTTTTGAAATTAAAATAAATTCAATTGTATTACTCACTAGGGATGAAAAGTGTAACTTTCTCCCCTAGGAATAAAAAGTATTCAGAAAATAAAAATTTTTTTTTGAAAATAAAATAAATTTAATCTCATTACTCACTAGGGTCGAAAAGTGTAACTTTCTCCCCTAGGAATAAAAAGGATTTAAAAAATAAAAATATTGTTTGAAAATAAAATAAATTTAATCCAATTACTCACTAGGGATGAGAAGTGTAACTTTCTCCCCTAGGGATAAAAAAAAGTTTAGAAAAATAATTTTTTGGAAATAAAATAAATTTATTAAAAATAATTAAAAAATTCTTATTATTATTAACAATATAATTTTTTTGTAGTAAACAATGTGGGACGAATGTACGATTATCCAATGCCAGTGGGCGAAGTGCCCGAGGATAATCTTTGGGAAATAATAAATGTCAATGTGGGAGCAACAACATTAATGACACGCCTAGTAATTGGCGATATGAAGGAACGTAAAAAAGGGGCAATCGTTAATATTTCATCTGGTTCGGAATTACAACCATTGCCATTAATGACTGTCTATGCGGCAACAAAAGTCTACACCAATAGTTTCTCCGAAGCATTGAGAGCCGAATATTCACGTTATGGAATCACTGTACAACATTTGACGCCATTATTTGTCACGACAAAAATGAACGCTTTTAGTCAAAGATTACAAGTAATTTTTCCTCCTATACTATATTTGAAAATAATTTTCAATTATTTTTTTTTTATTTCTTTACAAAAATATAACTTGTGCCATTGGGAAGATTCGATTTGCAGTGGAAAAAATGAGAAATATTATTTCGTTCGTTTAAAAATGGGATTTAAAATCGCGAGGTGGGAGAATTTTCAGGTTAACCTCCACCACGAGACTTTTTTCTTTAGTAAAAATTTTTCTAAATGGAATTTTTTCAAACTTTTTTGTTTTCTGAAACTATTACAATGGCAGGAATCTAAGAGCAAATCTTTTTTATTTTTAACTTTTTACGTTTATTTTTTTTTTTAATTTTGAGGTTAGCTTCCACCTCGAGCTTTTTTTCTTCAGTTAAAATTTTTCTAAACGGAATTTCTTTATTCTTTTTGATTTTCTGCAACTATGACGATGGCAGGGAACTAAATAGACTTCTGTTTTTTAACTTTTAACTTTTTTCAATTTTAATTTTGAGGTTAGCTTCTACCTCGTAACTTTTTTTTTAAATAAAACGTTTTCTAAATGGAATTTTTTCAAACTTTTTTGTTTTCTGAAACTATTACGATGGCAGAAATCTAAAAGCACATCTCTTTTTGACTCTTAACATTTATTTAATTTTAATTTTGAGGTTAGCTTCCACCTCGCTACTTTTTTCTTAAATAAAACGTTTTCTAGCCGGAATATTAACATTTTTTTTTTTACTTTTCGTAATTGTTTCGATAGCAGGGTTTTAAAGGCGCCGTTTTTTTAACTTCCAAAGTTTTTTAAATTTCAATTTTGAGGTTAGCTTCCACCTAACGCCTTTTTTCTTCAGTAAAAATTTTTCTAAACGAAATTAATTAATTCTTTTTGTTTTTTTGCAACTTATACAATGGCAATAATATAAAAACACAGTTTTTTTTCAACTTTCGACGCTTTTTTAGTTACAATTTTGAGGTTATCTTCCACCTCGCGTCTTTTTTCTTCCAAAAATCCTTCTCCAAATGGAATATTAACATTCTTTTTTCTTTTCCATAACCATTTCGATGGCAAGAGTCAAACAACCAGATTCGAAAATCATTTTTTCTAACCCTAACGTTTTTTTTTTAATTTTTAATTTTTGAGGTTAACCTCCACCTCGTGACTTATTTCCTCAATAAAATTTAATCTACTTAATATTTTTTCAATTTCTTTCTCAATTTCAATTCGTCTCGATGGCACAAGTCACAAAAAATTACCAAAAATAAACAAAAATTTAAATATTTTCAATTTTCTTTTTTTGTTTCTCTCCCCTCTAGATTGCAAATATATTTGTACCCGACGCAGCAACATACGCAAAAAATGCAATTTCAACATTAGGAAAAATTGACAGAAGCTCTGGTTATTGGGCCCATGGAATACAAGTGTTTTTCGCATTAATTCCACCAGTTTGGATAAGAACAAAAGTCGGTCAAATGATGAATCAATCATTTAGAAATGAATATTTCAAGCTCAATAAACGTACAAATTAAATATTGTCTTCGTCTGTTTTTATACAATTCTCTCTTTTTTTTTATTATTTTAAAATGTGAGTATTTTATATTTAAAAACAATTTAATTGACAGTCGGTATGAAAATTGAATGACTGCGTGTAGAAGTCGATAAATTTGTATAGAAAATATAGAAATACGAATGGAGAGTGATAAATTCAAACTGGACGCTTATTGCTCCTTTCAAGTTGATGTTTCAAATACAATTGCCAAGTGGAGAAAAACAGTCGTTTAAACGTCAAACTGCTTGTAAACTGTCAAAAAGTATATAAAATGTGAGAGTACATTTAAAAACCAAAAAAAAAAATTTTTTTTATTAAATTACTATGTTAAATAAACAATAATAAATATAACAATGATAATTAAAAAAAATAACAACAATAATAATTATTAACAATACGAAAATGTTACCTTATTTATATTCCTGAAGATTATTATTTATTATTAATATTATTATTACAAATAATAATAATAATAATTTATAATTTAGTTAGTGATAGCGATAGTGTTAAAAATAGTGCTAGCGACAGTGATTGAGATAGGAATAGCGTTAGCGATAGTGATAACAACAATGGTTTAAATAGGGATATCGTTGTAAATAGTGATGTGGATAGTGATAGCGATAGCGTTAAAAATAGTGATAGTGTTAGAAATAGTGATAAGGATAGTGATAGTGATAGTGATAGTGATAGTGATAGTGATAGTGATAGTGATAGTGATAGTGATAGTGATAGTGATAGTGATAGTGATAGTGATAGTGATAGTGATAGTGATAGTGATAGTGATAGTGATAGTGATAGTGATAGTGATAGTGATAGTGATAGTGATAGTGATAGTGATAGTGATAGTGATAGTGATAGTGATAGTGATAGTGATAGTGATAGTGCTAGTGATAGTTTTTTTCAATCAAAGGAGATTAAAAATAAAAGAATATATTTATATATAACACTGTTGATGAATTGTCGAAAAATCATAAATTATTTACTCTATCGAAATTAAATTTCTTCGAATGCTTTTTAATTATAGAAAAATCACTATAACCATTTATCACTAAATTGACATTTTCAAGTTTATTTTCCTTCTTGTTGATAAATGAACACATGGCACATGTTTGAATATGACTTCCGGTTCAAAAATATATAAGAACACCTTGATAATCCAAATCTTATAAATTATAGTATAGTTGAAGACACATTCTATCATTACTCTTGTTTTTTCGGTTATTTTTAAATTTCTAAAAATTAAAACTTCACGTATTTTTTATGGTTTTTTAAAATAATAAAATAATAATAATAATAATAATAATAATAATAATAATAATAATAATAATAATAATAATAATAATAATAATAATAATAATAATAATAATAATAATAAAAATAATAAAAACGAGTAATAAAAATAATATAGATATTAATTGTTTATTAACAATTTTTTAGTAAACATTTTATTTCCAAGTCATAAAGTAATTTTTTTTCTTTGACAAAATTTTTTTTTTTATTGTGATTAAGAAAAATTTTTTTTGCTCCTTCTGCCACGCCCTGATGATTTGCTGCCTCAGTTTCCAGGTGGAATTTGCACTCACTTTCGATGTCCAATGCTATTTCTGGAGGAGCCACCCAAAAATATCGGTTATATGGGTTCTTTTCATGTTTAAAACACACGAGCTGGAACTATCGGCTATTTTCAACGAATTACGCGGCCTACGCTTGAGATTCGTCAAAATTTATTTATTTTTTTTACCCTCACTTCTTCCGGTGCGAGCGAGACAGATAGAGAACGTAAAAGATTGAAAATTATCTAAAAAAGAAAATCAATTTTTTTTTACTTTTAATCTTCTTTTCTCTTTTTGTTGTAATTGTAATTTTGTCTTTTCTTATTTGGTAGTATTTTTTGTATTTTTGTATTTTTGTATTTTTTCTATTTTTGTATTTTTTTTTGTTTTTCTGTATTTTTTGTATTTTCGTTTTTTTGCATTTTTATTTTTTTTTATTTTTGTACTTTTTGTTTTTGTATTTTGTATTTCTTATTTTTTGTATTTCTTTATGTATATTTTTGTTTTTTTTTCTTTTTTTCTCTTATTATTATTTTTACTAAAATTACTTTTTGTTTTTTTTCTTTTTAAACATTTTTTTATATTGAATGTAAAGTAATTTTATGTCCCTTGTTGGTAATTTTACTACTTTGTAATTTTGTTATTTGCTTGTAATGTAATTTTACTTTTTATTTAATTTTTCTGAATTGTTTTTAATAAAATTACTTTTTTTTTTTTTTTTTTTTTTTTAATTGATTGTAATGAAATTTTATTTTCTTTTTGTAATTTTTTATATTGCCACGTAATTTTTTGTATTTCTTACAATGCAATTTTTTTAGTTGAATTATTTTTTGTATCGTTTTTTAATAAAATTATTTTCGGTAATTTTGCTTATTAAAAGGTTTCTTATTCCGTTTGTAAAGTAATTTCATTTTTTTGTAATTTTATTGTTTAGTATGTTTTGTTTTGTTTACAAAGTAATTTTATTTTTTTTCAATGTTTTTTCTATCTTTATTCCTTATGTTTTGTGTAATTTTGTTTTTTATTTTCATTTATAATATAATTTTTTTATTTTTTTTTGTCATTTTGTTTTTTATTTACATTTATTTCATTTATTTTTGTTTTTTATTTTTTTTAATTTTGTTTTTTAGTTTGTGTTTTTAAATTTCAATTTTTATTTTAATTTATAATTTTTTCAATTAAATTTTTTTTATTTTTCTCTTAATTTTTTTAACTAAATGTTAAAAAATAATTTCCCTAATTTATATAAAACGAAGTAAAAAAATTTAAATCCCTTCAGATTGTCACCTTCTAAAAAAAATTTTTTTTTGTTTATTGAAATCAATTCTCAGAACTGAATATATATATAGTACCTAATATAAATAATACCATTAAACCTTAAAAAAATATTTTTCTCCATAACTCTTCGCGGGTGGATTTTAAAATAGCTATTTAATGATACTGGTAACCGTCACTTCGATGGAATCACTTGACCCACAAAAAAAAGAGGGGGAAAAAATAAATAAAAAGAAAATTCACTTCAAAAAACAGTTTCGAAAATATTTTTCTTTAAAAATGCAATATGATAAATACTTTTTATTATTTCAAAATTAGAGATTAAAAACGGTCATTTTTAACCCTAGGGGACATAATATATAAATTAAATTTTTTTAAATGAAAAAAATACACCATAGCGTCAAAATTAGGGGCTGAAATGCTTCCTTTTGACCCTAGAGAGCGTTAAATTAAAAAATTCCCCCAAAAAACCCAGAAGAGAGAATATTTTGAAAATGACCTAAAAAAAAAAATTTCTATATTTATTGTAAACGTCACTTAAATATATATATTTTATTATATCAATATTACAACATATATATAAATTCTATTTATATAATTTTCTTTTCTATTATTTATACTATAGTAATTGGTCATTATCATATTTATATATTTTTATATTATATATAAAGGCTAATATTTGGTTTTTTTTTTAATGAATTATCACCCTTATAAAAAACATGAAATATATATTTTAACGATGATGACGATAACATACAATGTATATATATATTTATTCTCTTCACCTCTTGGAGGTCTTGCCCTGTGATGCTCATCTTTTTCTTTTGGCAAAAAGACAAGCTTTCCATTCACTTGAACATCATTTACTTAACCCTGAAAATTTAAATAGCAACTGTATAATTTTTCTTTTTTTTTCTTATTAAAAAAATAAAATTACGAATATTTTTTGCAATTTTTTTCTTAATTTTGTAAAAATTAATTTTTTAATAAATTTTTGTTTTTATACGGTAGTACAATTTTTTTTTATGTTTAATTATTAAAAATCGATTTTTCAAACCGAGGGTGTAAAGTGACTTTTTTTTACCCTGCGGTGTGAATTTACTGTTTTTAACTCTAATGTTTAAATAATTCGTTAAATAGTAAAAAAAATTTAATCTACGGTTAAAAACAGTAAATTCACGCCCTAGGGTAAAAAAAAGTTCTTTTTCTCCCTCGGGTTAAAAAATGTTATTTTCTTTAACATTTTTTGAAACTATTTTCTATTTTATTTTAATATTTAGCAAATGTTAACTACCGTAAATTTACATTCTCTATTTCATAATAGTTTTTGAAAATCTTTTGCAAAAAATGTAATTAATTAATTCCCTTTAATTTTAATTCTCCTTTTTATCACTAGAATTAATTTTTCTCTCAATTTTATAATTTTTTTTTATAAAATCTTTTGTTAAACATTTTGTTTAAGTAGATACGATAAGGTAAATTTGAATAGTAAATAATTATTTTTATTTTCAAATTAAAAAAAAGGAAAATGTTTAAAAAAACACTCACCATAACGAAAAATGTCCTGGAACTAAAATAATCCGGAGTATAGTAAATAGAGCGATATTAGCAGTAGAATAAGAATCAAATAAGTCATGAGAATATTTTGTGTCTCATGCGCTGGCGATGGCATTTTTATGGAACTTTTTCTTTTTGGTGTCACCGTTGCCCCCACCATTTTTTTAATAATTATGCAAATAAATCGCCTGAACAACGATATACTTTCTTAATTTTTTTATTAGCAGCGGGAAAATTCTAAAAGAAAAACAAAAATATTTTTTATTTAATTAACAAATTTTTTGTTTAAACCAAAACAAATTTTATTTAAACAAAAAAAAATTGTATTTAATCCAAAAAAATTTCATTTAATCCAAAAAATTTTTATTTTATCCAAAACAATATTATTTAATGAAAATAATTTGTATTACATCAAAGAAAAATATAATTTCATCAAAAAACGAAAATATTTTATCAAAAAATAGAAAATTTTATCAAAATAGAAAATTTTATAAAAAAACAGAAAATTGGATTAAAAAAAAATTATTTTTATAAGTTTATTCTAAAAAAATTTTAATTTTGTAAAAATGTATTTAGGAGAATAATTAATTATTGAGAAAAATAATTATGTAAAATAAATTAATTATGCAAAAAATTAATTACGCAATAAAATAATTAGTCAAAAAAAGTAGTTATTGAAAAAACTAATTATCCAAAAAAATTTCTTATTCCAAAAATTATTTATTCAATAGTTTATTTATCAGATACTTATTATTCAAAGAATTATTTTAAAAAATTAATTAGGTCAATACAAAATTTTCCAAAAAGTTATTTATTGAAAAATTTATTTTTACAAAAAAGTTGTTTATTCGAAACTTTATTTATTCCAAAAAATTATTCATTCGAAAATTTATTTATTCCAAAAAGTTATTTATTCCAAAATTTATTTATTCAAAGAATTAATAATGTAAAACAATTAATTAGGTAAAAAAATTAATGAATCAAAATATAATTATTCAAAAAATATTTTTTTGAAAATAAAAAATTGTCCAAAAAAAATTGATGGTAAAATTTTTTATTCAAATAATTATTTATTCAAAGAATTAGTTATGTAAAAAAATTTATTATGTAATAAAGTAATTAATCAAAAAGTATGCAAATAAAAATAATAATTATCCGAAAATATTGATCCAAAAAATCATAAAGAGATAAAAAAGTAAAAAAGTTAAATTTTTAAAAAAGTTAAATTTTTAAAAAATTTAAATTATTAATTTAAAAAAAAAATGAAAATTTTGATTAAAAAATTCAAAATATTGTTAAAAATATTGTACAAAAATAATGTTAACAAAAAAATTCTCAAAAAAATATTTTCTGTCCGAAAAAGTAACATTTATTCCCGAATTATTTTTTAATTATAACCCAAAAGCAAAGTGGATTTTTTAAATTCAATCGAAATTTTTTAATTTTTGAATAAATTAATAATAATTTTTTTTGTTAATTTTTAATTTTTTCCATATTCATAAATAGTTTTATCTTTTTTTTCTGTATAACTTACTTTGAAAAAACTGTTTATTAATTTTTGACACTGTTTTTTTTTTTTTTTTTTTTTATAAGAAGAAGAATTAAAATTCACAGGAGCAATAAATCTTGCTTTCTATTGACAAAAAAAAGGAAGAAAACAAAACTTGTAGGAGGACAAAAACAAAAAAAAAACTTGTGTGATAAATAATTTTTTTTTTTTTTTTGCTGCTTCTTTACAATGTTAAGGCTTTACATTGACTGAACTTGATGGCAGGATATTCTGGATCCCAGATTTTCTCCAAGAATCCAACCACCACTCCTCACGCGCGAAACTTTGCTTTTCAAGAAGTTATATTAAGGCATCCATCGAAGATTACATGCGAGACAGATGATCATCAGAGTAAATGCTTTTTGGTTCAAGGGTATTTTATAAATTATAATTCCCCTTTTCATAAAAAAAAAAATACCTCACTGTCACACATTCAAAAATTTATTACTATTTTTAAAACTTATAAAAACAAAAAAAAAATAAAAATAATAAAAAGAAAAAAAAATTGATTGTAAATTATTATTTTTACCAAAGAAATTTCTTTTTATTTTTTGACTAGAGAAAGAAACTGAAAACTGAAAAAAAATTGGAAAAAGTTTCCCATATAGAAAATTTTCAGAAAAAAATTGTGAGATTAACCTCCACCTCACGTTTTGTTTTTACCATTAAAATTTTTCCTTATGGAAATTTTCTATTTTTCTTTGCTATTCAGAATCGTTTCGATGGCAAGCGCCGAATAGTGAAAAATACTTTTCATATTTTACTGACGATTAAGAAATTTTCAGAAAAATAAAAAATTTTTAGGTTAGTTTTCTAAGCAACTGGAAATTTTGAGGTTAGACTCCACCTCGTGATTTTTTTTCTTCTATTAATTTCAATTCTTATGGAAATTTTCTTTTTTTTTCTTTACTTTTCAGAATCGTTTCGATGGCAAGCCATCGATTTCTCCTTTTATTGACCATTCTATTCAAATTCAATTTTATTTGATTATTCTTGAATCTATTTACTCTTTAAATTTTAATTGGATTTGCTTATTTCTATTCAATTCTATTCGTTTCTACTTAATTCTATTCAATTCTATTCATTTCTACTCAATTCTATTCAATTTAATTCAATTCTATTATTTTCAATTGTATTTAGTTTTATTCGCTTCTATTCAATTTTATTAAATTCTATTCGATTCTACTTAATTATATTCAACTATTCGATTTTATTCAATTTAATTCAATTCTATTCAATTTGATTAAATTATATTCCATTCTATTCGATTTTATTCAATTAAATTCAATTCTATTCAATCTGATTTAATTCTATTCAATTCTATTCAATTGTATATCATTTCATTCGGTTTTATTTAATTCTACTCAATTTCATTCAATTCTATTCAATTCTATTCGACTTTATTCAATTCTTTTTAATTTGATTTAATTATATTCCATTCTATTCGATTTTATTCAATTCGATTCTATTCAATTCTATTCAATTGCATTATATTTTATTCGATTTTATTTAATTCTACTCAATTTTATTCAATTTTATTCGATTTTTTTCAATTCTATTTCATTCTACTCAATTGAATTGAATTCAATTCAATTATAATCGATTCTATTAAATTCTATTCAATTATATTAAATTTAATTTAATTCGATTTTATTTAATTACGTTCAACTCTATTCGCTTCTACTCAGATTATATATATAGATTTTATTCGCTTCTATTCGATTTTGTTAAATTCTATTAGATTCTACTCAATTATCTTCAACTCTATTCGATTATATTAAATTTAATTGAATTTTATTCAATTTGATTTAATTTTATTTAATTCTTTTCGATTTTATTTGGTTCTATTCAATTTAATACCATTTTACTCGATTTTATTCAATTCTACTCAATTTTATTCAATTCTAATCAGTTCTGTTCAATTTTATTCAATTCTGTTTGAATCTATTTAATTCAATTGAATTTAATTTAATTCAAATATATTTGATTCTATTAAACTCTGTTTAATTATGTTAAATTCAATCCAATTCGATTTTATTCAATTACGTTCAATTCTATTCGTTTCTACTCAATTCTTTTCGATTCTATTCCATTATATTTAATTATATTCAATTCGATTTTACTTAATTCTATTCTATTATTTTAATTTGTGTACAGTTCTATTTAATACTATAAGATTTTATAGATTTTATTCGCCTCAATTAGATTTTTTTTAATTCTATTCAATTCTATTCGATTTTATTCAATTTTATTATTTTTAATTGTATACAGTTCTTTTCGATTGTATACGATTTTAAAAATTTATTCTATTTGATTTTATTCGCTTCTATTCAATTTTATTCAATTCAATACCATTATTTTCAATTGTATACAGTTCTATTCGATTTTATACGATTTTATGGATTTTATTTGCTTCTATTCGATTGTATTAAATTCTATTATATTCTACTCAATTATATTTAATTCTATTCGATTTTTATTCAATTCTATTCAATTCGATTTAATTCTATATAATTCTATTCGAATTTATTCGCTTCTATTCAATTTTATTCAATTATACATATTTTATTATTTTCAATTGTATTCAGTTCTATTCGATTCTATACGATTTGATTTAATTCTATCAAATTCTTTTGTTTTATTTAAATTCTTTTCGATGTTATGCGATTTTATCCACTTCTATTCAATTCTAATTGCTTCTATTCGATTCTATTTAATTTAATTTGATTTTAATTAAATCCGAATACGATTAAGTATTAATATTTCGTAAAATATAATAATATAAAAAATGGAAAAATCCCTAATAATTAGCATTTATTGTAATTTTTATCATGCATGATTATATATATTATATATATATATTACATGTATACTATTTTACTGATTATAAATATTAATTAAGTTTTCTCACAAATAATAAATAGTATTCGAGAAAAATGAATGTAAAATCGGTCACTTCTTTATTTGCATCTCTGTGTAAAAAGAAAAAAAAAATTTCTCCCTCTTGTTTTAATTCAATTATTCTGTTTTTTTTTTTTTTTTTTTTTTTTTTTTTTTTTTTTTTGCAATAATAGTAATACATTCTTCAGGTCAACCAACTTTATTTGTTTTTCTCTTTTTTGCGTAATATGTAAAAATGAAAAATTTTTTTTCTTCTCCTTTTCAAAAAAAGATTTTGAAACAAATTTCTCAAATATTACATTCTATCTATGCACATTCATGGATATACGTTCTCTTTACATAAAATTTTCATATGAATGTTTGTTTGTACATTTCTTTCTTCCAAGTCAGTATATATATAAACAACTGCAAATTTTCTAAAATTTCATTTCTTACAAATCGAATGAAATATGTCAGTATAGTGTGTTTTTTCTATTCTGCTTTTTTCACTATTTATTAATGTCCAATTTACAAACGATGCAATTTATATCATTGTTTTGGATCTTTCTGTTTGGACTGTGCATTACACGGGTAAGGATATTATGTTTATTTTATTAATATTTTAATATTTATTCTAAATATTTTTATTTTTTTACATTTAAAAATACTTAAATTAGCTGCGAAGTTGAAATTTTGTGGTTAACCACCACCTCGCGACTTTTTTCTTCTATTTTTTCTATTGGATTTGAAATTTTTCAATTTTTTTTTCGCACTTCGGAATCGTTGTAATGGCAAAAGTTTAATGGTACTTTCTGCAATTTTTACTTTAGAAATTTTAATTTAAATTTACATTTAAAAATTCACAACATTTTGAAATTTTGAGGTTATCTACCACCTGGTGACATTTGTCTTCAATTATTATTTTTCCAATCGACAATTTTTTGTATTTCTTCGCTCTTGCGAAAATTTACACTTGCCAGCGACTAATGGAACTTTTACAATGTTACAAATTCTCAAAAATCTGTTTTTCAGAATAATAATTCGTAATTTTGAAGTTAGTATAGCCTCCACCTCCTATCTTTTGTCCTCTTTTACTATTAATGCGCCGTTGAAATTAAAAAAAAAAAATATTATTTTCTCTCCTCCGAAAATTTACACTGGCAAGAGTTTAATGGCACTTCTGCAATTTCACTAATAACTTTTTTTCCCGACTAATGGTGTTGTTTTTGAAGTTAACCTCCACCTCACATCTTTCTTCGATTATTTTTATTCTAATAAAATTAAAAAAAAATTTTTTCACTTTTTCAAAGAGTTTCGAAAGAAATCGAATAGAATGGAATATAATTAAATCAAATTAAAAAGAATTGAATTAAATTGAATAAAATCGAATAGAATTGAATAGAATTAAAAAAAATCTAATTGAGGCGAATAAAATCGAATATAGAAGGGAATAAAATCTATAAAATCTCATTCAATCGAATAAAACTGAATACAATTTAAAATAATAGAATGGAATTAAATCAAATTAAATAGAATTGAATTAAATTGAATAAAATTGAATAGAATTGAACATAATTAAATCAAATTGAATAGAATTGTATTAAATTGAATAAAATCGAATAGAATTGAATAAAATTGAGTATAATCGAATAGAATTTAACAGAAGCAAATAAAATCCATAAAATCGTACAGAATCGAATAAAACTGAATACAATTGAAAATAATAGAATAGAATTAAATAAAATCGAATTGAATTAAATCTAATATAATTGAATAGAATTTAATAGAATTGAATATAATTGAATTCAATTGAATAAAATAGAATAGAATTGAATAAAATCGAGAAGAATTGAATAGAATTGAATTGACTTGAATTAAATTGAATAACATTGAGTAGAATTGAATGAAATCGAATAAAATGGTATAAAATTGAATAGAATTGAATAGAATTAAATTGAATAACATTGAGTAGAATTGAATAAAATCGAATAAAATGGTATAGAATTGAATAGAATTGAATTGACTTGAATTAAATTGAATAACATTGAGTAGAATTGAACAAAATCGAATAAAATGGTATAAAATTGAATAGAATTGAATAGAATTGAATTGACTTGAATTAAATTGAATAACATTGAGTAGAATTGAATAAAATCGAATAAAATGGTATAAAATTGAATAGAATTGAATAGAATTAAATTGAATAACATTGAGTAGAATTGAATAAAATCGAATAAAATGGTATAGAATTGAATAGAATTGAATTGACTTGAATTAAATTGAATAACATTGAGTAGAATTGAACAAAATCGAATAAAATGGTATAAAATTGAATAGAATTGAATAGAATTGAATTGACTTGAATTAAATTGAATAACATTGAGTAGAATTGAATAAAATCGAATAAAATTGTATAAAATTGAATAGAATTGAATAGAATTAACTTGAATAACATTGAGTAGAATTGAATAAAATCGAATAAAATGGTATAGAATTGAATAGAATTGAATAGAATTAAATCAAATTAAATAGAATTGAAAATTGAAATTTTTTTCTTTATTCTTTCAGGATACTCTATCTCAAGATGTGGACGAGTTTGAGGGAAGATTATTCGATTTTCATAATATGAAGAGAGAATTATGCCAATATTGTACAGCAAAATTTGGTTTTTCTTGGAAAAAAATGTTATGCAATTCAATTTGCATGAATATGATGACCAATAATAATTCAGCTTTTGGACCTGGAGGCGCTCAACCTCCAGGTGGAGGTGCTCAACCTCCAGTTGGTGGTGCTCAACCTCCAGTTGGTGGTGCTCAACCTCCAGGTGGAGGGGCTCAACCTCCAGGTGGAGGTGCTCAACCTCCAGGTGGAGGGGCTCAACCTCCAGGTGGAGGTGCTCAACCTCCAGGTGGAGGGGCTCAACCTCCAGGTGGAGGGGCTCAACCTCCAGGTGGAGGTGCTCAACCTCCAGGTGGAGGTGGTGGTTAATTTAATTCGATTTTATTTCAATAATTTTTCCTAATATCAAATTGTTACAATTCTTCTCATCAGACATAGTAAAATTTACCATACTGTTCAATTAAATCTAATAATTACCAATTACATCAACTGTTTGTATCAACTATATAGTTAAAAATAATAAAAACATTTTTATTTTCTTCTATTTAGTCTACTATAATCATTTCTACACAATTTTTTTTTTTTTTATTTATTTCCATTGGATTCATAAAAAAAAAAATTTTTTCAAGAATTTTGAATAAAAATTTTGAAATTTTTCGAATTTTTAGAAATTTTTATTTAAAAATATTGAAAATAAATGAATTTTAAAAATAATAAAATAGAATAATTCTAAGAATTATTTTTTTCAAAAATATTTTTAAAGAATTTTAATTAATTACCATTTTCAAATTTACACTTGAAGATTTACTCAATAAAATTTTTGAGAAATCAATTATTTTCAAAATTTTCAATTAAAATTCTTTAAAAGTTGATTTTCAAATAATTTGTTATAAAACACTTTGAAAAAAATCAATTATTTTCAATTAAATTTTACGCAAAATTTCAATATTATTGAAACTCTTTTTTTTTTATTGTAAATTTTGAAAAATTTATTTAGTATTTTTAAAAACAGTTGAATTGTTGCGAAGAAATTATTAAAATTTTAGGAAATAATTGAATTTTATGAAAATAATTGATTTCCTCCGTGAAATTCAATATTAAAGATGTTTTTGAAAATAATTGAATGTCTGCAAAGAATTTTACTATTTATAAAAATAATTGAATTTTTGCGTAGAATTTTAACTATTTATATAAATAAATGAATTGTTTCGAAGGATTTATTAAGATTTTAGAAAATAATTGAATTTAATCGAAATATATTATACATTTTTTTTTAATAATAATTGAATTCAATTTCAATTATTTTCAAAATTTGCAATCAAAATTCATCAAAAGTTGATTTTCAAAAATTAATATAAAATTATTTATTTATTTTATATTATAATTACTAGTTATTAATTATGAAATAATTATTAGTAATAATAAATATAATAGTAAATAAATATACATATAAAGAAATAATTTTGCAATAAAATTTTTTCTATGGTAAAAATAAAAGTGAGTATTTTTTATTTTTTAAATTAAAATGAAAAAAAATGATTTTTTCTCTATCAGTGTAAAAATACTCTCTTTTTCCGTTGTAATTGAATTTTAATTGGTCATACTTTGTAAGACATTATATATACACTGTAGATTATTACGATTGCTTAAGACATTGCTTATATTCTTCACATATTCACGGTACGCATAATATGGACTTTGCTCGCAGACATGATGCGACTAATACACGAGAGTCATCTGCGTGCAAAGTTTTAACATTGAACAATTTATATACATATAGTTATGTGTAAACATATTTCATATAAGTAAAGCATGAATTTTCAAAAAGTGTCTACTACCTATAGGGAAAAGTGAATATTTTTACTGTTAAAACAAAAAAAATAATTTTTTTAATTAATTCCTGGAATGTGTTTTGTTTTTTGTTCAAAAATTATTGTGTTTTTAATAATAAAATAAGCCGGTTTTGTTTTTAATTGTATAGACACGTACAATATTATAAAATACAGATATAAAAATTTTTCAATATAATGTGTTGCAAAATTGTAAATACGGTAAGTTGTTAACTTTATTACATTTATATTTGCCTTAATTTTATATTCATTTTATTATATAATTTAAAATTTTAAAAGTTTTTTTTTCAAATTTTCTTTGCAAACTTTGCTCATATACGTTTATATTTTTATTCTCGATATTTATAAAATTATACTCGATAAAAGGTATATGTATAAATAGATCTAGAAATTTCCTTAGTTTGACATTTGCAAATTATGATAATTATAAAAAAATCTAACAAGGCTATTAATTAAAATAATAATAAAAATCTGAGTGACTGAATATAATAAACATAACAAATAATAATATTAATAATAATAATAATAAAAATATTTTTTGTTTTTTTATTTATAATAACATATTATAACTATAAAAATAAAAATAATTTTTTTTATTTATTTATTCTTTAAGTGTAAAATATTTTTCGCTTTTGATTTATAATAAAATATCATAACTATAAAAATCAAAATAATTGTTTTTTTATTTTTTTATTGTTTAACTATAAAATATTTTTTGTTTTTTACTTATAATAAAATATAATAAACATAAAAATAATAATTTTTTAAAATTTATTTATTTTTTATATATTGTTTATTATAATTTAGGGAGCATTCACAAATGATGTCACGTACATGTTTGAAATTTTCATTCCCCCTTCATCTTGTTACACAATTTTATTTTAATTATTATTTATTACTTATCTAATTATTTATAATTAATAATTTTTATTTTCTGGATTTTTTTTTAAATATGAAAAAAATACATTTGCGTGTCACGTTCAGTATATAGAGACCCCCCTTGCCCCCCAGAAACGTGACATCATTTCTGAACGTTATTTTTATAACAATAATAATAATTATATAATAACAACAATATTAATAATAGCATATAAAAATAATATAAACATTATAGAAATAATTGACCCGAAACGTCTATATTTTGCTTCTTTTTAAAAATTTAAAAATATAAAAATTGTATTTAAAACCAGAAAAACGTCGACATTTTGTTTCTTTTTTAAAAATTTAAACATAAAAATTATCTTTAAAACCAGAAAGACGTTGACATTTTGTTTCTTTTTTAAAAATTTAAACATGAAAATTATATTTAAAACCAGTAAAACGTCGACATTTTTTTTTTTTAATTTAAAAATTATAAATTATAAAAAAATGTCCTAAGAGCCATAGTACATAAATTACTCATATATATTAATTAATATAATAATTATTTTAAAATTATTATAAAGATAAAAATTGTTAAAAAGAAATTTTTTCTTTAATTTTATAAAATAAAAATTTTCAGAGTAACATGGACGGAAACGAAGGCGGATGTCAAGTAATAAAAAAATATTTAATAAAATTTTTACGATGCATTGTTGTACAAATTCATTGTTTATTCGATTGTACTGTTGATTTTTGCTTTGAATTATATTACAATAAAAATAAACAAAATAGAGTGCCACCTATAAAAGATGAATTATTACTCGAAAGTGGAATTTCACTTGCACAAAAAATAAGGTAATTTTTTTTTTTATTTGAAAACAAATGAACGACGTAACTCCTTAATTATGAAAAAAATTTTAAATATTATAAGAATATTAAAATATTTAAAAAAAAAAGTTTTTCTTTTTAATCATATTTTTTATATATTATATAATGAAATAAAAAAAATGAAATTTATATAAGGTCACAATTTCATACCCCCCCCCCCCTTCTCCCTATCCCTTGAAATGTGACATATTTATTTGATCGACCCTTTATAATTATAGAAAAATTAAAAATATTATATAAGATATTTAAAATATTTTTTTAAAAAAAGTTAGGAGCCGTCCAAAAACTATACGTTACCAATTTTTCATAATTTTTAGACCCCCCTCCCCCTCCTCGTTACAATTGCGTTAAATGCAATTTTGTAGATTTTTGGACCCCCCCCCCCCTCCCGTCTAAATTGGTAACGTAGTTTATGGATGGCCCCATTATTTTAATTCTTAAAATATTTTTAATTTTTCTATAATTAAGGGGTCGTTTATATTTAAATACGTTACACATGAATGGGTAGGGGGAGGGAGGGGGGTTATGGAATTTATGACCTTATAAAAATTTTTTTTTTTATTTCATTTGTAATATAACAAAGAATGAGAAAATTTGTAAAATATGCAATAATTAATTTATAGTTTGATTGAATAATTTTGATTTTTAAAAATTCCCAAAAATATAGAAATGGAGAAGTAACATCGGAAAAAGTAGTGAGGGCATTTATTGAAAGATGCAGAGAGGTAAATCCAATAATTAATGCAGTTGTTAATCAACGTTATAGTGATGCAATTGTTGAGGCAAAAAAAGTGGATGAATTTTTAAAAGATGAAAATATTAATCGAGAAATTCTAAAGGAGAAAAAACCATTTTTTGGGGTACCCTTTACAACGAAGGAGGGCAACACAGTTGCTGGTAAGGTTATTTATAAATAAATAATTGTAACAAATAAAGTAATTTTTTTTTTTTTTTTTTTTTTTTTTTTTTAATAAAAATATATTTATAAAAATTAATACATATATAAACGTTTTAGTTATGTAACGTTACTGTTATGGTTACTTTACTGTTGTTTAACAGTTATATTATAATTATTTAATATAGCACTTATGTTATAATTAGTTAATATAACAGTTATGTTACAATTATTTAATTTATAACAGTTATGTTATAATTAGTTAATTTATAACAGTTATGTTATAATTAGTTAATATAACACTTATGTTCTAATTATTTATTATAACAGTTGTATTATAATTATTTAATATAATTATTTTGTTATAATTAAGTATTTAATTTGGCATAAAATTTCTTTTCTCCAAAAATCAGGAATGAGACATTCAATGGGCATTTTGTCGAGAAAAGATCACTTTGCACTGACGGACGCAGATATTGTCGCCAATGTAAAAGAAGCCGGTGGAATATTAATTGCAACGACAAATATTCCGGAAATGTGTTCGTGGATCGAATCGAGAAATAAAGTCTATGGACAGACGAATAATCCTTATAATACAACGAGGACCGCCGGCGGAAGTGGAGGGGGTGACGGGGCACTTTTAGGTGCATGTGGTACCCCAATTGCAATTGGTACCGATCTCGCTGGTTCCATTCGAATTCCGGCATTTTCAAGTGGAGTTTTTGGTCACAAACCGAGTGGAGGTAATTGTTTACAAAATACAATTTAAAAAAATACTTCCCTTCTTCGGTTTTTTTCATAAATAAGTAGCATTGTCGCTTAGGTCAATTTTCGCTTGTCTATGCTATAGGAATTTCGACCTAAGCGAAAACTAACCTAATTTCTTTCTCTGTAGGGTATAAATAATAATTATATACTTACATTACAGATTATTATTATAAATAGTAATTAATATTCAATTTAATATATTTAATATTTAATTTATTTAATATTTAATTTATTTATTTATTTGAAAATTAACGGGACAGTTCTTTTCGTACATTAAGTACTCCTACGTCTAAGAGTTGTTAATATTTAATTATATTTAATTTATTAATAAAATAAAATTAATTTTAATTAATTTCTTTTTAATTTTTTTTTTACTTAATTTTAATCCATAAAAAAGACAAAATTACAAAATTTTGTTTTTTTTTCTTCTCTTCTTTTATAATAAAGGTACAACTTCGATAAAAGGTGTGAATACGATAAAAGAAGATTACGAAGATACATTGATTGAAGCTGGTCCAATGTGTAAGAGAGCAGAGGATCTTTTACCACTTCTCAAAGTAATTTCAGGAAAAAAATTATCTAACTTAAAAAATATCGATTTGCCCGTTGATGTGAAAAATTTAAATATTTTCTATCAATTGTCCTCTGGTGATTTGATAACAAGCAAAGTATCAAAGACAATAGATTCGTGTTTAATGAAGGCTGTTAATCATCTCAAAACAGTCACAGGTTCCGCCAATGAGGTAATAATTATTATTTTCTTTTTAGAAAATCAAATTTTTTTTTAAATATAATAAAAATAATATCAATATAGAATTTCAATCAAATTAAATTTTTTTGACTTAAATTACATTAAAATTCAGATTTAACTTAAATTAAAAATTTTATTTTAACTTATAAGTTATTATAAGTTATAATAATAATAAGTTATTATAATTTTTTTTTTTTTTTTTTTTTTTTTAAGGAAAAAAAATTTAATTTACTTCAAAAATTTTAATTTCATTTCATTTTAATTTTTAATTTAAAAAATTTTAATTTTCAATTAAAATATTAATAATAATTAAAGAAAATAGTTTTTCATCATTATTATAATTAATATAAATAAAGGAAAATGATTAGAAACAAAAATTTGTTTTCCTAATTCACAGATTAAAATGCCAGGCTCTGAAAACAGTTACGAAATTTTTAGATACTGGAAAACAAGAGATCTGAAGGAATTTGGCTACGATCTGACAAATAGACAAGTGAGATTGAAAATATTAAGAAATTATTTTATTTCTCACGAAATTATTTTTAATTTAATTCAAAATATTGTTTTAATGCAAAAAATTGTTTTAATTTAAAAAATTATTTAATTTTAATTAAAAAGATACTTTAATTTAATTTCAGAAATTATTCCAATTTTAGTTCATCGTTAAAATAAGTGAAAAGTTAGGAAGAACGAGGCTAGGAGAAGCGCCCCCCCCCCACCAAGCGGACGCTCTACTAGACGAATAGTGGGGAGCGCTTCTCCTAATCTCTTACTCTTCCTAACTAATTCACTACCTCCCCCCCCACACAAAAATACATTTTTCTCCTTTTTTAATGCTATAATTTTTGCTTTAAATTTAAAATTACGTTTAAAATTAATTTATTTACAAAAATTTATTTAAAATTAAAAATTTTAAATTATTTTTTTTTTACTTAGGGTCGCGCTAATGTTTGGACCGAACTATGGTACATTTTAACTGGTCGTGGAAGAGTGACATTGGGCAGCATTATTGTACTCCTCGACATGTACGTAATGCCTCAGGAAAATGAAGAGAACGCAAAACAATTGACGACAACTCTGCAAAATTATCTCACGGTATTTTTATTATTCTTGTATATTATTTACAATATTTTTTTTATTATAACAATATAGATACAAAAAAACCCCTAAGTTATCATTTTTGTGACCTTAGTTCAATTTTTCGAAATTTTTTCCACCATTTTTAATTTTAAAAATGTGATATCAGATTCGTAATCAGCGACCCCGAAAACCCCCGAATAGTAATTTTCGTGATCTTAGTTCAACTTTTTAAATTTTCGTCCGCCATATTGGATCCGCCATTTTGAATTTTGAAAATCTGACATCAAACTCGTAACCAGAGACCTTAAACACCTTTAAATAGTGAGCGTAACAAAAACTGGATAAATTAAGAAAATTTAGGATTTTAAAGATATTAATAGTAATTAATTTATAATATAATAATTAAGTTTACATAGAGAAAAATAATTTTTTTTACAGGAAAAACTTGGTGACAATGGTGTATTGTTGTATCCGACATTACCAACTGCAGTTATGCATCATAATGTCTCATTTCTTCGACTTTATAATTTCATCTATTTGGGAGTGTTTAATGCACTCAAACTTCCGGCATGTCACGTACCACTTGGACTCGATAAAAATGGATTACCAATTGGCATACAGGTACATCATAATTAAAGAAAAGTAAAAAATAAATCTCGTACTTTCGCGCTTTATTCATTTCTTTTTTCGTCGCTTAGTACTTAGTTCTAATCAATTTTGAGGTTAGTCTCCACTTCGCGACTTTTTTCCTCTCTCAAATTCTTTCCAAACGGAATTTTTTCATTCTTTCTTGTTTTTCGGGTTGATTTCGATGGCACAAATCAAACTGACATTTACTTTTCCAATAATATTAAACAGTAATCAAATTTTAATCAATTTAATATTCTTAACCATATAGTTTAATTTATTAAAAATAAGTATTTTTATTTTTGCTACATTTATACTACAACAGTTTATATATTTATTTACTTAAATATAAAAAAGGTCCAAATTCAACAAATATTAATTTTATACTTATAATTCTACAATTATATTTTTCCAAACATTTTTAGGTTATAGCTGGACCGAAAAACGACCACCTCTGCATGGCAGTTGCAAAGGAGTTAGAATCAACTTTTGGAGGATACGTTCCACCTTCTTAGACATTTATATATTCATCCTATTATTTTGGTTTTTATTTTTAAAAAAAATAGTGTATCTACATTGATTATAGTTTTAAAATAGTAGAAAATAATAACATTTTAATAATTTTATATATAAAATAATTCATAATCGTTGATTATACTATTTATTAAATAAAAGATTTTAAATAATCATAATCTCAAATTTTTTGCCGCATAAGGCACCTTTTACCGTTGAGCGTAAAAAATTTTACTAAATCGATGACAATAAATAAAAAAACTCTAAATAATAGCGATGTCTGCGTAAATAAAAATAAATATAATATAAATAAAATAAAAATTTAAAATAATAATAATTTTAAAAATAAAAATTTTTAAATAATAACGAAGACTATAAATGAAAAATTATTAAAAATAAAAAAATGTGACTGCGACCTAATCATGCAAGCGGGTTTCCATAGTAACCTTCAAGAGTGAGAGAGGTGAAAAAGTTGTCTATCCTTCTCACTCTCGAGGAGTTACCATGGAGACCATGACCGTACCCTAACGAAGCGACTATAAATAAAAAATTATTAAAAATAAAAAAGGATGAACACCTTTAAAAAAACGTAAGTTCATTAAAACTAAAATGAATATAAATAGAAAATTTTAAAAAGCGATTCCTATAAATAAAAAGATATAAAATAATAAAAAAAGACCTTAAATAATAAATAAATATAAAAAGAAGCCATTATACAAATAAAAAAAATTAATATTTTACTCATTTCGATAAGAATAATTCTTTTTTCCATTATTTATACAAAAATTCAAATATTAACATATTCTACTGTATCAAATTTGTGATTGGACGAGGAAAATAATTTAAAACACCTGTTTCCTCAAATGATGTTTGTGACCTGTGAGTAAAGTCGTTCTGCGCAAGAGAAAGTTCACTGAATAAAGTGAAGCAGACAGCTCAACAGTAGAACTTTATCGAGTCGATCTTGTATACATATATATCTATTTGTACATATAAACACATATGTATACAATTTTATCGCAATGTGATAAATTATTTTTATGCCAAGTATCACATATTTATAAATATAAAAATTAAAATCACATTTTTAAAGAATATATAATAATCTTTATAACACAAAATTATGTGCTCGAATGCTAGAAATAAGGTGAGTTTCATCATCTTCACTGAATCTTTTTTTTTACACTTTGTAATTAAAAATTCAAATTGGACAATAATTAACGCGATGATTTAGCTGAAATTTTTATGTAATGATAGTTTTTTTTATTAAAGTTTTTAAAGAGTCATAAATGTAAATATTTCTTGTTAATTGGACTTTTTTTGTTATTCTTAACCTAGAAGAGTTATAATTAATGTTTTCAAAAATAAGTTGCAATTAAACAAAATTTTTTTTTAAATTAAAATAAAAATTTTTTTTTTAAAAATTAAAATAAAAAAAAATTTTTATTGATATTTTTTTAAATTGTTTTTTTTAAATGGAAAATATCTATGGTTTAATGAAACATTTTATTTTCTTGAATTTTTAATACAAGTGAGATTCAAAAAGTGACTTTCTCCTTTTCTTGATTTCATTCATCAACTTGTTTTTTTTATTTTTTCGAAATTGCAAAATTTTATCCTAAAGAAATACGTATAAGTAAACAAAAGGTACAAATTTATTTCATTTGTTATAATTTATTTTTTTTTAAACGAAATTGCAAAATTTGATAAATTACTTTTTTATTAAAATAGAAAAAAAAATTAATAGAAATTAAAAACATTAAAACATAAAAATAAAATAATAAAAATAAAAACATTAAAAATTAATAACAAAAGTGAAAAGAAAAAAATAAAATATAATAAAATTCTGATATTTAATTAAAGTTAATTTAAAAAAAATAATAATAAGAAAATAATTTTTTTTCATAATAAGTAAATATTTATATATATTTTTAAATGTTAACTAAGTCGTTAATTACGTTAATTATAATTGTATTGAACATTTTTTATTTAAAAAATTGTTTAATTCTCTTGAAACTTAATATCTGTGGTTTTTTCTGAAGTCGAATTTTCTAAATTCAAAATGGCGGAACCAAAATGTCAAACTTTGTTTTTCAAATATCTCTACCTTATACAATGACATTTATCCCATCGGGTATTAAAATTTTTGGTTATGTTTCTACACCTTTCCGCAATTAAATAAGATTCAAAATCGTTGGCGAAATATCGCAGTGGCCAATTTTTTGTAAAATCAAATTATAAATTGCAGTGAATATACTCTTTTTTTTCTTTCTCTTGTTTCTAAACATCGTACAAATCCAGATATCGAATGCGGTACTTGTCAGAGAAAAAAATTATTTATTCAAAAAACGCAAAAAATCGCAAGATAATCTTTGGCACGCGTCTTCAATATTAATTATGTGACACATTTATAATAATTAGAAAACTGCCAAACACCGTCAAATTTGTATAAGTCTTCTTAGAAGTTCAGGTTAAAAAAAATAACCACACTCAATATAAACAACATTTAAAAAAACATATTTATAGGGTAAAATTTCCCATAGTGCGCTGCGACAAATCTCAATGGAGAATTGTCGAAACTCACATGCATTTATTATTTTTACATTTTTTTGGAAACTTTTTAATTATAAACTTGTTTACTGTCACCGTCAATTAATATCAACTTTTTTACTTATTCGCACCTATATGTAAAAGCATTATTCGAATTTCACCGGTGAGGTATTTATAAGTATCTTAAGTATCTTGTTGTGACTTCTTGATTATACTTACCTTTACTTTATCCACCATTGCACTGCTGGAGTCATCGCGACCATCGTCAGGGATGGGTCACTTAAAAACTATAATTTATAAATCGTAAAGTTCCTTCTACAATAAAGTCCCATGTGAGCGCAGAAAGCGGAACAGCTGCATCTGTAAAATAAAAATTTATTTTTTCTTTTGCAGCACAAAACAGTGCCAAATCAAGGATCCTTGTCCATAATGCTAAAACAAATGGTAGTGGATTTTATGAAATGTATGATTGTCCAGATACACTGGCTCTTTGACATTATTGTTGATTTTTGCTTTGGCCTCTATTACGACAGTAAAGTCCAACGAGTTCCACCTGTAAAAAATAAATTATTACTTGAAAGCGGTTGCAGTCTGGCGAAGAAAATACGGTAATTTACCATTTCTCGTCATTGATGAGAAAATATCCTTTTAATGATTAATTATTCCATACAAAATACATATATTAGACTATGTGACGTATGGTTCTAAGAGGCAACAAATTTTAGGTTATGTGTTTGTGAGACCATTTCAATTAAGAACTGATTTCGATTTTACAGTTTAATTATACTTTTTAATCGGAATGAAACGCCTCTAATCGTAAATCGTAATATTTTACATTAGAGGGAAAAGAACAAGATATATTTCTATCCTTTTCTCTCTCAGGTAAAATTTATATTATAACGCCTAGAGGTTTCATTCTACTTTAACTGTAACTTACACCTAAACTGTAAAATCGAATTCAGTTTTGAATTTAATTAAATCATTTCAATAATTAATTTTATAGTTAAAATCTAATACAAACCTAACCTATAATTCGTTTGATTTTAAAGTCCCTCCTTTTTTAGAGCGCGTCACAAATAAAATGGTAGCTTCTATATAGAGAGTTTATTTTACATTTTATTACGTACAATTATGTTTATTTCACTTTTACGACAGTGAAACATTAAAATTTACAGAGAAGGAACTGTAAGTGCCGAGGAAGTGGTGCGTACATTCATTGATAGATGCAAAGAGGTGAATGGTTTGTTGAACACAATTGTCGTGGAATGTTACGAGAGTGCCATAAAAGAAGCACAAGAGGTGGATAAATTATTGAAGACAGATGTGGACCGTGAAATATTAAGGAAAACGAAACCATATCTGGGTGTTCCATTTACAACAAAAGAGAGCAATGAAGCAAAAGGTTAACAATTCATTTTAATTCGAAATTTGTTCCTAAAGTCCTAAGCATTAGGGAATTAGGATTAGGATTAGCGAACGTAAAGCATGATGTAGAAAAAGATACAAATAAATTTCTGTCCTTTTCTAACTCATACTTTGCGTTCGCGAAGCAATTGTGTTAAGGCCTTAGCTGGAGAATTTAGTTCGGGTCCTAGATATATTGATATATAGGGTTTTTCTCACCTTAACAAATATTCTAGGTTTGAAGCACTCAATGGGAATGATATGTCGACGAGATCATATTTCAACGGAAGATGCGACAGTTGTGGGGCTACTGAAAGAGGCTGGAGCAATAATTATAGCGAAAACAAATATTCCCGAGATGAATTTGTGGATTGAGTCGAGAAATAATGTTTATGGACAAACTAACAATCCGTACGATACAACACGTACAGTTGGAGGAAGTAGTGGGGGTGAGGGAGCTATCGTTGCCGCCTGCGGTAGTGCTATTTCCATAGGTAGCGATATTGGCGGTTCTACACGAATTCCCTCATTTTGCAATGGAGTTTTTGGACACAAACCCAGTGAAGGTTGGTTAAAATTACATAATACATGTGCAAAAAACAAAAATTAGAATTTTTTTCCAACACCTCCATTTAGTCTCTTTTCTGCTGATGATAACTTAGGCTGGAGTCCCATGGTACCGTTTTGCGTTGCGTTTTGTAACTAGGCAATGAGTGCAAATAGAGCAAACATATATCTGTATCTCTCTCACACTCATGGCCTAGTTACAAAACGCAACGCAAAACGCTACCATGGGACTCTAGCCTTATCCCCACTCTATCACCAAAGAACGTAACTCCCATAGTCCAGAATGACGATTTTTGACGAAAACGGTCGTTAGCATCAGCAGAGAGTTAAGGAAATAAAATTTTGAGGTTAAGGCGAAAGTATAAATCTCATGCATCACATTCGCGAATAGCAATACTCCCATAACATGCAATAGTTTACAACATGCAAAATAAAAAAAAAAATTGGGTATATGACCCACATTTTACAGCGATATGAAGAAAAAACACCCTTTTTTAGGTAAAATTCTTCTTTTTGTCGATAAATGGCCTTATTTTACATATTAAATACAGTCTCAAGTATTTTTTTCGTAAATTTCAGTATTGCCATATGTAAATATAATTTGCAGGAACAACCTCAACAAAAGGCATCGGAATGAGAAGCGAAAATTCCAGAGACACGATGGTTGGTGTTGGTCCAATGTGTAAAAATGCCGAAGATCTTTTGCCACTATTGAAAATTTATGTTGGTGAAAATATTTCCATGCTGAAACTAGACAGTCAAGTTGATGTGAAAAATTTAAAAGTATTTTATCAAGTCTCATCGGGCGACATTCGTTCGAGTTCGGTTAGTAAAGAAATGCGATCCACATTGATGAAGGCTGTGCGTCATTTCGAACAAGTCACTGGATCTGCAACAAAGGTTTTAAAATATTAATTTTTAATAAAAAGATCTTATAGCAGAAAAGATTCGCGTAGGCTGTGTGGTAGAAAAGAATATAGATTTACTACTGTCCTCTTCTATCTCAGCTGTCGTGAATCTTTTGTGCTTATTACGAAAATAGTTATTAAAACATAACCTAGAAAATATTTGTGCTTATTACGAAAGTATTTTTTAGATTAAAATGCCGGGTTCGGAATACAGTTACCGAATCTGGAGGTATTGGATGACTCAGGAGAAGGGGGATTTTAGACATCTTATCACGAATAGAAAGGTAAGGGCAAAATTAATTCTTTTTCGAATGTATTAATACTTTCCTTCCGGTTTGACGGTGTTTTAAAAAAGTCGTTACACTTCTGTCAAAATGTTGTCAGAAACTAAGGTCACGAACTAACAACATTTTGATAGATGTGCGTCAACACTTTAGGCCTAAGCACAATTGCTTCGCGAAGGTCGTTCGCGAACGCAATGCATGGGTTAGAAAAGGACAGCGATATATTTGTGTCCTTTTCTAACTCATACTTTACATTTGCGAATGACGTTCGCGCAGCAGTTGAAATTTTCTTGACCTTTTTCTTCACCCTTTTTTTAGAGTGTCACGAGTGCAAGAGCAGAAGTAATGAAATTAGTGAGTTGTCAATCGGAATTAACATTGGCAGCTATTCTCAAATTGTCCGACATGGATTTCTTGCCACAGGAGAATGCTGATTGGGCACGATTTGTAACGTCCACTTTGAAAAAATTTTTATTAGATAAACTTAGCGATAATGGAATTCTTCTTTATACTTCGTCACCGAATTCTGTCCCGTACCACTATGCCTCATACCTTAAACCATTTAATTTTGGTTACTTCTGTCTTTTTAACGCTCTAAGATTTCCTGTTTGTCAAGTGCCAATGGGACTGGATCGCAATGGTTTACCGACTGGAATTCAGGTAAGCGACTGTTGAAATTTAAAAAATTTTTAAAATTTTAAGTTAAATTTTAACTTTTTGACAAAAATATAATGCTGAAAATTTTTGTCAACTGATCAGGGTTGGGTAGCTATTTTTTAAAAAAAGAAGTTTCAATACTGTAGGGGACATGTTGTAGACGCGGCCTAATTAAGGTTGTGTTCACAATGGACTTCTTTATGTCATGCGTGAAATAGAAAAAGACCCTAGTATATCTCTATCCTTTTCTATCTCATGCATATTTGTATCCTTGCATTAAGGTTGTATCCACAATGGACTTATTATTTCCAAAAAAAGAATATTCGATAAATACGATTAAATTTATGAAAAATTTAACTCCATTCCTATTCCTACTTAGAAAATACAAAAGAAAACCATATATTTGTTTACCTCGTGTTGAAATTTCCAAAAAAATGGGTCTTTTCAAAGAAAATATACAGAAGATCGATAAAGTAGATTCCTCCCTAGAAAAATTAGTAAAAATTTTTTTTTTTTTTTTGTATTTTCAACAAAAAATTAGCAGAGGCACATTATGTTTCTTTCTATGATTACAATTCTCGTAATTTAAGTGCATTTTCTTTTAAATTTTAAGGAAAAAAATTGTTTTTTTCGTTTAGGTTGTTGCTGCTCCATACAACGATCATCTTTGTCTTGCTGTTGCAAAAGAACTGGAAAGAGCCTTTGGTGGATGGGTGCCTCCATCATAATTTTTTTTCCTCCCTTAAATATGATAAATATTACAATTTCACTCCATTATTATCATATTTACAAAAATATGATATAATTTTCATATTCTATACTCTTATAAATATTTTCCAATTTTACAAATTTTATCTTTAAAAAAGTTAAATTTTCTGATCTATGTAAAAATTAAATTTTTTCAAATTATTACAAAAAAAAGAATTAATTTTTAATATTCGAAAATTAATTTTGTTTGAAATTATCACGAGAAAAAAAGGATTTTGAATTCATGGAAATTAATTTCTTCTAAAATTGTTACAAAAAAAAGGAATTAATTTCGATGATTTTTATAAATTATTGTTTTTTCGAAATTATCAGAAACAAAAAATTAATTTTTTGAAAATTATTTTTTTTTCAAAGTTATTATATAAATATAGTAGATGTGAATATTTTGAAAAATTATTATAATATATTTAAAATGATAAATACTTGTACATAAAAAATGTAGTTCTAGGAGGAAAGAAATTTTTTTTTCAATTATATGAGAAAAATAACGAAAAACAAAAGACAAAAAAATAGGTTAATTTTCGTAATTATTTGAAATTGACAATTTAATTTTTGGTTTCTTACAATTGTAGATAAAAAAACATTCTTTTTTTCGAAAAATTGGAAATTTTCAAGAATATTTAAAAAAAATTCAAACATGAATAACGAAGAAATTTCACGTACAAATAATGAACCGCGTAATTTCTTGAAAATTAGTCATTTAGTTGCTCAACGTCTTCAAACAGGTTAAGAATTTTATAAAATTCTAATAATTCTAATTTTTAGTTTTCAAAATAAAAAAAAATTATTTCTTACATTTTCTACATTATATTAGATATAATATATATACGTACACATAAATATTTATGTTCCTTTTAATAAAGGTGTGAGTTATTTATTTCTAAAAAAATGTATCTTTTTATCTTCCCATCATATTTTAATTTTTATTTAAAAATTTTTTTTTTATTTTTATCTAAATTTGTTCTATTTTTTTTACCAAATACACAGGTCACGTGGTGGAGGAAAAAATTGAGGACCCAATGGAAGAAGAGGAAAATTGGATAAATAAATTGAAAGAAATTGATCGTAATCACAGTATTGAGCAAAATCTTGATATTGCCGAAGCGCAAAGAATTTTAAATTCTCTTTCGAGTTATACTGATGGTAAACTTGTTACAACGTGTCCGGTCGACAAAAAAAAGGTAAAAAAATTTTCCCATTTAGTATTTTTTGATTTAGAAAAAATTTTTTTACCCGAGGGGGTAAAATTACTATTTTTTGCCCTAGGGTAAAAAACAACACTTTCCTTCTAGGGTTTGAATTTTATTATTGAAATTAAGTTACGAGTCCTTCAAAATCGTTTAACTATCCCACAAGTTTAAATTCGACATTTTTTTACTCTAGGGAGAAAAGTTACCATTTTTGCCCCCGGAAGAATCATATTTCTTTTCAAGGGTATAGAATAGTTACTTTTAAACCTTAAGAAAACAACATTTTTCCATATTCGTCGCAAGGCATTAAAGTGCGTATAATTCTTCTACCCCTAGGGTGGAAAACAGTTCTTTTCTACCCTGGGGGTAAAAATACCGTTATTTTAAACCCAAGTAGACTTTGGAAAGTATTTGTTTTTTAAAATTTACCTATTTTACCCCCCTTCTTAAAAAATTGTTCTCAATTTAAAATTATTACACTAGGTAACTTTTAAAAAATTAGGAAATAATTTTTCTTAATTTTTTCTTAATAAATAAAAGAGTATTTTTAATATAAAGAAAAAATTTCTCTAAAAATAATAATAATTTAAAAAAAATTATTTTATATCAAAGATTATAGACTGCTATACATTCATGAAAGGAGACACTCTAAAATGCGAACCCGAAGTTCAAGAATTCATTAATTGTATCGATAATTTATTATATAAGGCAACTCACATCAATGAAAGGGAATCGATTAGTTTCACGTGTCCGAAAAAAATGACTTATCGAGAAAGATTCGAACGCTCATGTTTAAATAAATAAATGGGAGAATGTAAATTATGTAGAAAAAAAACAAATTTTTATTTTGAAAAATAGAAAACAAAAATTTACATTCACTTTGAAAGAAAAATTGTAATTTCAGTTATTGTTTTTTATCATTATTATTATTATTATTATTTTTGTCATTATTATTATTTTTTATCATTATTATTACGTTTTTTATTATTATTAGTAGACGTACATTATTCATAGAAAAAAGATTTAATTTTCATTCGAACTAAAATTTTTAGTTTCTTTTAAAAAATAAATTCGTTTAAATTTAAAATAATTAACAAAGAAAAAAATTTTTTAATGAAAAGAAAACAACGTTTTTATTTTGTCGATCGAATGTATTCATTAAACAAACGGACTATTTACAGTGGATCAAGAGTAAAAGTTTTAAAAATTGAAAAAAGGCGAAAATATTATCATTTACATTATATATATTAGCAATAATATTATTATTATAATATATTAGCATATTTGTTTCTTTTTCTCTTTTAATTTGCATTACAAATTACCGTTTATACTTTTTTTTAATAACATTGTATTTAAAATTTTTTTTTAACCTTGTTTTAAGAAAAAAGTTTTTATATATTTATATTTTGTTATATCATTATTATTAATATAAAAAAAATATAACATTTCTCTTTATAAATAAAAAAATTGTCGTTTTTTTATAATCTTCTTTTTCTTCAATTAAATCCTTTTTTTTTTTTTTGAAGCGTGCTTTATAGCCTATCATAAAAAGTGCTTTCAGTTTTCCGATTAAAATTATTATTATTATTAACTAAAAAATAAATTTTATTCTACTATACTTAGAGTAAATCTGGGCATTTATTTATATTTTTTTTTTGTTTTTGGTATTCTTAAATTATTTTTTTTTATTATTCACGAAGACGAGCCAATCGTTGAGTTAATTCGTCTTGTTCTTGTGATATTGTTGTCGTTGATCCTATGGTGCTCAAATTTTCCGACGGAAGTTCCATATTTAGTTCCAATCTGAAAAATTAAAAAAGTAGATGAAAATCAGTTTTTTCAAAAAAAAGAAGTAAAACAAAAAAAACAAATATAATTAGATTAAAAGAAGTAGAAAAAACTGTAAACAGAAAAGCAACTAAAATAAATAATAAAGAAATAAATACTTGTAATAAAAAATAAAAAAAAATTGATTAAAAATTAGTAAATAATAATTAAAAAAAGGAAATAATTTCCATTCAATTGAATTTTAACTAATTAATAAAAACAAATAATAAATAATTTTTTAATAATGAAAAAATTACCCAGCCTCATCGGCGACTTGTTGCATCAAAGAATCAACATCATTCTGAGGAACATTTGTCGTTGTCGTTTGTGACATTGCATTCTCCATATAAGAACTTTGAACATCAAGATCCTCAAATTGACTCTCAAATTTATCCATGAGTCCGGAAATTTTTTCTAAATTCATTGATTTCATGGCGGCGTCCATTGCCTTAACAACGCCTGCCATTGATTGCGTGACTTTTCTTGTTGTCAATGCAGTTTGAACACGACTTGCAACAGCGTCAACACGCGCGCTCATTCGTAAATAATTTAGTGCCTGATTTTTTTGTCTTATCGCATTTTCCGCGTGTATACGCGCACCCTCCATATTACCCTTTTGTATCGCCTTCTTTATTTTTGCCTTCTCCAATTTTTCCTCCTTCTCACATTTCTTTGAATTCCTCTCCAATTCCTTCACAGCGAATTTGAGATTGAATAGATTTTCTATTTTTTCGGGGAGGGGGAAATTAGTTAAGGAAAAATAATATATTTTTAAACCATTTACGGAACAATTATCACTCAACATTGCAAGACTCAATTTAATTTCGTCTATATAATCCTTAAATATCCTTCTAAAATATTTAACTCCAATCACTTATAAATAAATACATCCAAACAGTTTTTAGTGTCAATTCAAAATTTAATAAATTCATTTAGCTTGGTAAGGATAGACTCTCGAGACACAATCAATGTAATTGTCTATAGATTCTAATGTAATTGTGGTAAATCATACATAGGAGAGACTAAAAGACCGTTACACATTCGTAAAAAGGAACATATGAGTAATTCTGATTTAAATATCATATCAAATATCATAATGCTATTACTAATCATTTAACTAATTCTAATAGTGATTCCTCTCCACATTTTATAAAATGGGATGATTTTAATATTTTAGATGTTGAACCAAATCTTAACAAACGATAAGTATCAGAAATGTTTTTCATAAAAAAAGGAGAGAATAGTTTAAATAAAATGACCGACTTGGATAATTTTGATAAATCGTACGAAATGATTTTGAATTTTATTTCCAGCAATTTAACGTAATAAATACTCATTGAGTTTCATTCTCTGTTCTTATTTAATTTATTGTTTTTATTTGTTTTTGTTTTTCTCTGTTTAATAAATGTTCATTGTAATGACTAGATAGAGTTTAGAGCTCAGTTTTAAATTTGACTTTGCAGTTTGCAATACGTTTTTACTTAAATTGGACAAATTATTTTTATTTTATTTTATTGTGAATTATTGTATTGTGAACCGTTATTTATTTAATTATTTATTATCTGTGTTATTTTTTTATTATTTTTTACTATTTATTATTTTTATTTTTATTTATTATTAATTTTCATAATTGTATTATTAATTTTTCATAAATTTAAAATTTTTTTATTAATTTTTAAATTGTTATTAACTTGTTACTAATTTCATTATTAATTATTTTTCACATTTTTAAAATTTTTTAAATTTTTTTTAATTATTTTTAAATTTATTTTATGAATATTAAGTTCCTTTATAATTTTCTGACTCCAGACTCTACTCCATCATCAGGGCATAAAAATTTAAGTCTTCGTATATTTTAATTATTATTTTTTTGGTAAGATAATTATCCATTAATTTTTATTTTATTTATTTATTGTTAAATTATTTTTATTATTATTTTAATTTTGTATATTTTTTTGGATAGACTTCCTGAAGAGGATATTCATTTAGATTTCGAAACGTCGGAGTAAATAAATATTTTATTCATTGTCCGAATGTTTTCGTTTAATTTGCCTTAATTTATAAAGGATCTTGGACGTTAAAGATTATTTAACTAAATAAATCAATTACTTCATAATATTAATATAATCAGTATTTATTGATCAACTTTTTAATAAATAAATCAATTACTTCATAATATTAATATAATCAGTATTTATTGATCAACTTTGAATAATCAGGATGAAAAGAAGAAATATCACTCATTAGTCAATTTACTAAAACTTTGAACATTTTTCTCACTCGCGACTTTAGTTTTCCTTTTTTTCTTGTTCATCGAAACATAGTAATTATTATATTTTTTCTTTCCAAGGTATCTGTAAGCAAATTTCCCAAAAGTTCCTAAAGGAAAAAAAAATAAATAATTTCAACAATTTACAACATAACCTAAAAATTACAGAAAATGAATAAAACATAAAAAATACATAAAAAATAATTTCTTAAACTTTCCCCAGTGTTTTGAAAATTAAATTCTTGAAAATTATTCTCAGTAATAAAAAATTCAGTCGATAAAATGAACACTAATTTGGAAAAGCAGATGAAAATGACCTTGAACAAGTAATTTAAACACACTTTGTAATGAATATGATCAATCTTTTCTGAATAGGTAGAAAAAAACTATTAGGTAAAAAATCGAAGAAAATTGTAAAATTAGAAAAAAAAATTGTAACCACCGAAAAAAGGATACTTTCCATCTGTGAGACGGACATTGCTGATTGTTCGGCCCCCGTTGTGTCAAAACTGTAAAAGAAAAAGAATAATCTTGAAAAGAAAGAAAAATTTTATACTCATCACTTTGTTTTTCCTGATGTACTTTTTTTGACAGAAAATTTTTATAATCATACAAAATTGTAACGTACTTTAATAATACAATAAAACGAACTCTCTTGTCTCACAAATTGAAATAGTCTTTGAAAAAAAAGCGTTTTTAAATCTAAAAAACTACTTTTTTTACACTCTGTAATTAAAAAAAATGAGAAAAATTATGAAATTTGTTATGAATCACTTTTCTAAAATTCTAACCTATTTTACATTTGACAACTTCCAGTCATTGATGCGCATGCGTCGTTGACGTCAAGTTTCTTTCATTTTGGCGGGAAACTCAAAGAACTTTGCTTATTTGAAAATTTTTAAATAAAATTCTTCTTTTTAAATCACAATTATTTTTTTATATTTTTTTGAAAAAGTTCTTTGAGAATTTTTAAATCCATTTGTTTGCGATTCAATTTTTATAATATATTTTATAAAAAAAAGTTGCAAACATTTGATTTTTTCAAAAAAAATTCATGCAAATTCTATTTTTAATAATTGAATTCCAGTGAAATTTTCATTATTTTAGAAAATAATTGGAATATTCGTGTAGAATTTTGTCAAAAATTGTTTTTAAATAATTGAATTATTTCAAAAAGAATTTAATTAAAATTGTAATCAAAATAATTGATTTTTTTCGAACAAATTTCTTGAAATATTTGAAAATAATTATTGAATTTCTGTGAAAAATTCTAATATTTTTGTAAATTATTGAATTCTTCGGGGCGCATGATTATTCCCCAAATGTCAATTTTGCGAAATGTCATTTTTGCGAACTGCACTTTTGCGAAATGTCATTTTTCCGAAATGTCATTTTTGCGAAATGTCATTTTTGCGAAAAGTCATTTTTACGAAAAGTCACTTTTACGAATTGTCATTTTTGCGAAAAGCCATTCTTGCGAAATGTCATTTTTGCGAAAAGCCGTTTTTGCGAAATGTCATTTTTACGAAAAGTCATATCAGCAAAAAGTCAATTTTGCGAAATGTCATTTTTACGAATTGTCATTTTTGCGAAAAGTCATTTTTACGAAAAGTCATTTTTGCGAAAAGCAAATTTTGCGAAATGTCATTTTTACGAATTGTCATTTTTGCGAAATGTCACTTTTACGAATCGCCATTTTTACGAATTGTCACTTTTGCGAATCGACATTCTTACGAAATGTCATTTTTACGAATTGTAATTTTTGCGAAATATCATTTTTGCGAAAAGTCATTTTTGCGAAATGTCATTTTTACGAAAAGTTATTTATGCGAAAAGTCATTTTTGCGAAATGGCATTTTTACGAATTGTCATTGTTGCGAAAAGCCGTTTTTGCGAAATGTCATTTTTGCGAAAAGCCATTTTTACGAAAAGTCATTTTAGCGAAAAGTCAATTTTGCGAAATGTCATTTTTACGAATTGTCATTTTTGCGAAAAGTCATTTTTACGAAATGTCATTTTTGCGAAAAGTCAATTTTGCGAAATGTCATTTTTACGAATTGTCACTTTTGCGAAATGTCATTTTTGCGAAAAATACAATAGTAAACTAGTAGTATATATAGATTCACTATTGTATTTTTCGCAAAAATGACAATTCGTAAAAATGACATTTGGCAAAATTGACTTTTCGCAAAAATGACATTTCGTAAAAATGACTTTTCGCAAAAATGACAATTCGTAAAAATGACATTTCGCAAAAATGACATTTCGCAAAATAGCTTTTCGTAAAAATGACATTTCGCAAAAATGACATTTCGCAAAAACGGCTTTTCGCAACAATGACAATTCGTAAAAATGCCATTTCGCAAAAATGACTTGTCGCAAAAATAACTTTTCGTAAAAATGACATTTCGCAAAAATTACTTTTCGCAAAAATGATATTTCGAAAAAATTACAATTCGTAAAAATGACATTTCGTAAAAATGTCGATTCGCAAAAGTGACAATTCGTAAAAATGGCGATTCGCAAAAGTGACATTTCGCAAAAATGACAATTCGTAAAAATGACATTTCGCAAAATTTGCTTTTCGCTGATATGACTTTTCGTAAAAATGACATTTCGCAAAAATGACATTTCGCAAAAACGGCTTTTCGCAAAAATGACATTTCGCAAGAATGGCTTTTCGCAAAAATGACAATTCGTAAAAATGACTTTTCGTAAAAATGACTTTTCGCAAAAATGACATTTCGCAAGAATGGCTTTTCGCAAAAATGACAATTCGTAAAAATGACTTTTCGTAAAAATGACTTTTCGCAAAAATGACATTTCGCAAAAATGACATTTCGGAAAAATGACTTTTCGCAAAAGTGCAGTTCGCAAAAATGACATTTCGCAAAAATGACATTTGGGGAATAATCATGCGCCCCGAATTCTTCGAATTAAGAATTTAAAAAAACATTTTTTTTAATAATTAATTTTTTCGAGGAATTAAAATTAAATTTTTAAGAATAATTACATTTTTTTGAGCGATTCCTGTAAAATTGGATTAAAAATAATTGAAATCCTGCGATGAATTTTATTATTTATGAAAATAATTGAATATAGTTGCAATTATTTTTTTTCAAAAAAAAATTGAATTCCTGAGAAGAATTTTATTATTAATGAAAATAATTGAATTTTGGATTAATTTTACCAATTTTTGTTTTTAAATAATTGATTTATTTTGCGAAATTTTATGAAAATACTATATACATATTGAAAATAATTGAATTTTGAATTTTTTTTTTGAAAAATCATTGAATTTCGAATATTTTTTGAAAATAATTGCATTTCAAATATTTTCTTTTAAATAATTAAATTTTGAATATTTTTTTTTTTAAATAATTGAATTTCAAATATTTTTTGAAAATAATTGAATTTCAAATAATTTTGACAATAATAATTGAATTTCAAATATATTTTGAAAATAATTGAATTTAAAATATTTTTTTAAAAATAATTGAATTTTGAATATTTTTTTTTTTAATAATTGAATTTCAAATATTTTTTGAAAATAATTGAATTTCGAATTTTATGGTTTTTAACGTTTTTGTCGCGAGAATTAATCACAATTGGACAAAAATGTATGGTACGAAAAAGATGTGTTTTGTTATAAGGCATACATCTTTTGTTGGGAATATTTTTTCAAATTCTGTGTTTTTTAGGAGTTAAATGCAAAAAAAACCACATTTTTATGGTGTTTTTTATGGTTTTCACCATGATAAACTTATTTGCGCTAAATTTTATTATTATTTTCGTAATGAGCGAATCAAAATACGTTAGTATACCAACTTTCATTAAAATCGGAGGTATATGCGCTTTTTGGAAGCACACCCATATTTTCAAAATAATTGAATTTCGAATATTTTTTGAAAATAATTGAATTTCGAATATTTTTTGAAAATAAATGAATTTCGAATATTTTTTTGAAAATAATTGAATCGTTTTTAATGAATTTGATTATAATTTTTGAGAATATTTTATTTTATAAAGTCTTTTAGGGTAATGTAGATAAAGGTGGTATTCTACATTATCGACAGGAGCCCGAGAGAAAAATTCCCACACAAAAATTCTCTCATGGGAAGCTAAGCTCTCGAGGTCGTCGAGGCTTTTAGCAGCGCTGCTGTTGGATTTTCAAAATACTATTGCTTATGCTATTGCTCATCACACATTGTACAGTCAGTGTGCAGTGTGTTAAAATAATTCTAAAAGCGGAGGTGAGGGAGAGAAGTGAGTAGTAGTGTTTGGAATAGTTGACATTTATTGAAGTGAGAAAGAAGATAGTGCGTTTGAGTGTGTGCGTGTGGTTTGTGAGGTAAAGGCAAAAAGGCGCTCACGGATTTTTATTGAACGCGCATATATAGGGAAAAAAAGGAAAGAATTGTTGTTTCAGGCAACAGGCTGTGTCTGTGTTATTGCACTTAAAGTTTGACGCGATCGACTATGGAGACCCTTGAGAAGAGTCGCGTGTGTCGACTCTGTGGAAAGCACTCGGGCATCTCCATTGACATATTCGACAAAAATGACAACCATTTCAAGAAAATCAACTCGATCCTACCAATTTCGGTGAGTAGTGCACAGATTCTTTTTCTCTCTCTTTTTACTTACCCTGTCTATTTTTCCCTCTCTCTCTCTCTATTTCTCTTTTTCTTTCTCCTTCGTTTCGCATTTCAATAGCGTAGGAATAATTTATTTTAATCTATTCATTTTCCACTACCCTCCGCCCTTAACTTTTTCCCACCATTTCTTTCTTTACTCTGTTTTAAAAAAAAGAGTTGCGAACAATGCTGTCTTTCATTCCTCAATCGCTGTTATCGCTAACGTGTGCCCCATTAGGAAATACGAAACCAATTTTTTTTTTTTATATGAAAGATTTTTACAAAAAAATAATTCGTTTCCAGTGTCTATTTTTTCCAACCGTTCTTTTTTCGGGAGGGAGTAAATGTTCATATATATATATATAGAAGTGTATAGCCACTTCCATTGTTTCTTTAGCTCGACTTTAGCTTCTAAGGAGTGTTTATTCTTACTGAAATTGTATACAACAAGTATCGGGAGGGAAAAAAATGATAGTTTGTGTGTGAATAAGAGTAAAAAAAGCGGAGGAAATCGTTTCCTTTTAAATGGAGAATTTTTCTATGTGGCAAAAATATTGACGAACACGCGCTTCTTCATTTTCGCGCCAATATTATTTTTCTCACCAAACATATATCTCTCTCGTATATACAAATACATATAAACACACGTTATATTTATATCCATTCAATTCCCGCGAATTTTCTCGCTTTATATATATTTTTTCTTTTGGTGCACTGTATATGTATATATGAAGACTTTTCTTTCACGGAACTCGTAACGGTTTTTTTTTAGTGCGTATAGCTTTCTCAGATTTTATTTCAATTCGTTATTTTTTCTCTTTCTCTAACTCACTTTAATATTCTGACCACTTGTTTTGTTCCACTTACTTATATTCCAAGAATGGTATTCTAGTGCACTTTTAGTTTTTTAAAATTTTTAGTACTATTTACGATATTTTCTTATTTAATACTAATTTATAATTAAATTATATTAATAATTAAAATACTATAATAAATAAATAAATACCATAATATAATATTCTCTTAATTTCTCAAAATACACCGAATTATGCGTTAAAATTAGAAATGGACAATGTTAAATTATCTTGTAAAGTTTTTAAGCTGACACTCAATTTAATCGAAAAAAATTCTAAACATGGAGAACAATAGATTTCCTAAGATTTGTTTGTTACAACTTATTAGTTTATCGAATTAAACAAATGCTAAATATAAATATAATTGGTGTCTCCAAGTTGAAAAAATGTTTGAATTTATGGGAGAAACATTAGGTGGAATGCTGAATATGATATTATATAATACTAGCTGTCGTACCCGTCTTCGACGGGTTTTAGTTTCTACCAATACATTTAAGTTTCTACCAATCTGGAAAATCAGGAAATAGCTAGGGAATTTAATTTGACCGGAAAAAAATAATAATTAGTTACCATTATAGCTATTTTAGTAGGAAAATATTACTATTTGAATCAGTGATTGACTTTTTGTTATCAAATTAGTTATTTTAACCAATTCAAATGCAGAGAACAATATTTATCAATTTGTAGTACTTTAATTAATGTATTAAAAAAATTAAATTTTCCATACAGTTTTTGGAGTTATAGTAGAGTCTAATTGGAACTAATTGTATCGCAAGTAGACCCTACGTTACGACTGCTAAAACCTAACATAAGACCTAAATTTTAGGCTGAAAGTAGGGCTTAAATTTTGACTCGGGTCTGTTTTCATAAATATTATACATCAATAAAAATTGAAGTAAAAAGCAATTTTTTAAAAGCGAATTAATATAATGAAACTTTTTCTTAATTTGATAGGAAAATTCCCGGTTCGGCATATTCCCAGCTTTTTACAGTTTTTCCCGTTTGGTAGATACCCAGTTAAATGTATTAGTATAAACAGAAAACTGTACGACAGCAAGTAATACAATCTATATTTATATGAACTTAAGAAACAGTATTTTCATAAAATAAGTAAATTTTTATAGCCATTTGTAGATTTATTTATGGATAAAATCAAGTAAATTTAAATTTGACAAAAAAGAGATAAACCGTGAAAAGTTTGGACAAAGCAGGGAATTTTGTTAAACAAAAATAGACACCGTGTTAACTTTTGTCTTTACATTGCTCAAAACATCTCTTAAAGTTAAATCTAGAGTTAAAATGAAAAAAACGTTTTAACATGTAAGTTTTTGCCTAGTGGCATAATATGCTTGTATTGTATCACAGGTGACTTACAATTCTTGACATCCTGCGAAATCATTTTAATCATAAAAAATTTCCATTTTCAATATTTCTGAACTTCTTGAAAATATTAGATTGATTTGATAAATAATTTTGAATTGCACTATTTTGACATCAAAATATTAATCAGAGACTCCAAAAATACTACTGAATTATACTTCATATAGTAATTAGTATCGATTTTTTGATATATTGAAAATTTTTTTATATTTCTTGTAGGATAGTATTTTTTGCAAAATTATGATAAAATCTGACTAAATAACATATAATATTCATTTTTAGAGAGTTTAAAAGCTATCCATTAAAAATTGTGAAATTTGGAAATTTTCCATTTTTCAAGTTTTTGAAAATATTTTTATATTTACATCTTAGTTGTAGAATAGTATTTTTTGAAAAATTATGCTAAAATGTGACCAAATAACATGTAATACTCAAATATAGAAAGTTTAAAAGCAATCCATAAAAAAATGTAAAATTTTGAAATTTTCGATTTTTTGAAAACATTTTTATACTTACATATTAGTTATAGGACTTTATTTTTTGCAAAGTTATGCTATAATGTGACTAAATAACATATAATACTCAAGTATATAAACTTCAAAAGCAATCCATGAAAAATAAAAAATTTTGAAATTTTCGATTTTTTGAATTTTTTGAAAAAATTGAATATCTCCCGTTCTAATTAATATTTTTTAAATCTGTAAATTTATAAACCTTCCTTGGGTCAATACCTAATAACCTACCAAGTTGGACTTAAATCGATTCACATGTTTTTGTGTGATTGGGGTACAAAGTTTTTGTGACAGACAAACATACATACATACATACATACATACATACATACATACATACATTAAATTTTTTAAGAACATTTTTGGAATCTCTGATGTCCATAATAACTAATCATGTTAACATTTTGAAGTTTTAAGCAATGTACAGACAGACATCTGATTTTATTAATAAGGATTCTCTCAATACCTCAAAATACGCCCCGAATTATGCGTTAAGATTAGAAATAGACAATATTAGATTATTGAATTCAACAAATGCTAAATAATAAATATAATTGGTCTCTACAAGTTGAAAAAATATTTGAATTTATTTTAGAGAAAAAATTACATTAAATGCTCAATATAATATAATATTCTCTCAATTCCTCAAAATACACCGAATTATGCGTTAAGATTAGAAACAGGCAATGTTAAATTATTTTGTAAAATTTTTAAGCTAACACTCAATTTAATCGAAAGAATTCTAAACATGGGCAACAATTGATTTCCTAAGATTTGTTTGTTACGTCTTATTAGTTTATCGAATTCTACAAATGCTAAATATAAATATAATTGGTGTCTCCAAGTTGAAAAAATGTTTGAATTTATACGAAAAAAAATTACGTGGAATGCTTAATATATAATGAACAATTAAGAACATTTTTAGTTAATTAAAACATACAGTAATTTCCTACGAGCAGAAGATGTAATTTCTCTATCCGACTCTCGATCTCTGCAAATATTTACCCAGAGATCTCACTTTGAGAGAAGAAAGTCAAAACTATTTATTAAAGTTAAAAGTTCCTTTGATTAAAAAAAAAAAATTCGTACAAATTCATTTACTGAACAATTATATAATACTAGAATTATTTTTAAAAGTAAATTTTATAAATTAGATTTTGAATATTGATGTGGATATCGAGAGTTAAGGGTATATAGATAATTATATCAGATCTTTATAGAATGTGCGATGTACATAACGATATAAGAAGAAAATACATTATTCCACAAGTATACAGATTTAATCAATTATAAAGAATAGTTGGATGGACATTTTAATTTTTCCTGATGTCAATAGTTTAAAGTCTGTAGTATTTTATATTTCAAGTGCGTTAAAATTATAAGATTAAAATATATTAGAAATTGTATTCAAAATTATTATTTCAAAGCGACTCCTTTGTGTAAACATGTAGTTCAAAACAAGTAATAATTATTTTTATTATTTTAATATTTCCTTATTTATGTATTTATATATTCACGACTTATACGGGTAACGTTAAAACCCTTTGGAATTTACACAATATAAACTAAATTTACACAACCGAAAGTGGAATGTTAATTTTGAAAGTAAATAAATCCAGTTGCATTGTGAAATAAGCCATAATAATAATAGTAATAATCACTATTATTTTTATTATTATTATTATTATTATTATTATTATTATTAGTTTTGATATTAGTAATATTAGTGTTACTATTTTTCTTCTTATTATTATTACCATTATTCTTATTTCTATTACTGTTCTTATTATTAATATAGAATTTATTATTAGTTTCAGTATGTCTTCATAAAAGTGTCATTTAAAGGCGCCGGTCGAAAATTCATTGAAAAACCACGAAACAACAAACACATTCTTATATTTTAAATGAAATTACAAAACACACAAGTTATTCTGCTATGAGAGAGCCTTTTAATAAAGATTACACATTGGGTTACAAAAAAATGTTGATGTACTGTTTACTTAAAAATTCTTGTGTTTATTGAAACTTTAGGTGTCACTGAATAAGAATATGACAAAAGAAATTTTTTTCATCCGGTCAGTTCCATAGAAAATGAGATTAAAGTGTCAAAAAATCACATTTTTAAAGCTCTTTTTGAAGCATTGTAAAATAAAATCGCAACATTATAAAAATATCTAAAAGGGCTTAAATGAAAGCATAAATTATCAATTTTAAAATAAAATATTCATCGTATGTATTTATGATAAAAAATAAGTTTCCCAAATATTTATAGGTTATAATATTTTATATTTTTCAAGAAAAGGCTGTTGGAAATTTTTAATCAGTTTAGATCTGCATTGTCGATAAGTGGGATAAAAGATACAAATTCCCAAAATAATAGATTTAGACGCTTAAGTTCAGGGAAATATTATTATAAATATTTTGGGATTACAATAACGAGATCTAAATATCAATATTTAAATTCGATTATTTTAATATTAAAAAAGTCTTGCTTTGCAAATTTCTGTTTAGAAACTAACTCATCATCGTATAGATATGACATTTAGAAAGTGCTTACATCGTAAATTTTTTAAATAGCTTCATAACAATGGAAATTAATTGCACGTGTAAAGAGGAATTTCCCCTCTTTTTAATGCTGATATATAATAATGTAAAAAATTTTAAATATATAATTTAAGCTTATATTTGTAACAATCTCTCGACAGATTGATTCTAATTGTTTAAATGCCAACTGAAATCAATTTTTTTGCGAAAAAAGATTTCCGTAATTTTAAGATTTTATCCAGACATTAGAAAATTTTTAAAAACCTACCTTAGGACTCTTTAAGATTTTAAAAAAGACCCAAATCAACATCGCATCGTTTTATAAATATTACTAAACAATATACTTATTTTTGTCCCAGGTGCACGAGATGGACCTACTGCCGAAGCAAATTTGTCACCGTTGCAGTTACAAACTCGAAGAATTTCATAAATTCTACATCGAATGTCTTAAAACTGATACAACTTTAAAAAATCAATTATCCTGGATGTGTAAGGAAACGGATAGTAAAATAAAAAAACCAAATGGCGTGCCAATGGTACAAATTGAAAATGTCAAAATAAAATGTGAACCACATGAAATTGATCCATTATTAAAAAATGTTGGCCTCATTGAATTTCCACTTAATGGACTGGAGAGTGATTTACCCGAATGTTTACTCTATACAACATTCACCAATACATCACGCTGCCAATGTTACTGTGATAATAAATCAGACCCAACAACTGGGAAAGAAGCCATATCCAAAGACTGTAGACACATTAATTTACCTAAAACACCCGATTTCACCTATTTAGATGATAAAACATCTAAAAATTCCGATATTTTATGGAAGAAACAAGAGACGAGAAATCTTTTTACATCAAAAGAATTACGCGCACTCAGTAAGGATAATATAGGCATTGATAATTCATCTCTACTCCGAAATCTCAGACCAAGGAAACGATCAGTCGACTATGTGGGTGGGAAGAGGAAGAATCGTAGTTCAGAATCATTGGAGAGGCCACAGAGTACCGAACCACCGACTACGATAATAATCACCGATCTTATTAAGAATGAACCAATTGATATTGTCGAGACAGCAAGAACTTTAAGACCGAGGAAACAATTGAAGACTGAAGTTAAGAGTCGTTCGAAAAGTGCCGATCGTTGTAATCGTAATCGTTCGAAAGCGAAAGCACAGAGTGAAATTCGGGAGTTGAAGATAAAACGAGAAGTTGAGGATGAGATTATTGATGTTCGATTGGATGATGTGCGTGAAAAGGTGGATAAGACGAGGAAAGATGGACTGGGGAAGAAATGGCGGGAATTGTACATTGGGATTGAGCGGAGTGACACATTGGGTAATGGTAGGAAAAGATGTGATGTTAGGAGTGTTAGTGTTTGTTTGGATAATGGACGTTGTGAGAACAAGAGGGACAGGAAGGAGAAGAGTGAGAGGAGTGTCAGTAGGTGTGAACCCATTTACGGTAAAAATGTTCATAGTGGTGGTAGAAAGATTCTTAGTGGTGGTGACGATAAGGATCGTGTTCCGCTTGTTAGGATTCGGGAAAGTGCGAAGGACCTGGAAGAAGTTGGTAAGGATCGACAAAGTTTTAATAAAGATCAAGGTGCTAGTGGAGAAAGTGTTAATAGAGACCAAGTGGCTGATAAAGCTGTTAGTAAAGAATTTAGTAGGGATCGACGAAGTGTTAGTAGAAACCGAGGAAATGCTACTGACAGTGCTGTAAAGGATAGTAAAGGATGTAGTAGAGATCGACAAAGTGCAAGTAGGGATCGTCAAAGTGCTAATAGAGATCGACAAAGTGTTAGCAAAGAAGGTTTAAGCTTCAGTAAAGATAGCTCTGCTGTTATTAAGGAAGGATCCACTAATACTGCTGCTAAAGGAGGTTTTCCTGCTAATAAAGGATGTGCTGCTACTAATGCTGCTAATAAAGGATCTGCTGCTACTAATGCTGCTAATAAAGCTTGTGCTGCTTCTAATGCAGCAAACAAAGCTTCTGCTATCAATGCTGCTGCTAAAGGATCTACTATCATCAATGCTGCTTCTAAAACCACTGCTCTTAATGCTGCTGTTAAAGCTTCTGCTGATACATCACAATTAACAGCTTCTTCTGCCAACGAAGAAGCAACTTTTAATGTTCCTTTCAACAAATGCGAACGAAACGAACACACTGCACTTACGGATAACACTCCTAAAGATGATGACCTCAATTTAGGACACACTTTCACAAAGATTAGCTTTTCTAAAGAAGCAACAAGCGACAACATCCTTAACAAAGAAGGAACCATCAGAAGAAGTTGCAACTTTAGTAAAGACAGAAACAACTTCACAAATAGCGAAAGTACCAGAGATACCAACACCAGAAGCACTGATACCAACAAAAGCATCAACTCCAACAGCAAAAATGCCAACAGCATCAACACCAACAGCAAAAATACCAACACCATCAACACCAACAGCAAAAATATCAACAGCATCAACACAAGTGACAACAGTAACAACACTAGCAACAAAAATAACAACACCAGTGACAACAGTATCAACATCAACAACAAAAGTACCAGTAGCATCAGCACCAGTGACAAAAGCATCAACACCAACAACAAAAGTATCAGTTGCATCAATACCAACAACAAAAGTATCAGTAGCATCAACACCAGTAACAAAAGCATCAACCCCAACAACAAAAGTATCAGTAGCATCAACACCAGTGAAAAAAGCATCAACAGCAACAACATTCAAACAAAAAGCAACAAAGAAAGTACCAAACACACAAAGAGTACAATTTACATCAATAAAAATCTAAACATCATCACTGCTGATATGAAGAAAAATGGCGGAAATTTTCTAAAGAATAATCGACAAACAAATAGAACATGTAATAATAAAGAACTGTTGAGAAATAGACTGAGAAATATTGGTAAGGAAAGAAAATTACAATTAAAACGACTACCAATGCAATTCTCACCAAAAATGTTAAGAAGTCATGATCTTTATTTAAGAAGCGGTAGAGTTAAATTAACAAATACTCATAATAGTAAAAAAAAATTTTGTAAGGACATTAAAATTAATAATTATTTAGAGAAATTCAATGAAACAAAGAGTAAATTTTTAAATCTCGATGTTAAACATTTATGTGAAAAATGTAATTATACATTTGCAAATAAGGAACTATTTCGATTGCACGCATGTTACAGTAACTGAGACAAGTGTAAATTTTGTTTTTAGATAAAAATTTTTTTTTTTCAACAAACAAGACAAAGAGTGTCATAAAAATGTAGAGATTGGTGTAAAGATCTACATTTTCTTTCGAATTTAATTTCGAAGGTTATGAATACATACATGGCAGTTAATCTTGCAGCAAGATTGCGGTAAGCTTGCTATGCAAGTTTTGCAAGCTTCCTGCAAGGTTCTCCGCTATCAATGTGTTATAAAATGTATAAAAAAATAGGTTATCAAAATTTCTAGAAAGATTTTAATTTTATTTACGCTTTCTTTCTAGGGTTATTTTTAAGATTTAATGAAAAAAAATTCTTCATATTTTTGTACCAGAAAATTGTTTTATTTTCATTTTTTTTAAGAAATAAGGGTAGAAATTTAAATTAATTGCATTAGTTATTATTAATATTATTGTTGTTATTAAAATGGGGCGCAAATGAAAAAAGAAAGCTTCTGCTTTTAAATTGCAAAAAGAATTCTTTTATACACATTCAAGCTTTTTGTTAAAAAAAAATGGTTTATATTATGCATCTTAGAGCGAAAAAAATAAAATAAAATAAAAATTTTCTTGTTTATAAGTTGTAATTTTTTTCTATTTTTTGTCAGCTTAATATAAGAAAAATAGAAATAAATTTTCTTACATTAAAATCAAGAATTCGTTTATAAATATCTAATTTTTTTATTTGAATAAATTTTTCTTGTTAATATTTTTGAATTTATAATTGAATATATTTCGAAATGTGTATTGAAAGATGTTTTGTTATTTGATACAAGAAACTTTTTTTGGATATAGAAAAAATTGTTTTTAAGGAAGAATCTGATGGAAAGTCACAATAAAAGTTGATCCAATGTTTTTTTTAAAAAAGGACAATTTTAATTAGTTGAAATTTTAAATTCTTTTTTGATAGAAGAGTAAAGAATTCAATTTTAAATTATTTGAAATTTTAAATTATTTGAAATTTTAAATTATTTGAAATTTTTAAATATTTGAAATTTTAAATTATTTGAAATTTTTAATTCTTTGAAATGTTAAATTACTTGAAATTTTAAATTAATTAAAATTTTAAATTCTTTTTTGATAGAAGGGTAAAGAATTCAATTTTAATTAGTTTAAAATTTTAAATATTTGAAATTTTAAATTAGTTGAAATTTTTAATTCTTTTTTGATAAAAAATTTCTACCAATAAAATTAAAATTGTCTTTATTTCTTTTAAAATAATTGGACTAACTTTTTGTTTCGATTGTTTGTCAAATTTTCCCTTATCAAGTATTTATAGAAAATTGAATGAAGCTAAGAAATTTCTTTTAATTAAAGAAAGAATTTTCTTTAAAATATAGAGAAAAAATTGTGTTAAAGTAGAAAAAGAAAATTTTCTCTAAATAGAGAGGAAAATAACACTTTCTTTAAAAAAAAAAATAAAAAAAAAAATTTCTTTATTAACGAAGAAATATTTCTTTGTGATCAATATATATTATATAGTAGTATTTTTACTGCAAAAAATATTAAAGTAATTTAAAATTTAAGATCATTTATATTTTAAGTGCTGATTATAAAATAAAATCAAAGCTTAACTATTGTTAATACTGTATGTTCATTGATTTACAAGAGCGAACAAAATTTGTTAGAAGATTTATATATATATTATATATATATAAAAATATTTAGATAACTATATTATATATGTTTTAGAATTTCTTTTACACTGCGTTGATCCTCTGACAAATATTACTTACGCTTAAAATAATTTTACATACACATTATAGTAATAATATTAATATTATTATTATTATTATTATTATTATTATATAAGTAATATTATTGATATTATAATTATTATTATTATTACTATTATTATTATTTTTAGTAATATTATTATATTATTAAAATTATTTTTATTATTATTATGATACGTATACAAATGTATATGGAATTCGTCTTTAGAGGAAAATTTATATTTTAATAGAGAGAAAATTTATATATGTTCAGATTGAACGAAATTTATTTCTTTGAAATTAAAAAAAAAAATAATGTCGCGACATCAACGAATTAAGAGAATTAATTAATGAAATAATTTCAATTTGTTATAATATAATCAAAGTTCAATATATTATATACGTCTATTTTATCTGAAAAATTGTTCATATCAGTTGAATTGTTTTATTAATTCATTATTATATTATACGTAAAGACGATTTACGAAATTATACACGCTGTTCTTGTATAATAAAAAAAACATAATTATTTTCTGATTATATTTGTTGTTGTTATTTTGTATTATTTTCTGAAGCTTTTAAATAATAAGTAATCTCTGAAAAAATCATTAAAATCCATCCATTTGTCTCGGAGATATTGTGTTTTCAAAATTAAAAAAAAAATTTGAAAACACCTGTACATCCGTAATTTAAAAAATTTTCTATAATCACTTTTGGAATTTTTATTCGCATGTATTCCCCTACAATTTCTCAAAGTTTCATCAAAATCGCCTATAAGGGACAACTTTAATCTGTTAGGCCAATTTCTTGACCCAATTACATATATATTACACGGAGAGAAAATTATATTAAATTTTGTAAAATTTAATATTAAATTTCACAATTTGGGGAAAAAATGTGACAAGGCAAAATTTTGATGTCAAAAATACTAAACTTTAAAAAAACTTATGTGAAAGTTAGTATAATTATATGAAATATAAGAATTTTAGTTTAATTTTAACATAACTTTAGTAAATTTTATATTATTTCTTTCACTGTTTAGTATTTTCTATATGTCAAAATTTCGGTTTGTTGCACTTTTTCCCCAAATTGTAAAATACTTTTACAAAATTTAATATGTATTTTCTCTCCGTGTAGAAATTAAAAACTTCAAATAATTAAAAAAAAATTCCACTAAACTTTTTGAAAAAAATTAATTCCCACAGAATTCTTAATTAAAAATATTATAAAAATTTCAAATTTTTCAAAGATTTTAATATTAAACTTTTTAAAAATTCAATTATTTCTAAAAAGCTACGCTATAATACTTTTAATATTCAATTATTATTTATTTATTTATTCAAATTCAAAAATCTAAAATTTTAACTGAAATATATTTTTAAATTAATATTTATTAGAAAATTCTATACGAGAATTCAATTATTTAAATTGAATTTCTTAAAATTCAATTCTCATAAAGAATTTTATCATCAAATTTTTAAATAATTAAATTCTCTTGACAAATTTTAATAAAATTCTTAAGAATAATTTCATTTTTCGAGAAATTTTATGAAAATTTTATTTAAAAATAATTGAAATTCTGCAAAAGAATTTGGTCGGTCTGTGGATAATTAAAAATTGTCAAAAGTTAATTTGTTGTTATTATGTAGGATCGGTCTTTGTAGAGTCGGTCTGTGGATGATTTAAGTTTTTAATATTTAAATTCGAAGTACAATTATAGATTGAAGGGTCGGTCTTATGAATTTTGTTTTTTAATTATTTGTCTACATTAATACAGTTATATTTTGTAGAATCGGTCATTGCTGAGTTTGCCTTTGTGTAGAATTGAGCTTGTGTATTATTGGTCATGTAGAATCGGTTTTTGTATAGTTGGAAAAGGTGGAATTGAAACCCTGCCGAATTTTATTAAAATTTTTTTTTAAATAATTGAATTCTTTTGTGAAATTTTATTGAATTAGTAGACATTGAAAATAATTGAATTTTGCCAAGTTTTTAAAATTAATTAAATTTGTATGCAGAATTTTATTAAATTTTTTTTGTAAAAAATTAAATTACTAAGAATTTTATTAAAATTTGTTTTTAACTAATTAAATTCTTTTGGGGCAGAATGCTAGGGAAATGAAATATGTTGTTTTTCACAAGAAATTAGCGCCATTTTTTCTGCTGACCGTAACAAATAGCTTGACCCCCCCTCCCCCCTAAAGCGTTACGTATTTTTTGAACGGCCCCTTATACTATTAAGGCTTTCTTTGTGAATTCTAATGTGTTTTTTTGCATTCTTTTATAATCCATAAGAATTTTTCAAAAATATTCAGAATTATCAAAATGGCGACGATTTTTTAAAAAAAATTATAAAGTTGATTTTCTCAAAAACGCCACCTTTAAATTTTTTGCTGATTTTCTATCAACATCGTCTTGCTATGTGATAGACAGCAAAAATGCATTAGAAAAAATATTTTCAATAAAATTATTTCTTAATTAAAGAAACCAACACCTTAATTTTACGGACCAAAGGCCACAAAATTTACAAAAAGTTCATAAATCATAAAACAAAAATTAAATATAGAAAATTTTGCCGAACTTACAAAAAAAACCCTATTAGGTCAGGAAACATATATAAAGAAATAAAAACCGCAATATATGAAATTTTATTAACAGTCATTAATCTTTTTCATACATTTTATATTTTGAAACAATTTGCCCGGAAATGAAACTTTGGATATCTAGTCTTAATTATCATTTTTTTTTCTTTCCATAGATTCTACAAGAATATACATGTATATATATACAAAAAACATTTATGTATATAATTCAATACTATAGAAAAATACATTTTCCCCAATGAGATTAGCAAATACCTACACATTTGGTGTTTTTTTTAAAAAAAAAACAAAGAACAAAAAATCCTCCGAATTCTTAAATATTCTAAAACGAAATTAAAGCCGACAGAATGTTTAGATATCAAGGGAGAATTTAAAATTGATTTCAGTAAAAATTTACTATTTTTTTTCCTTTTCCCTCCTAAGCGACGAATATTTACAAAACATAGTTCACATTCTGCCATCATATTGCAACATTTTTGTTATAAATACAAAAAAAAAAATTAAACAAGATTCGTCAGTCAGTGCAGTATTTTTTTACAGTGCAGATAAAAAAAATTGACTTTCTCAACAAAGATAGAAACATGTTCGAAAACGTGAACAATGATTCTGTATAAATAAATTTTTCTACTTTGTCATTCTTTTTTTTTCTTCTTCCATTTTTAAGAGTCGATGCGCGCACGCTGAGTATTTTGGGGATTGACAAGTGTAGTAGGTCCATCGTCATTTTTTTAAAAAAAGCAAAAAAAAAAAAAAAAATGACGAAAGCGTGGTTCCATTTTGTACATTTTTTAAAAAATCGAGACGAGACGAGACATTGATGGATATAGCTGGTAAGCTCGCGTGCTCTTCATCGGGAGTGAATTTTTTGATATAAAAATTTATTCTTCTATCACTCGAGATCAGTTTTTCTTTCTTTGCTCTTTCCTCTTGGAGCACGAAGCTGAGAGCTGATATCACGGCCTCATAGCCGTCTCTCCTTCCGAAGAGAATTCGAGAGGTTCAAAGTTGGATTACAAGGAGAATATTCCCGATAACGCGCTATCTTCTCACATTAAATCCTTTTGTACCGTCCGGTCCCAAGGGCATTCTAATTACATTACTCGACTCATTAGCGCCTAAAACTGTAAATTCGTAATTTAGAATTAAAAATTTTATTTTTATTTAAAAGGATAATATTTTTAAAAAAAATTCTAATTTATTTATTTAATATTGTTGAGGCGCTTTGAAGAAAGGTATACCTAATCAAACGAATTTTTTCCTTTTGGGGTACCTTTCTTCAAAGTGCTCCGAATATATTTTATATTAATTTTAATTTACAATTAATTTAATTTACAATTTAAATTTATATATTTATAAATATTTACCTGATACAGAAGGTTTAGGTTGAATTTTACTAACATCCTGCAAAATCTTCTCCTCTGGACTTTTTTCTTCTCCTAAAATTCTTTTTCTTGCCTCGGCATATTCTTGCTCTCTCTGAAAATAAATCAAACGATAATTATAATTATATTTAATTATTATAATACTTATAATAAACATGAAATTATGTAAACGAGTTAAAATTATTTTGTTTATTACTTGAGGCATTCCATTTCAAATCGTTCCACCGACAAAAAACAATCGCAAGGAGAGCGATTTTCTAATAAAATTAATTATTTAAAAATTTAATTATTTCTAACATATTATACACTAAATTGAAAGAGAATTTCATGAACTTTCTAGTGCTATTTTTATTTTTTTAAATTTCTCTCAATTTCGTAGAGAAATTCCTGTTTGAAAGTTTAAACTCTTAATATCTCAAAACACCCCCCCGTCGATTTTTATGAAAATTATATGAAAATAAAGCTTAACTTTTCTAGTTTCTATTCCCATATAATATATTATGGACATTTAATGGGATTAGTAGAAAAAAAATTGTTTAAAAAATGTGTTTTTGAAAAATTTGACAAATGTCACGAAGTTGAATCCTAACTAACCTTCAACTTCGTACCATTTGTCAAATTTTTCAAAAACACATTTTTTAAACAATTTTTTTTCTACTAATCCCATTAAATGTCCATAATATATTATATGGGAATAGAAACTATAAAAGTTAAGCTTTATTTTCATATAATTTTCATAAAAATCGACGGGGGGGTGTTTTGAGATATTAAGAGTTTAAACTTTCAAACAGGAATTTCTCTACGAAATTGAGAGAAATTTAAAAAAATAAAAAAAAGCACTAGAAAGTTCATGAAATTCTCTTTCAATTTAGTGTATAATATGTTAGAAATAATTAAATTTTTAAATAATTAATTTTATTAGAAAATCGCTCTCCTTGCGATTGTTTTTTGTCGGTGGAACGATTTGAAATGGAATGCCTCACTTGTTTGAGAGATTTGATTGGTTGCTTTGGTTTTTCGCCATTTAAAAGTGGACCATCGCCGCTACCCTGTGAATTTCTTGAAGGCCTCTTCAAAATTTTCACCGTCGGTTTCGGTGGAACATATTGTGAACGTAGTGCGTCATCGCCTAAAATGATCATCCTCGTGCCTGAGCCGTTAGTACTTGTGAGCCTGTAATATACATTTTTGTTTTAAAATAAATACTTTAAAAAATCGTCTTTCCTCTATTTTTCTATAAATTACGAGAAAAAAATATGTTTAACCGATTTTAAAATGTCATAGGAAAATTTCACGTGGAATTACCCATATTTTTCTATAAAGAAGGAGAAAAAAATATCACCATAAAAAAAAAAAAAAAAAAAAAAAAAAAAAAAATTTCACCCATATTTAATATTTTTCCATAAAGAACGAGAAAAAAATATGTTTAACCGATTTTAAAATATCATAGGAAAATTTCACGTGGAATTACCCATATTTTTCTATAAAGAAGGAGAAAAAAATATGTTTAACCGATTTTAAAATGTCATAGAAAAATATCACGTGGAATTACCCATATATTTATTGTATTTTTACGTTATTCAATTATTCTTGTTTTCTTCTATAAATATTGAGAGCAAAAAAAATATAAAAAACTTTTCCAATTGACTGTACATAAATAACGAACTGCAAAAATTTTGTTCACATATTGTAATAATTTATACTTATTACCTGGAAGTTTCGTCGTTCAATTCTTCCAAAGGATTTATCTGAAGATCATTCAACTTTCGATCCAAAGCCTAAAATAAGAATGAATATAGAATAGAAATTAATATTATCGGGAAATTATAAAATTTTCCCAAAAACCTAATTATCGAAAATTTAGCAAAAAAAAAAAATAACAAGCAAACAAAACTAAAAATAAAGTAAAAAAAGAAAAGAAAAATGCGTGACCAATCACAAAATCGTTTAAAGTGACATAACCAAAAAAAGTGAAACACTCTCGTCCGTATATATAGATATAGACGTTATATATTTATTATTAATAGACAAAAACGAAAATCACGAGTCGAGTCAATTTTTTCGTTAAATTATAATTGATAAATTGCCATCGTTTAGTGTACAAATACAAAGAGCGAGAAAGAAAAAAAAAAGAGAGAGAGAGGCAAAGAATAAAAATTGTCAATTGTAACAAGAATGTGACGATTTGAAAATTTTAGCATATTGTCTACATAATTCTCTAAAATAAATCAATAATTGACAATTTTTCTAAAACTTCTAATCTTTCGAATAAAATTAATAATTATTTTCTGTTATCTCCTTATTTTCCACTTTCTCCTGCTCTTACCCCGGAAGCTTCCATGTCTTCCCAACTTTCGAAAACATCGTCAACTGTTGCCATTGCCGTACACTCTATTTATTTGATTTTTCCTCTCTTCTTGAAAAAAAAAAAATTTGTCACTCTTTATCACTTATGTACTTCTTTTTTTATTATCATTATAATTATACAAAAAATGAAAACTGGAAAAAATTTGATGATTGGGGGAAAAAAAAATATTCACAGGCTCTAAAACCTTAAAAACCAAGACACACAGAAAGTTGTCAGCAGCAGAAAAGAGACGAGAGTTTCCCCTCTCCCCAGCTTCCCCCCCCCAGCCCCTAACTTGGTACTCCATTGAATATTTTGAATTCAGTTATTCCTGGTTATTCCACCAATAAACTGACAAAACCCATGAGCATGTTTTTAAAAGAGAGAAAGAGAGAGAGGGAGAGAATATTTTAGTGAAATTTTTTCAAAATTTGGAAAAGTTCCGAGAAATTACTTTTATTAAAATTGGCGCGAAAATTATAATTTTAAAACTGTTTTTTTATTATTAACGTATATTTTTTAGGATAGAAAAAAATTAGTAAAATTTGACAAAAATAAGAAAGTTAATTTAATTATAAATTATTATATTGTGGGGGTGCTCGTACCCATATTCATACACCGATGTGAGCTTCCCCTCTAGAGAAATAGTTCATGGCTATCGAGATATTCGGTTTTTAGGGTTTTTAGAAATGCAGATATTTTACAAAAGTGTCAAAAGGCAATACCGAGGAAAGATTATGCGCTAAAAACGGGAGATTGTATTTGCAAAAAACACTTTTTGCCTACGCAAAAATAATAAATATTATAACAATATTTACTTATTTATTTTCTATTTTATAAATATGCATTTCCACTGTACCTAAATTTTCCACTAGATTTAAAAGTTTTTGAAAATTTTCAATATTTATTCTAAAACTGTTAAGAAAATTTTTTATTGTCTATAGTTTAAAAAAATTTTATTTTATTATCTAGATTAAGCACTTCTAATTATTTTTAATCGTTTTCGTTTAAAAGTAAAGGTATAACTTTCGTAACATTTCATTATTTACATTTTACAAGTAGAGAAAAATAAATTTCCAGTTTTCAACCCTTCTAACAGGAGAACCAACATTAAAATGTTAAAATTACCAAAATTTTAAATAGTAAACAACTTTTTTTTGTAAAATCTAATTTCACGAAAAATATTAAATATTAAATAGAATATTGATAAAATATTAATAAATTATTGAATATTTTTATTGATGAAAATTACGATTTCGTTGAAAATGTTATTTATTGAAAATATAGGAAGATATACATAACTGAACCTAGCTTCAAAAATTAGGTTAGGTTAGATTTCGTATTTGACGTTTCGAATCTCAAAAATTTATAAAAAAAAACAGATGATTTCTATCTTGAAGAGATAAAAAAAAGACAAAAATAATAAATAAAAATAAAATTTGTACAAAATACATTTTTTGCTGCATAATTTTGATATTTTTTTCCTCCGCACCAAAGATAAAATAACAAATCTCTTCGTTCATAACCTAAAAAGCATCATATTTGTGATTGAAAAGATGAAAAAATATTTACAATGCAAAATTTGCTATATTATTTAAATTTATTATTATTCTTATTGTTACTGTAAAAAATAATATTTATAGATAGAGAAAAAAAATTTGGGAATAAATGGCGGAAATCGATTGGTAAGCGTATTTATTTTCCTTTCTTAGTACCTATCAAAAAAAATATATTTTGTAAAAAAAATGGTTAATTAAATAAAAATAAAATTTTCAGGATCTCACGAACATATGAATACGGATCAACAAAATGTCCACAATTAGAAGAAGTATTGGATCATCCCCTAAAGCCATTAATAATATCGGTATTTAAAAGAAAAATAATTATATTACCTATAAAAAAATAAGTGTATAAAACATAAGGGGATGTCAAAGTCGATGCGATTTTCCGATTGCAGTTCAGTAGAAAAAAAATTCCTAATTAAACTACCAAATTAGTATTTTTTAAAATTACCCACTCCCCTCCTTTTTATTCGGGTGTATGAAATAAGGGGGGGAGTAATTCAAAAAAATACTAATTTGGTACTTTAATATGGAATTTTTGACTTTAGATCTTTTTTTATTGATAGAAATATTTTTCCTGAACTGGTTCTATAAAAAATGTAAGAAAATTGCTTCATATTTAAATTTTATATATTTAGAAAGCTACACATTGTTTATATATATATTTATTTATTTATATTCTTCAGAGTCTTTAAAAATAGATTTTTTAAGTCCGCTGTCAAAGTACACGTTAAAGTTTTCCCGAACTAGTTCTGTAATTTCAATTTTTATTATTGTAAAAAATATAATCTTGGAGTATACATACAAAATTTTATATTTGTTATTTAAATTTAGGCTTATCTTCTTTTCGGAAGCATTTGTCAAATTTTCCTATAAGGTTCCGTAATTTTTCTTCACTTCGAAATACGATAAAAAATTACGTAAATTTCTTACATATTTATTTTTGAACTAGTTTAAGCAAAATACTATTTTAATATCTACTTTCAAAGCATTTGGAAAATTTTCCGGAACGAGTTCTGTACTTTCTCTTATAAACGAAATACAAAGTGATAATGTACCTGAAACGTTACATATATTTTTTCATTTTTTAAATTTACTTTGAAGCGTTTTTTTATTTACATTTAGAAATTTTATTTTTTTCGGAACTGGTTCTGTAATTCTTTCTTAAGTCCAATTATAACAAAAATGAACGTTTTTACAATTTCTTCTGGAATTATAAGTAAGAAATTATTTTTATAGTTGACATTCTGATGATTTTGAATATTATCTAGAACCGGTTCCGCAAATTTTTTTTTATTTTATTTATATTAATTTGTATTAAAATTTTAATTTTGTTCCATATTTTTATAATTTTTCGGTATTTGTCAAATTTTCCGGAATTAGTTCTTTAATTTGTATATTGTTGTCAATTGACAAATTTTGACGAACCTGGTTCTGTAGTTTCTGGTTAATTTAAAATATAATGTAAATGTACTCAAATTTTTTATTCCTTTACCTTTGAATTAGTCGAAAAAAAACTTTTTTGGCTAGGTTTCCAGAACCTGGTTCCGTAGTTTGTCGTTAATTCACAATATATTACAAATATACATAAAATTTTTCCTTATTTTCATAAATTAGTCAAAGATAATATTCTCGATTGATCATCAAAGATTCTGCAGAATTTTCCCGAACTGGTTCTGTACTTTTTACAGCCTAAATGATAAAATACTTTAAAATTACCCATATTAGGTTGTCGATGGAAGAAGCGTTGTTCGACGGGGTACGTTACGAAGCACAAGCACCAGTTCCTCGACAAGGACACCAACCCCGACACAAAGTTCCACATCGAGTTTAAAAACATTTGCTGATCCCCTATTGGGTCATTCCAATCTCGATGGGACCGATCCGCTCACTCAATTTGCTCGCGAGGAGTTGGATCCACTTTCCAAAATGGCGACAGACGAGGTATATATGATCATTATTTAAAAAAATTATAATTAATATATTTTTTAGTAAGTTTATTTATTTCTGTAAAAGTATACCAAAAATAATTTATTAATTCAGGAAATAATTTTTCCTGAACCAGTTTTTTCAAAAATTGGCAGTTATTTCAAATTTTTTCAGAAATAGTTCATTAAAAACTAATTTCACGTTATTTTCCTAAACTTCAAAAAATTTTAAACTTAAAAAAATGTAAAAACAGTAAGAAATTATTTTTGTATTAATTTTCCTGGACCGGTTCTTTAAAAAATTGCCCTAGATCAAGTTTCCTTAACCAGTTGATTAAAAACTAGATTTTTATGAATTTACTTATCTATCTTAGTTCTTTAATAAAACAAACTCTGTATTATTTTTTCTTTATGAAGTCTTCAAAAAAAAGTTATGTAATATTTTCGGAACCAGTTCTTTAAAAACTAGTACAGTATACATTTTCCTAAACTAGTTGTAATAAGAAGTACTCAATTGACATTTTTCTTTTGCCAGTTCTTTAAAAACAAATTCAGCGTTTTTTTCCTGAACCAGTTCTGTTTTAATTTTACAAAACTAGTTCCGTATATTTTTTTTAATAAATCTTAGGTAATTTGACATAATCCGCTTTTTAGAAGTATTTCAAAAAAATTTCAGGAACTGGTTCCTTAATTTCATTTTAACAGTCTTTTTTATTTAAATTAGTAACAATTTGTTTTCCAAAATGCAATTTTTCACTTTGCTAGTGGGATTACTCATCGAATGTATCAACCGGAAAAAAGATCAAGGACAAGACGGAAGAATTAGTCGAACCGTGGACATCAAGACGAAATACAATTTTAAATAAATTCACGACTAATGAAAAATTGTCGATTATCACAAGTTTTCTGTCTGGAGGAGAAAGAGGTATTTATTCTTATTTCTTAACTTTTCTTCACAAACGGAATAAATAGATTTTACCGAACTAGTTCAGTAGAAATTTTCTTGAATTAGTTCTACGATTAATTTTCAAGGATTATTTTAGTATAAATCTTCCTGAACTTTATGTTCTTCACTATATTTTCTTTACTGTTTTTGTAAAAAATTTATTGAACTGTTTTTACTGAACCGGTTCCGTAATTTCTTCGTTACTTGTAGATGAAGCACAAATTAACGTTAATTCTACACTATTTAAAAAAAATATATTTAAACGAAACTCTAAATCTAAATTTTGTATGGTTTTAAAATTTTGCTGAACCGGTTCCTTAATTTTTCTGTAATCCTTTATAAAGTATATATATTTACTTACTTAAAAATGTTTTTCTGGAATCTGATTTTTAAAAATATTTCTGATCTACATTTTGTAGTTATTTTAAAATTTTCCTGAACCGGTTCCTTAATTTTTTTATAATCCTCGATAAAATACATATTTACATACTTAAAAATGTATTTTCTGGAATCTGATTTTTAAAAATACCAGTAATCTACATTTTATAGGTATTTTAAAATTTTCCTGAACCAGTTCCGTAATTAATGTTTTATAATTATTTTAAGTTTTTTTATTTTTATGATTAGAAAACGAATTATAGGTATAGTACTTCGTAAAGAAATGATAAATTCTATAAGTTAAAAATTGTTTTGTATAATTCTCATTTTATTTAATACAAGATGACAAATTCCAAGATTTTATTTCATTAAGATCAAATAAAAAGTGTAGTAACAGCACTTTTACACTTTCGTCTCTGAGTATAATTTCACTAACCAAGAAAAATTGCAAGTTTTGCGAAAAAAAGTGTCTAACCAACGTGTGACTTAGAAATATCTCCCTTACCCCCTCCCACTCTCTTTTACCCCCCACCCTTAAATTTCGTCTCATAGAAAGAAGAAATCACGTCTTTAATCAAGAAACGAGAATTAGTGCACTTAACAGACGTTTTGGAGACAAAACGTCGTTGCTATTAAAATTAAATCACTTAACTAAAAATATATAAAAAAATTTTAAATTTTAAAAAAAGATAAAAAAAATTTCTATCTATAAAATTATAATAAATTGTATAAGTTTTATAATTATAATATATTAGATTTTTAAAAATTGAAATAATTTTCAAAAAAATTTTCTTTTCGTAAAAACAAAAGGGAAAAAAATGCCAAAGAAACAGAGTAAAAAACGAAAGCACTCGGAAAAAAGAAAATTAAAAAAAGTTACAAGTGCAATTAATAATGTGCCAGCAGTGAATGAGGAAAATTTAACAACACAAAAACCGCGTGAATTAAAAAATTGGAAAGAATTTTCGGATTTTTTTGAAGAATTACTAAATAAAGCTGAAGCGGATAAAGAACGCGCTAATAAATCGAAAACAGAAAATTCTTCTCCCATTGATGACAATAAGGAACCTAAAATTTTTAAAACAGAAAATTAGGTCAAAAATTCGTAAAAATTCACTCCTGAAATTTTAATTTTGAATTTTAAATTTATCTTTTTCATTTCTTCTTTGGAAAATTTTTTTGCATTTAAAAAAATTTGAAATACTTAAATAATACCTGTAATAATATAATTGATTAAAAAATGAAATAATATAATTCAATTAAAAAAGTAATTAAAAGTAATTGATAATATGAATAAATGCAATAATTAATTAAATGATTAAATAATTAAATTATGAAATAAAATGAAATGGTAAAGTTTAATAATTAATTAAAGGGTTACATTAAATAATTCAATTAAAATTAAAATTAATTAAAATTAAAAGTAAATGTCAAAATAAATAATTAACTAACTGTCAAACTAAATAATTAAATAAACAAAAGAAATTGATTTTAATAAATAATTACAGTTGTTGTAAAAGTGCAATCAAGTGGAACTGTGGATAGAGTGAAAACAAGACTCGAAAGATTAGATGAATATGAAGAAGGTTCCGTTCGACAATTACTCGATTTATCACAACAGGAATACATGGCAAGAATCGAGCAATTAAATAATGAACTTGTTCAAGCATGGCACTCGGATTTTCGAGTAAAGGCACTTAAAATTGCAATTCAGGTATGAAAAGAGAAAAAAAATTTACTAATTTCACAATATTTTGTTAAATTGGTTCGCAAAAAAAATTTCCTGAACTAGTTCCGTATTTTTTATGACTTGAGATTTGCAATGAAAAATTACATGGTTTTCTAAATAAAACTACTAAATTTTCCTTAAAAGGCTTAATAAAAAATTTTCCTGAACTAGTTCTGTATTTTTTTACTTGTGATTCACAAAGAAAAATTAGATCGTTGTCATAGTGTTTATACTAAATGAAACTGGTAAATTTTTCTTAAGAAGCTGAGTAAATATTTTTCTGAACTAGTTCCGTATTTTTTGTGACTTATGATTCGCAAGAAACTGATAAATTTTTCTTAAAAGGCTTTAGTGGTAAATTTTCCTGAACTAGTTCCGTATTTTTATGTGACTTGAGATTTGTAATGAAAAATTACATAGTTTTCTAAATAAAACTACTAAATTTTCCTTAAAAGGCTTGGTAAAACATTTTCCTGAACAAGTTCCGTACTTTTTTGTGACTTATGATTCGCAAAGAAAAATTACATCGTTGTGATAGTGCAAAGAACTAAGTTCAGTAAATTTTTTTTAAAACAAGTTCGTTAAATTTTTCTAATACCAGTTAATTAATTTTCGTCTTTATTCTTTTAGTCATTTATCAAAGCTCGTTTATTAATTCTATCAATTTTTTCGATTGCACACCATTTACGGAACAAGTTCAGTAAAATTGTGTTTGAAAGAGTTACTCAATTGTTTCTGGTACCGGCTTTTATTTTCTTCTTTACTCTTTGAATAGTTTTTCTACAGTAGTTTATTAATTCTATTAAGAGTATAAAAGAAATCTTTTTTACGGAACAAGTTCTGTAATTTAAAAAACAAGGCCGTTTTTTCGTACCAGTTCATTAATTTGTCTTTATATTCATTTAGTCGTTTCTCGAACTAGTTCGTTAATTATGTTAACTCTATTAGTTAAGTTTCTTTCACGGAATAAGTTCTGTAAATTTTTTTTAAAATAAGTTTGTTAAATTTCTCTGGCACCAATTTATTAATTTTTCTTTTTATTCCTTTAATAATTTTTTGAAACTAGTTTGTTAATTATATTAATTCTCTATATATAGGCAGATACCTTTTACGGAACGAGTTCAATAATTTTTTTTTAAAATAAGTTTGTTCAATTTTTCTGGTGTTTATTGATTTCTCTTTGTATTCCTTCAATCATTTTTTAGAACTATTTCAATAATTCTGTTAATTCTATAGGTTAGATACTTTTACAGAACAAGTTCAGTAAATTTTTTTGTGTTCATTATACTTTCCGGTACCAGTCAATTAATTTACCCTTTTTATTCTTTTAATATTTTTCGGAACTTCTTCATTAATTATTCTAAATTCAACTGAAAGAAATCATTAAATTAATTTATCTTTTTTATTATTTTAATAATTTTCGGAACTAGTTCATTAATTCTTCTAAATTCAACTAAAAGAATTTAAATTTCATTTTTACGGAACAAGTTCAGTAAATTGTTTGCAGTTCGTTATACTTTCCGGTACCAGTCCATTAATTTACCTTTTTTATTATTTTAATAATTTTCGGAACTAGTTCATTAATTCTTCTAAACTCCACTGAAAGAATTAATTAAATTTAACCTAATTCTTACTTTAGAAAATTATTTACATTTTTCCAGTGCGCAAAATTGTTGGGCGACACTTCAGTCATTGCCTTTTATCCAAGTAAATTTGTCCTCATCACTGACATTTTGGACATTTTCGGTAAACTCGTATATGAAAGATTAAAAATGAAGTCCGAATCTAACAAGTGAGAATTTTTTTCTCTATTTTTATATATTTTTCTCTATTTTTGTATAAAAATTTTAAAATATTTCAAAATATATATATTGAAAAATTTTTCGGAACGGTTCCATAGAAGTTCCGCAGATTTGTTTCGTAATAAAATTCTAGTTTGTACGGAACTTTTTTTCAGTTATTAAAAAATACATAAAGAGACCTTTTCATTTTTAAATCTTCAATTTTGTGGAACTTTCTATAGAATTTTAATTTCTAATGAACGGTTCCGTATTTTTCTTGTCACTAACGAAATATTTTTTTCAAAAAAAAAACTTTTTTTGCATCAATTTAGACCTGGGAGTAAAAGTGCAAGCTTGCCGGAAAATTTTACACCGGATATGGTTCCGGAGAATGCAAAGGAAACTTGTCAAAATTGGTTCTATAAAATTGCCTCAATTCGAGAATTGGTGCCGAGACTTTTTGTTGAAATGGCAATTATTAAATCGTATAATTTCCTTACTACAAGGTAAGAAAGAAAGAAAAACCAAAAGAATTATTTACCTAAATAAATAGAATCAGAAAATTTAAGTAAAGAAATCAAAATATTTTTTTAATTATATTTTCATTCGATTTTTGTCTTTTTCTAAATAAAAAAAGAGAAAAAACGAAAGAAAAAAAATTAAATTCTTGTGCGGGATCGAACCTTAAACCCTCATTTACATTTACAAGCGCCTTTACACCCACGACCAAAGTCAATAAAAAAATTTTTTTTTTAAATTTTGCAGCGAAGCAGTGACAGCACTAAAAAGAATGACACGAATGATTCGCGGTATTGGCAATCCATTGATTGCAGTTTACGCTCGTTGCTATTTGTGTCGCGTTGGATTGGCATTAAATAAAAATACAGATTTTGAATTTGCAAAGGAGAATTTTTACGATTTTCTTTGCACATTTCAACAACTATTCACGCCATCGATGAAAATTGAATTGATCAAGCAAAATATTTCTTTTCATTCTTATTTGAATCTTTATACACCGGCTCTTGAATGGATATTGGAAATTGTCGCTGCAACCGCAACCGATAATTTAATGACTGAAATTATTTCACGCTGCAAATTAATGCCAAAAAGGTTTGGGAAAATAAAATTTTTATATAAGTAAATTATTTTTATTTATTATATTATTTTATTTATTTTAATATTTTTAAATAAAATTTTTTTGTTACTTAAAAAAATATTTTCTAAGTATAACAAAAATATTAAATATTTTCTAATAATAAAATGTTTTTTTAAATCAAATAATATTAATTTTCTTAAATAAATAAAAAAAATTAATATTAAAATGATAGTAAGAACAAAAAGTAGTTAATATTTATAAATTTATCAATTATCCTTGGGGGGATCGAACCTTTGGCCTTTATTTGTGTTTGTAAGCGCCTTAACGCCTACGGCCAGAGGCAATAATTTTTTTTTCTAATATTAAAAATATTATTATAGAATTCTAAAAATATATTTTTCGTCTTTTTTTAGAGGATTATTAATAAACACTGCATTAACGTCGTTCAAAGCATCATACATTGCAGAAAGATCGATGGAATTTGTAAATTTGGTGACAACTTGTGAAGATGATGGTAACAGTATAAAGAAATTTATAATTGGAAATTTATTAATTAAATAATAAATTTTTTTTGTTTTAATAATTTTATTTTATTATTTTTTTTTTAATATTAATAAAAAATGTTTTTTTTTGTTTTTGTTTGTTTCTAAAACAACATTATTTATTTTTATAAATAAGTACATTTTTTTAATAAATGTTTCATAACTTTATACATTTTTTAAAGAATTATACATTTTTTATAAATTTATAAATTTTTTATAAATTTTTATAAATTTTTTATAATTTTATAAACTTTTTATAAATTTATAAATTTTTATAATTTTTGTTAGGATTTCCTCAATATCTTCTCTATCGGAATTTGGGCGAATCTTTTGTAAAAGAACCCCCATCGAAAGATGATTGTCAAATGGTTTTAAATGCAGTTTGGAAATATTTGGCGAGCCTCAAAGATTCGACGAAATTTATGTATTGCACTGAAATTTGGATTCAATTTACAGTTATTCATTTTTCCGTAAGTTGATGCGGCTTAAGAAACTTGATATTTAAAATTTGATATATTTTATAAAAAATAAATTTTTTTTTCATTTTTAAAAAAAAATTTTAAAAGTTGAAAAATTAACGAAAAATTGGTAATTTCTTTTTTTAAATTTAATGTTCGTAGGTAACGGAACTAAATCAATTTTTGGGAGCAATTATCAATCATTTGGGATCAAATCGAATTTTTGAACAATTCTATCCACAGTTACAAACAATTGTCGAGAAAATTGTCGCTCACACACAGGACTTCGAATCATTGTTGATTATGGTGAGAATTTTTCAAATTTTATAATTATAATAAAAAAAAATTTTTATTTTAGGAAGAAATTTTTGTTTTGAAAAAACTATTTTAGGTTTGGAATTTTTAAGTTTTTATTGAATTAAATTACATTATATTCAGCTTTAAAACGATATTTTTTATATACTTTTATATATTATATATTTTTTATATATTCTATATTTTTAATATATTTCTAACATCTCCAAAATTTTTAATTTTTTAGAAAATATAATATTTATATTATATTTTATATATAATATATATTATATCCTATATAATATATATTTTTTATATTTTAAGTCGATTTCTCCTTTTCTGTAAATGAAAAAGGAGAAAAAACGAAAAAAAATTAATAAATCCTTGTGAGGCACTAGTCGCTTGACATTATTAAAAAAATATGCACAGTAGTATAGCTATGCCGGTTCTGGATAATATCGGTAATGCAGATTCCTACTTACCGACCGCGAGGGTAAGTTACCGGGCGTTTGTGGGTATATGGGTAATGTAGATTCCTACTTATCGACCGCGAGGGTAATTTACAGGCCGTTAGTGGGGTACCTGATTTGCATATATGTAAATTAGTTAACCCTTTTAATTTACATATATTTAAATATATGGAAAAGTTACCGAGCGTTGGTGGGGTACCTGATTTGCATATATTTAAATTAGTTAACCCTTTTAATTTGCATACGTTTTCTATAGTTTATTATTCAATTTTCATTGTTAACCCTTTTAGTTTATGCAAATTCCACCCACTATCCATCCTTTTGGACGTATAATATGCAAACACCACCCACTTTCACCCCACCCTCTTTTTACATTCAACCTAATTTGCATACATTTTTTTTCTTTGCAACACCCCCCTCCCACCACCCACTCACCTGTGTAAAATACATTGCTCTTAGTTAACCACCCCCCTCCCACCAACTTTTTTCCTTTATATGTATATTTCTAATACTACCATCCACCACCACCCACTTAGTATAAACTAGAAATTTCAAAAACGGTATAGAGAACCCCGAGGGATTAAGCGTTCGCGAGATACCGAGCAGGCGTTGTGGGTAGTGGGAGTGTGTGGTGGTGGGTGCTGTGGTAAGGCCCAGTGCGCAGCAAAAGTGCGCGTACGGTTACCGCGTTAAGTGAGTGAAAGTTCCATGCATCAGACCTGTCTGTCTGACTGTTGCAGCGTTCTTCCCTGGTACTATAGCACCATAGGAATAAATATATTGTCCAAAAATATGTAAGCAAGTTTCAACTTGTCTTTTTCCATGATAACAATAGTATTGTTTGAATATCTTAAAGCATGTTTCAACCTGCATCTTGAATAGAATAAAGACATTGTCTAATAAACCTTCAGACAGGTTTTAACCTGCCTGTAGATAATGACAAAGACACTTTTTTTAGAAACATTTTAGTGACGTCATTTTCATGCGAGTTTGAACACGTCTTCTAAATGACTCTTCTTTTTAACTTAAAGTGGAGGCAGTTGCGTGCGCAGTCGTTAAAGTGGGGGTAAAAGAGTGGGCAACGGTTCGACACTTCTATTTAAATTTCCAGCAGCAGCAGCTTCAGCAGTATCAACAGTACCAACAGCTTCAGCATCTACAGCAACATTAGCAGTACTAGCAGTTTTAACAAATACAGCATCATCTACTCATTTGGTAGGTAAATTTTCTTTCTTTCATTGAAACATTTTGTATTTCAAATTAGTTTTATAAATTTAATATTAAAAATCCATCTTTTTTCTTTGCTTACAGATATTAAAACAATGGACTTCCAAAAAGTCAACGCCATTGGTCGCATGAAGAGATTTCTGCCAACGAAGCCGCTTTCTGAGTTGACTGTGAATGAGTTATACAACGTAACTAAAATAAACAAGGTGCAGACCAAATATGGTTCTAGGATTGTAGTAGACTTGGATGCTGCATTAACAACTTTTCTGCCGGCAAGGTTCGCAAAACTATTTGAAGCTGACCCTACCTTCTTCACAATGATGGAAGAAGCCGTACAGTCGGAGAAGTTGTGATTAAAATATATTGGTGGCAAATTTAATGTTATTGGATTTGAATAAAATATTATAAGATTATACTATAAAAATTATGTAAATATTTAAAGGCTTATAATAATAAAAAAAATTACTTTCAAATTGCTTCTTTTATTATTCTACCTTTATATTTTAAACAATTTTTAAATTAATTGAATTTTATATAAAATTGTATATGTAAATTTTTATTAAAGTTAAAGAAAAAAAAATTTTCAAGCATATAATAATAAAGGAGTAGGTATATCAACCCAGTGGGCATAGGGACGTCTAAAAGACGTCCGCGGACAATTCGGGGACAATGATTGTAATGTCTCTGAGTCATCTAAAAGACGTCTAAAAAACGTTCTATGTCTGGTCCAAAAGACGTTCAAAAGACGTCTAAAAGACATAAGAAAGGACGTCTAAAGTACGTCTTAAAGACGTTTTTTGGACGTCTAAAAGACATAAAAGGGACGTCTAAAAGACGTCTTTTAGATTCCTTCTTTTTACATTTCTTCAGATCTTAAATAAACATTTCTTTTTTAACATTTTCTAAGTTGAAACTCAGTAATATTGTATTAAATTTATTTTAATTTTATTTTTTTTAATACAATGTGGAGAAATAATAAAAAATTCCGGCACCTCAGCCGTTCAAGACAGATACGAACCTCTACAAAGTTAACGATCTCACTTAAATGAATTAAACTTAGAAAAATTCCAATCACTTTTGCATTGATTAGTTTCTATAAGTCCAAGTTGAACTTAGAAAATAATATATATTTTCTATTTATGCAAATTTTTCTATTTTCAAATGTTGAATGAAAAAGACGTCTTTTAGACATCTTAAAGACATCTAATGGCCAAGACATAGAACATGTATAGGACGTCTTTTTGTACAAGTCTAAAAGACGTCTTTTATCGTCATAAGGACTCAATGCTATTTTTGTCTGTTTTTGTGTATGTACATTATGTAGTTTTGATCTTATAGAATATTGTACTCTAGTTTGTATTTTAATGTTCCTTAGACAGTACACGTAATCATTGAAAGTAATAGATTTTTTCACAACTACCGTCTTGACACCTTTTGCTTTTTTCAAAAAATCTTCTTCCTCCACACGAATACTATACATTTTACTTCGTAAACTAACAAATTCTGTTATTATTCGTCCATTACACTCATCTTTCATGAGTCCTAAGACTTTTTTGTTAGCTTGCGGAATTTCATATACATTATTAGCAGTATAATCAGATGTATCAAATTTACAAATATCTGCTTTCATATCAGAGTAGATATCTGTACATTTAATTTTATAAATAAGGCTGTCAGTATCAGTGTAGAGCAATTTACAATTTTTACTATACTTGTTTCTCATATATTTATAATGAAAATCATACATCAATGTTTTAGATATATCCAAAACGCTAAGTCCAATATAGATTGGTTTATTCATAAGCACTTTAGTTTTGTTAAGTTTTGTTTAATGAAAATCATACATCAATGTTTTAGATATATCCAAAACGCTAAGTCCAATATAGATTGGTTTATTCATAAGCACTTTAGTTTTGTTAAGTTCCACAGCAACCAAGTTTTCATTGAAAATAGCTCGTGTGTGGAAGTTTGGTTTCTAGATGAGAGCCTCTGCTCCATACCTACCCTCCCATTTTGTTACAAGTTTTACATCAACACGTTTTCGTACATTCTCCATTGTCTTACCATAATCTGCATTGTTCATAAGTTTGAAGAGATTTTTTTCAAACTCAATTTTTGCATTTGTTCGCATGTCGGTATTAAAATCGATATAACGCTTCAACCATGCAGATTGTTTAAATTTTAAAACTCGATGAATTTGAGTGAGTTTAAGACCACTCTCTATTGCTTGTTGAAGCGCACGATAATGGAGAATATACTTTTGTTTTGGTAGGAGGGTAGTGAGCAATTTCTCTTGTTTTGATCCAGGTGGTTTTGAGTGTTCTGGACAAAATGGTAAGTCACTATGACTTTAATGTAGATCATGTGGATATTCTAAATCAACTTCTAATATATAACCAAAATCTGAATCATTACCGATATTAAAGTTAAAAGATCTATCTACATCTTTTACCCACTCAAAACCACCATAGGGAAGTGCTTGAATCATAGCCAACCATAAAGGTTATTAGCATCCAAATATACAATATAAGATGGATCTTCATTTTCATTATAATTTTTCATGTACGGATTATTGGCATGAGCATATCTGTTTGAACATTGGCTAATCCCCCCTCTAATACCACTTTCAACAAACATAACAATATCAATATCTGCAAGTGCTTGAATCATAGCCAACCATAAAGGTTATTAGCATCCAAATATACAATATAAGATGGATCTTCATTTTCATTATAATTTTTCATGTACGGATTATTGGCATGAGCATATCTGTTTGAACATTGGCTAATCCCCCCTCTAATACCACTTTCAACAAACATAACAATATCAATATCTGCAAGTGCTTGAATCATAGCCAACCATAAAGGTTATTAGCATCCAAATATACAATATAAGATGGATCTTCATTTTCATTATAATTTTTCATGTACGGATTATTGGCATGAGCATATCTGTTTGAACATTGGCTAATCCCCCCTCTAATACCACTTTCAACAAACATAACAATATCTGCAAGTGCTTGAATCATAGCCAACCATAAAGGTTATTAGCATCCAAATATACAATATAAGATGGATCTTCATTTTCATTATAATTTTTCATGTACGGATTATTGGCATGAGCATATCTGTTTGAACATTGGCTAATCCCCCTCTAATACCACTTTCAACAAACATAACAATATCAATATCTGCAAGTGCTTGAATCATAGCCAACCATTAAGGTTATTAGCATCCAAATATACAATATAAGATGGATCTTCATTTTCATTATAATTTTTCATGTACGGATTATTGGCATGAGCATATCTGTTTGAACATTGGCTAATCCCCCCTCTAATACCACTTTTAACAAACATAACAATATCTGCAAGTGCTTGAATCATAGCCAACCATAAAGGTTATTAGCATCCAAATATACAATATAAGATGGATCTTCATTTTCATTATAATTTTTCATGTACGGATTATTGGCATGAGTATATCTGTTTGAACATTGGCTAATCCCCCCTCTAATACCACTTTCAACAAACTGAAATCTGCGAGTAGTAAAATATCAGTTTTCATATACAAATAAACATACTCGTAGAGATATTGACAATTAAAAGCAGACCAAACCTCTTGTGAATGACGATAATCTTCATCGCTTATATGAGAATCATTTAGGGTACTGTAAAATTTCTCTTTTGGAGGTAGATGTGTCTCGTTTAATTTCGATCTATTGTCGAAGAACTCATATGGAAAAATTCCTTTGCGTGTTAATAACTGAATCGTTTTAACATTATAAGACTCAAATTCGGAATGTACTATTGAATAATTTGATAGATATGAGGCCAATTTGTCCAAAGATGATGCCATGAATCGAAATGAATCAATGAATTTAAATTTTATACCATTTTCTGGGAAATGTTTTGTGAAGCTAATATATTTTTCTTCGGTAATAGGAAGGAGATCAATTTTACCTTCAAACTCATTCGCAATGGCTTCTATAATAAAGTGAGCATCATAACCACTCAAATTATGAAAAACAACAAGAATAGTATTCAATTCCTGATAGTTTAGGTTGCAATATTGATGAGCTACACCTCGGTATTTACCAGTTAGGTGACAATGGTCTCTAACCTTAGTCTTTGTTCATTAAATTTTAGATAACATCCAATGCTCAGAAGTTTATGATTTTGAACAATCTCTGTATTATTACCTCCCATAGATGAAGAATCTGTTTTAGGAAGTAATAAGCTTTAATCTATAAAAGAACCAGCCTTCATGGGGTTGTATCTATTAAAATTTACATCTAATCTTTGAATTGAATCAAGTCGTCAATTTGAATCTTTTTCTTCAAAATCTTCACAAAGGCGAAGCGTTACTTGTTTAAAATTTTCATTATACAAAACATCTAAATGAGTTGTAGGAAAAATTTCTTTCGTACTAGCAATAAAGGTTTTTATATCAAAAACTGTAGTATTATCAGACAGAACTTGTTTATACTTAGCAACAAAAACTGTGTATACTTTTAATGGACCATCTCTTAATGCTCGTTCTACCTGATCTTTAAAAACTGAATTAGCATCATCTAAGAAATCATTGATATCTAAATGTGAAATATTTATAATACTTCCATCTTGAAGTCTATTGTTAAAAGCCCTGTTAGTAACTACCCATTTAATTTTTTCATTCGATTTATCTATTCCAGCTCCATGTTTCTTAGTTTGTGCAAGTTCCATAATGTTATCTAACTGGCATTCATAAAATTTAAGTTGTTTTAGCAAATTTTCAATTCTTTTATTATTATGAGAACCCTGCATTATATAACGTTTAGCGAACCTTGTTAATAAAGCAAAGTGTGCCTTACACTTTTTATGCCACTCACATGCTGTTTTGAAACGAGCATTGACTTCTTCAGATGCAATAGATCTCAATTCAACATGGACAACGTCAATGAAAGTTTGTGAGACCTCACAAATTTCATCAATGCTGTCTTGAGATAATACTCTTTTGTTTACTCTTTCGACTACTCTTGCATATGGATTGACTACTATTCGATTATTAGATTTTCGGTGAGCCATGATAAATAAACAAATAAATTAATTAAAATAAAACTTGAAAAAAAGAAGTATATAAATAGAAAATGTTGTACTCAGCTAACTCTTCTTCTTCTTCTGTCTTGTCTACAACGATAGGAGAAGGAGCAAAGAGTATGAAGTTGGTGATGATCTTGTTGTCCACAACTAACTCTACACCTTCAAGAATAAGAGGGAAAAGTATCAAGATACTTGAAAATCTGGAATACAGTAAAAACCAATTGTAATAATTTAAGACAATTGATAATATAATGATATGCAATGTATAATGTATGTATAATTTAAATATATGCAAATCAGGTACCCCACCAACGGCCGGTAAATTACCCTCGTGGTCGGTAAGTAGGAATCTGCATTACCGATATTATCCAGAAGCGGCATAGCTATACTACTATGCACAGAATCTAAAAAAAACTGAAAATACATTACAATTATTTTTTTTTAATAAAAATTTTCAAAACCAAAAAAAATGTAAGTGATTAAAAATTGTTTCGTTTTTCTCATAATTTGCTGCAGAATAATTTTCTACCACTATTGGACCTCTTTCATAAGGAGAGTATTAAAGTTGATGTATGTAAAATAATTGTCGATGGATTTGGCTCTCAAAATGGACCAATTACAGATCCAATTGTAATCAATGCTCTTATGTTTATTATGAAAATTATCCATGATTCTGTTAGGTAAGTGATTTAAAAGTTTACTTTTTTAAAAACTAATTAATAAGTAATAAGAGGAAAAATATTTTATCTCTTAATTTATTATTATTTTGTCCTAAAAAATTTCAGTGCATTGACTGTGGAAGATGAGAAACGACAAATTGGAAATTTAATTTGCGGCCTCGTTCAGCGAATCGATTTTGGCCGTGATTTTGAGAAGCAATTGAATTTTTATGTTGAGGCAAGAGCCGCTTTTCCAAATCTAGACGCTGTTCATGTTCAATTGGTCCAGGTATAAAATTTTAAATTTTTTTTAACGTTTTTAAATTATTTTTTCCCGTTTTAGAAATTTTCACACGTCCTTTAAAAAAGGGGAAAAAATTAATAATTATGTTTTCAAGTAATTAGAAAGTGGTAAATTTTATTTTTTTTTAGTGTGTCAATAGATTGGCTGTTGACACTAGAAAAATTGTACGTGGACATCACACGCGTCGAACTTCGGCATTTGTTCGAGCTTGTGCGGCTTTTTGTTTTATTACAATTCCATCATTATCATCGGTTCATTCACGACTTCAATTATATCTTCTTTCCGGTCAAGTTTCACTTCTCAATCAGTGTTTAGGTCAAGGTAGGAAAATTTTTCTTTTTAACCATAATACCTACATAGATTAGAAATATTTATTTTTCTTTTAAATAATTTTTAATAATTCGTTTTCTTGAATCAATCTTTCGAAGAAATCTTAGTAATATTACAAAAATATTACGATTATAAGGTCAAAAAAGTCATTAATAATTATAAACTTTCATAGCCGATGCATCTTTCAAAGCGGCATTGAGTCTGGTTCCAGAAATGCCGAAAACAATTGATGTCGATGGGAGGCAAAAAAGTACGGAACCATGTTTGCTTTCCTATCTTTCGAATTTTTTATCGACACTTCTTGTTGTTCCAGTAAGTAAATTTATATTAATTTCCGCTAGTATGAATATTTTTTAATTTTTTTTAAAGTCTTTTATGAGAAAAATTATTTTGATTTTTTCAAATGTTCTGTAAAAAAGGACAGTCCTGAACACGGAGTTTTGTACTTGATGCGAGGCCTTTTAAATGCTATTCAACGTTGCTTTGAAGAACATTCATCAACGAAATATTATCTCTATCTACGAGTTCTAGATCTTTTGAGTACTTACACTCAAGAAAATTATCCATATCATGTTGACAAGGTTTGAATTTTTATTTATAAAATTGCATATATATTTGTTTTAATATTACTGAATTTCAAAGTATTTTTACTTTTATTTTCATTAGAAGCCATACTTAAATTACGTAACGCTTTAGGGGTAGGGGGGTATGGCACCTTACATTTAAAAAAATAGAAAATAAATTTATTATATTGTATTTAAATAATTAAATTAAATTTTATTAAATTTTAGGTGGATTCAAATGATCGGCTTTATGGTTCAGATCAAAAATTCATTGTCGAAGTAAATAAAATATCATCGAAGGTGCTTCATGAAATTTTAACACATTTAAAATATTTGGGCACAATCGAACAATTGGAAAAACAATCAACACTAGCTTTAGATTTATTTATTCGTATGATAATAAGAGCAGATTTACAACAATCAACAATGGCACAATTGTCCGTTAATTTGTGGAATTTATCACAAAAATATGGTGATGAAGATCAAAATAGAAAAGTAATTATACCCGTTCTTGTGTTAAAAAAAATATTTTTTTTTTCTCATTCAAACTTTTATTTTTTTTTCTTTCTTGCAGATACGACAACGAATTGTTGATCATATGATACTGAAGAGCCGATCTCCTGAGTTTGAGCATTTTAACGAAGTTTTACGAAAAATAATGAAAACGTAAAAATATTTCTCTTCGCAGATTTGTTCGCAGTGTGGGAAGAAAAGTTTTTGAAAACAAAAGAATATTTAATTATTTGTACTATTTAATTGAAAAAAATCAGGTAGAATAAATTTATATGTCTGTAATGGGTGAGTTTTTCTTATTTTTAATTTAAATATTAATAAACTTGGTAAAAAAATTACATTTAATTAAGAATTGATATTTATATGCAAAATTTTACTTTTTATTTAATAAGAAAATGATATTTTCAACAAAAATTATTTCTTGTAATTAAGAGGGAGATATTCGAAAAGAATAATATTATAAATTATTATTCAGTCTGAGGTTATATTACCAGTATTCTAATTGATAATTCGAATTAATTCATTTAAAACAAATTAATTCTTTTAAGGCTAGACAATTTTAGGTTAGAAAACCGTTATTTATAATTTTAACATATTTATTGAGAAATAATAAACTATTTTATATTTCTTGACAGTTTGAGGTTACATAACCCGTTATTTTTAATTTTAACATTTTAAAAATTTTATTTTATTGTTGTTATTTTGTAACATTTAATTAATTACTTTAATTAATTTCAATTAACGGTCAGTTAACGTCAGTTGACAGTTAAACCATTTAAAGACCTCCTTTTTCATTTTGTTACCTACCATCGGTAAAGTAGGAAATTGCATAATGAAAAACAGAAAAATACAAAAATTTCAAAAGGTTAGACAAATAATTAAACAGTACATAAAGAAAAGAATCACTTTTTTTAATACTTAAACAGAATTTACAAATATTCAAAAAAAATATATATATATAATTCTCCCAACATTTTTCGAAATTATTTTAAAACAAATCTCAAGAGGTAGATAGGGAAATATTAATTCTTCCCATAATTTTTAAAATCGATATGCACATTATTTTCAATATATATAATTAAAAAAGAATTTATAATATTTTATTTGTTAACGAGGTTAAAATCTGCTAAATACATTTTCTTGTAGAAAAATAATCTCACGATTTTGTTTTTCAATAAAATGGAAGACAAGTTTTTTTTCTCTACATTTTTTCTGTTTTACCTTTGGAAGACACTGGATGTTTGAAAGAAACTTTAGAAAATAATAAAAATTTGTTATTCTTCTTAATTTTTGAGAACGGAACGAAGAGTATCGAGGAAAATGTTTGCATGATATTCCGTGAATGTAAGAGCGGGCCTCAGTCTAATTGCCTTCTCCCCACAGCCTCCCGATTGAATTCCTAAAAACAACCCCGAAAAAAATTTCCTTTTAGTTTAAATTTCAAAAAGAAAAATTATTTGCTGATTTTTTTAATTAAAAATATTTTTTTTACTTTTTACAAAAAAAAAATGCAAAAAATATTGTAAATTTTTCGTTTACCTTTTGATAATAATTTCTTAACGGTTGAATCGCGAAGCTGTGGTGTCGCGCAATCAAAAGCAATAAAAGTTCCTCGACCTCGGGCTGAATTAATAGCATGCGGTAATTCCCTCTGCATTGTCATTAATTGTTTTAATGTATAGTCACCAACTCGTGCGACTCTATCCAAAAGATTGTCCTGTTGAATCACTTCCAATACCGATTCGAGTAAGATTAATTTACTTGGATCACCCATCCATGTGTTGAAAATTCTGTACGGCTGTTTTGCTCTGTAAATTTTTTATTTTTTTCATTATATCGAAAATAATATCTGTACAATGTACAATTTTAGAAAAATTCATTAGAAACAATTAAAAAAAATGTTTCCTCTAAAATCTTGTTATAGAATTCTGATATACGAAATGCGACGATTTCGCCAGTAATCCCACCGCTGCCACCTTATGAGTTCGCAACCTCTAAAGTAATTATTAATTAATAATTAATGTAATATTTTCGTTGGGCAAAACTATCACTTACTTCATTTCAGGAATGTGATAATAACCGCCCATTTGCATTTTTTTGCTGAACGAAACAACTTCCGGTGGTGATTCAAGATTAAAGTGTTCGTGACACCACATTTTTCCAGTTGGTCCCCCACCCGTTTGTACTTCGTCAATCAAAAGAGCCGAACCATGCTATAAAATGAAAATAAAACAAATAAAAAATAAAACTTATATGTATATTTAAAAAAAATAAATATCTTTGCAAAATTTATCACCTTTTTTGCAATTGCCTGAAGTTTTTGGAAAAATTCCGGTGACGCGTGATTATCACCACCTTCAGCTTGAATTGGTTCAATTATTATTCCAGCCACTGGACTATTTTTCCTTTCGTATTGAACTATTAAATCTTCAATCTGTTGAAATATCGATTAATTACAATTGATTGCAAATTAATTACAATTAAATGCAGATTAATTAAAAAAGCAATACAAATCAGTGAAAATAATTAAAAACTTCGATTTTAATAAATCGATGATACACATTTAGTATAAAATGTTAAAGGTAAAAAATGTGAATTTCAAATTTCGCGCGTCGGAAATAACCAAATGTCGGTAAATATCGTCTACCCCCACCAGAGACGAACGACTCGACTATAAAAGAGTTGCGAACGAGTCAATCGGTGGCATTCGATCTCGAGGCGTCAAGCTTGTTTTACGACAGAGAAATATTTGAAAATAAAGGGGGAAAAATTTTTTTAATTTAAAAAGAGAATATTTACCTCTGCCAAGCATTTTTGATCTTCTTGCTGATTTTCACGAACATTTTCATCAAGGGGATATTTGTACTTAGGGAAAGGTGCTATCGGCCAATCAAAAGCCGGTACATCAATTTTGTGAATATATTTACTGTGAGTCGTTGATAGGGAGCCTAGTGTCCGTCCATGGAAAGCACCTGAAAAAATTAATTCAAAAAAGGTTCTGAACAAATGACCAAAATGGTGTCTTTTTAAAAAAAAAAGTTTCAATTTGCTCAAAACATTGTCACTAAAGGGGTTTATATGGGGTCGATAATTATGAATTTGATGTCGGATTTGAAAAATACAAAATGGCGTAACCAATATGTCAGACAAAATTTTGACGAATAATAAATTTATTATTAAATTTAAATTAATACATATTTAATTAAAAATAAAAAATACAAATTTATTAAAAAATAAAACATACAAATTTTTGTTAAAGAATATAAAAAATACATTTGTAGAAAAAAAGGACATACATTTATTGAAAAATAAAAAGTTAATATATTTTTATTGAAAAAAAAAATCGTAAAACATAAAAGGTTGAAAATGAAAAAAACAAAATTAGAATTTTATGTATTATTAAAAATGGGAAAAAAAAATTGTAAAATTGTTTAATTATTAAAAATAATTTTTTTTATTACCTTTGAAAGACATAATTGAATAATTAGGCGACCCTGGATTGTTATTTATCATGCAACTATCCATTTCCTCCTTTGTAAATGGAGCGCCTTGCCTCTTTTTCTCTGCGTACCAAAAAAAGATTGCTTTAAATGCATTTTCATTTGAACACGAGCCACACATCATTGTTGTTATATTCGACAAACCAGGTGGTGCGACCTAAAATATTATTTATAATATTATAATAAAATTAAAGATTTTTAAATAAATTTTTTTCTATCAATTTTAAAAAATTTTTTTCTATTTGTTCATAATATGTTTATTTTTTTTGTATCTTTCACGAGAAACGAATTTTTTTTTTACTTACGCCTTTCTTCAAAAGAACGTCCTTCAATTTTTTCGGCCAATTTCCACCGGGAAACACTCCCAGGGCCGGTCGGTTGGCAATTATTTTCTATAAATTAATTTTAAAAATTATTATTAATACGTATTATCATAAATTTTTGCTTTAAATTTTCAAAAAGTAAAAAAAGAAAATTTACTTGATTAACAGGGTCGGCCAAAACATCGAGCATCGCCTGATGATTATAACCAAGGGGCATCGATGAAATTTGCATATAAACATCTAATAAAATATTTCCATCAACATCAGACACATAATTACCCGTCGACTTTTCATAATCAACGAATAATTGAACTGAACCAGCTTGCTGAAAAAAAAATTTATTTTTTTTATTTCAAAACAGTTCCCGTAATAATAAGAACTATATATTAATAATTATAATTACAACTATAATCTATAATCAATTTAAGTAATTTTTAGGACAATTTTCTAAAAAATATTTTTTTTAATAAGAAAAAAAAAATTTGTCTAAAAATTACTTAAATTAATATATTAACAAACCACAAAAAAATATTCATCTAATAATAATATATAATCCTTACAAACTTGAATTAAAGATTTTAATAAAAATTTTTGTTTTTTATAAACATAATATTAGGGTGGCTCCAAGGTTTCCACCCATCTTTTGAACGACTGTAATTCATAAACGGTATTAATAATTAATAATATATGCCCTGAAACTGTATCTCCTTTGCTAATTTTTTAGCAAAAAAAATTTTTTATTTTACTAAGGAAAATAAAATTTAGGCGACTATGGAAAATCAGTTGAAATTTTGCTTTAAAAAAAAGTGTCCCCAAGGTGGATTCAAAAATCCATTGAAAAATTTAAAAAAATAGTTGCAAAAATCAATTTAAGGTAATTTTATTTGAAATTTATTGTTTTTGGCTGATAATCAAAGAATCAATAGTTGCAAACTCTTTTTTGTTTATAAGAAGCCATTCTAAAATATTGTTAATTATTTATCCTATTTCATACATTAAACACTAAATTATTTTATTATTCATCATAAAATTTTCCAAATCGATAAAATTTACATTTTTCGTAATATATATTTTGATAAATGTTACATCGTAAAAAAATTTAAAGTGATTTTACATAAAAACACATGGTGGCCACCTCAGGAATAAAAAAGTGGCCACCTTAGGGCAAGGACGACCGTACGCGTACCCTTAAAAAAAGGCCGTTCTTTATAGACATCTGGTCATAGGTTATATTTCAATTTATGGTTATTCCTTTAACATTTGGAAACACTTTGAATTTTGTTCGGAAAAAAGTATTTTTTCTAAAAGGTTAAAATTAACTGTTAAGAGGGATGAAATTTGAACTGCCTTTTTCACGGTGCAATCTGTTAGCAATAAAAATGTTGTTTGAACAAATTTTCGTGGGAAAAAAATAATTTTGAAATTTTTGTCTAGTCTGTTTAATGCAACTCTTATAGGGTCAATTGTAAGTTATTTTTAAGATAAAATTTGAAAGATAAAAGTTGAAAAAAAATATACAGGATGTAACACTGTTATTATTAAATATTAATATACGCTTTCTGTTTACTTATTCGCATAAAATATGTGAACAAAAAGAGTAAAGAAAATATTTTTTAAAATTAAGTAAAACGAAATATTTAAAAAAAAAATTTTAACCTCAAATTATAAAAGAACTTCTACCTTAATTACTATACAAGAAATATAATTACCTGTATGTTATTTAATTCTTTAAATAATTTTTGGGACTGAGGTCCAGGAATGTCAGTCATTACCACTGGCCTCTCAGGCTCGTGAAGCAATGGTCCAGCGGACATAGTTCTTGACCAGAGAATTTCATTTCCTAAAGAGTCAAAAAAAATTTTATTTTTTATCAAAAAAAAAAATTGTTATTTTTCAAAATTTTACATACTCAAGTTTTTTCCAGTGTTAATGTACATTGGAATTAAAATTTAATATTTGAGCCTAGACTCGCGTCCATTAGATTGTAAAATATTTTGAAGTTCAAAATTTGTACATAATAGAAAAAATATGAACTTAAAAGAATTAAATTTTATTTAACATTCTTACATTTTTTTATTTACTTTATTTATTTATTTATTTTTTATTATTAAAAAGTATGATAATAAAATATAGTAATAAATCTTTTAAAAAAATTTCCTTTTGTCCAGTAATATATGTAGTGAATGTATGATACTTATGGACCAGTTTTCTAAATTTAAAACAGATAAAAATAGATATATTTTCTTTAGAACATCCTGAATAAAATATTTTTTTCAAAACTGACACGAAGATTTTTTTCTCAAAATTTTTCCATTGAAAAGTAATTTTTATTCTTATTTTCTACTAGTACTATTTTTTAAACTATCTATTTTATATTATTATTATTATTCTTGTATAGTAAATATATAAATTTATTACTATTTAGTAATAAATTTAAATAAATAAAAAAAATTTATTTATTTGTTTAAAATAAAAAATAATTATTAATTAATAGTAAAAAAAATTAATATTTTTTAATATTATTATTAACAATTATGAATTTATATCTAATTAATATTTATAATTATGTAGGACTAATATTATGTAATTAGAACATAATTAATATAAAAAACAATTTAATGTTATATTTTTAGATTTAAATTTTTGAACTTTCATTATGAAAAAAAAAATAAAAATAAAGAGAAAAAAAATTGAAGAATTATTAGGAAGTCATACATTTGCTATTCGCCAATAAAATAACAGATTAGATTTAACTGATGCCTGTTAACGACAATTGAGATTTGCACTCGTATATAAAAGAGACCAACTCAACTGTAAACTATTGTCCCTCTGGGCCATAAAAAAAATGTAACCCAAATATTCGCTCGCAAAAAAAATCCAATTCAAAATAAATAAACTCAAAAAAGTGCAATTATAATACTTTTTTTTCCAATAAATGTTAATTTTTTTAAAATAGTTATTTATTTACAAAAATAATAATAATAAATGTTAATAATAATAAAAAAATGGTAATAATAATAAAAAATGGTAATAATAATAGTTAAGAAAATATTAATAAAAATAGTGCAAAATAACTATGAAAGAAATAAATTTCAAAAATAGTAATATTTATGAAAATTTTTGTAAGCTGGAAAAATAATTTTTTCTATATTAATATAATTTTTCTACAATAGAAATATAATTTTTTATGATTTTTACTAAAAAAAAATTGTTAATAAAAAAATTAATGTTCTGGAAAAATTAATTAATTAACTAAAAAGATATTACTATTATTGTTGAAGAGAAATACATTAGATAAGAAGAAAAATAATAGAGAGTGAAATAAATTTTTTTTTCACAATGTCTTGTTCTTTTTGTTTTTTTTTTCTATGCCAAGTATAATGAGTTCTCTTTTGCAAAATTAATTTCTTCCTTTACAATCAATCAAACAAGATAAGATAGTAATTGAGAGAATTATAAATTTTTCGAAAATAACATTCAACATTCAGTGAAACTGAATAAATAATAAACAAAAATTCAGTAAATTCGTAATTTATCATTATTCAAAATTAATTTCCAATTTTTATTCTTTTTTTAAATTAAAATTTCTATTTTTAGACACTAAATGAATTTTCTTAAATATTAATACTCTGAATTCATTTTTGTTCATAAAAAAAATCTTTTGTGAAAATAAATTAAACGAAGAAAATTGTTTTTTAAATTTCTCCTAATATTAAATATTTTAGTTTATTTTTTTACATTAAAATTGATGAAAAAAAATAATAGATAGATAAATTAATCAAAAATATTATTTTTCGGATTTTTGTTTTATTTTGTAAAATTCCATTAAAATGTTTTGAATTTTCACAGAATTTTTCAGAATTTAATTAAAATTGTTTATTTAATAATATATTAATTATTAAATAAATGGTTAAATATGCAAATAATAAAAATAATGGAAAGCAAATTTATTTTTAAAAAATCGAATTTGTTTATTATTTTAAAAAAAAAATTTTTATAATTTATAATTATTTTCTTAATGATTAATTTTATTTATTCAACTATTTTCTGTATTTTATTTTTAATAATTCAATCATAATTGTGTATTATATATATAATGCGTAATAATTTCGCGCAGGATTTCCCTTAAATGGACCAAATATTGATCTGGATGCTGGGAACAAAATGTTACATTTGACCTAAAAATTTTTTTAAAAAATTTATTAATCCAATTCTAAACAAAAAGTAAAAAATTTTTTTTTAATTATAATTAATTTATTACTAACCGCTTTAAAATTGACGATTAAATACTAAAATAATAATTAAACAAAAATAGTATCAGGTGGTTTTTTTAATATTAAAATTTTATTTACCAAGACTTAAAGATTATTAGAATATTCCAAGTGATTATAAAAAAAACTCTTATCAAAAATTATAAAGCGAATTTATGAATACAAATCTATGATAACAATATTTAGTTTCAAAATTGTTTCTTGATTTTCAAATTTTTGTCGAACGAAAAAGTTTCAAGTGGAATTTTTATAATTAATTTATAATTAATAATTAGATAAAAATTACAAAAAAAAAATTGTAGAAAATTTTCTAATTTTTTAATTTTAACTTAGAAAAAATTATATTACCTTAGAAAAAATTGTATTGTTAATTCATAAAAATTTATATTATTTTAGAAAAAATTTTGCTTTACAGTTTTGAATTTTATTTGAATAATTTAAATGAAAAAAACTTTGTCAATTTTTATTAGTACCTTTAAGTAATTTTTGACGAGCAGTAAATAACGAAGAACACTTTCTAGCGAGCATTTTTTTTTAATGTATGATATACACAACACAACAAAAACCAGTTCAACTGATTGATGAGAATTTCAGAACGGTACATCCGAAGAGCACAAACTAGACTGAATGCTGATTTATATTTTCTGTGTGTCTCGAACCCCTTTAGAATGGAAACCCGCCCAACCACTTTGCTCACATCTTTCATTGATCCATTCGCACCAAAAAGCGCAGTTTAGTTTTTTCGAAAAATAAATAAATAAATAAAATAAAACTCATCTAAATAATTATAAAATATTTATTACTTTATATTTTATTAATTTTATATTTTTTTATATTTATTATATATATTTATATGTACTTACTATGTATATTTTTTATGTTGATAATATATATTTTCTATATGTATTTATTTTAAATATATAAATATTGCTTAAATACTATACTTTATATATTTTATATTTATATGGTACTATATTTATTTTTTATATTTGTATATATTTACTATATATATTTTTATTATATATATATATATTTTATTATAATTTATTTTACTACACTTTATGATAAATATTAAATTATTCTACAAAGGATATAGGGTACATCAAATAATTTTAATACATTTTAAGAGTTACTTCATTTTATTAATAAAACCTTTTTAAAATAAAAAATATACAAGAAATTTGATACATTTCAAAGATTTCGTCGATAAAAATTATTAAATGCGAAAAGATTAATATTTTAGTGGAAAATATATTTTTTCCTACAAAGTTTGTTTTAAAATTCGCGCGCTACATTTGGTAAACTGTTGATAATTGCAGGAACTGTTTTACCGGCAAATGTGAAATCATGAGTTACCAGTGTTACAGTATTTGGCCACCTGCTCTGCAAGAGACCATAATCCCCGCGTACACGCGACCTAGTCCCTCGCGGTTCTAAATACGATTTTTGATTTTTCTGAATATCGTGAATTAAGGAAATTATATTTTCAAAATTTTATATTAAATATTTAATTTGAAAATTGTTCAATATAGTAAATTCAGTCTCTCTCTCGCTGAGTAGGCCCCGTGTATTATCCACGGCGCGCGAGCGGTATCTCGCGAACGGTTGCTCCCTCGCGAATTCTGATTAGTGCAATCAATTTTTCCACCCCCCCCCCCCTATTGGTGCACCCCCTTTAATAATTTTTTTTTTGAATGGTAATTCTTTGACCATTTTTAAACTTTTTGTAAATTTTCGAAAAATCATCCTATTTTTATGAATTTTTTTTATAAAATGAATTACGTTCCTGTTAAGAAAGATTGTGATACTTGTCCATATGACCCTTCACATAGAATTTTGAAAGAGCGTATGACAAGACATCTTTATAAATGTCGCGAAAATAATTACCCAGCTTCAGAAAAAAAAATTGTATGTCCTAGAGACAACACATACGAAGTTAGAGAATTAAAATTATTAGAATACCACTTAACTAAATGTCACAGAAATTATTTTGTCCCTTACGTATTTAAATAATTTTTTTTCTCTCTTTTTCTTTTCTTCACTATCTAACAAAATGTTGATTCCTAATAATGATATAACTGTAAAACTTTGTAATGCAATTTGTCAAATTGAGAAAACAATTGAAAGCAATTCAGATTTAGAAAAAGATCATTGGGAAACCACAGAATTTTTGGTAAAAAAATTTTGTGTTTTGTTAAAAAATTTTTTTTTAAATAAATTTTTACAGTTAATACGCGCGGAAGTGTTATAAGATTAATATTTCTTAGTGCTTCTGCAGCCTTTAACATCTTGATTTTTCTTATTTAAAGGAAATAGAAATTAATTTTTATTTCTAATAATAATTAATTTTCTAAAATTCGGTCTCTCGAGTGGAAAAATATTACTTCCATTTTCGAAGAGTAAGAATTATTTTTCTTATTCCAATTGTCCAAAATTATCCATCCATTCTATAAAATAAATAATTAAAAAGATTAATTTTTATTCTTTGTAGTATTAGTTAATTTTGTGTTAAATTTTGCCTCTCGAGTGAATTATGTTCATTTTAGAAGAGTATGAATAAATTATCTTTATAAAATGGATAACCTTAATCCTAATCCATCTAGTCGTAGAAAAAGAGGTCATAAAAAGTAGAATTCTATTTCTGCAAATTCTTTAATTTTTACCAATTTAACAAAAGAAATTATTACTATTAAACCAACGGCAATTGTAAAGCCAATTGTTAGGATTCAATCAGAAATAGTAGTTCAAGTAAATAATATCAATCAAGATAATAATATTCTTGAAATTGATCTCACTATTGAAGAAGCCTTGATTCAGAGAAATAGGGCAATTTTTGAGGAAAATCAAGTGAGAAATGGAACAATAAACCCTATTAATGACGTAGAATTGATAGAAATCGATTGAGTTTCTTTAACACACTTTTTTTTGCTGTTTGTTTAATTATAGTGTCAGGATATTTCACAAAATCCAGAAAATTGTCTAAAAGACAAAGAGCCAGCTGGAAGAAGAAGCGTATGCAGGAAATAACCCTGAGCGGAGGAACGTGGCTCCCTTCCGACAAATACCGTAGGAATATATTAAAAATTAGGGCTCAAGATGCCGAGGCTTTTAAAGAGTCAACAATTTTCCCACCTCTGCCAACTGAAACACCAATACCACCGCCGCTACCCAAGGAAGATCCTCCTGAATCTTCCAAACCCTTCGTAAAACCTGAATTAAAACCATATGAATACATCCTTCGGATTAATACATCCTTCGGTTTTCAAAAAATTAAATTTAGATACTAAGATTGTTTTATTTAGAAAAAAACCTATGTAGGCATTTAAATAATCCTGTGATTTGTAAACAATGTATAATTAACTTTAAAAGTAATTATAAAATCCCTAAAAAGGATAATTGTAGCAAAGAAGAATCTACTTATAATAAAGTTTTAGATTAAAATAGAATAAAATTTTTGTTAAATAATTTTTGTTCTCTCTCTCTCCTTTAGTTACCTATGAGTCCAGGAATTAGTACCTGCTACTACAGCAGAAAATAAAGAAGAATTAATAAATGATTTGGACGTTGCTTTTGCTCGATTAAATATAAAATAATTGAATTTTAGAAATTTTTTTTTGAAATGAGTTATGTACCAGTTCAAGTAAATTTAATTACGTGTCCCTATGATCCATCTCATAGATTGAGACCAGAAAAAATCGTTAGTCACTTAATCAAATCCAGAAGGAACAATTATCCTGAATCTGAGGAGAAAATTATCTGTCCTCATACAGGATTGCATGAAGTACGCGTTATGGAATTAAGTTAGCATCTAGAAACTTGCAAAAGAAAATACTTTAAAATTTATAAAAGTTTATAGAAATTTTTATCTCCTTATTTTCTTTTATCGATTTGAAAATGAAAAAATTATAATTCAACAAAATATTGAAAAAATGATAAAAAAGGGAATTATTGAAAATATTCCATCTCCTTATTCAGCTCCAACTAAACAATCTTATAAAAATAGAATTGTTATAAGATTTTGAAAACCCATCACTTCCTTCTTCCAAAAAGAAATAAAAAAAGATAAATTTATTTCAAAATATTAAAATTTTGAACCAAATTTTACTGTTCATACGCGCAGATACACAACAACTGCATTAGCGCATGCGTGTCACTGCAGCATTGAATATTTTAATTATTTTAATTAAAAGGATAATTAATTTTAATTAAAAGGATAATTAATTTTAATTTTCTATAAAATTAAAATTAATTGCAAAATTTCTACTTTCTCTAATAGAATATATCTATTTTTGAAGAATCAGAAAATATCCTTATCATCCAAAGAAAATTTCTCTAATAAAAGGAAAAGAGGAAATTAAAGATTCGTAACTATTCCAAATAGTTCATGGATGTATCATAACTTGATCAAAAAACCTATCAAAATTGTTTCTACTGCAATTGTTAAGCCAACATTACGGGTTCCTATCCAAATCGAGCAGGTGCAACCCCTAAACTTTGTTGAGATAGATTTAACAGTTGAAGAAGCAATATTGTTAAGAACTCTAGCTCTTGCTGAGGAGAATCTAGTACGAAATTCTACATTCCCAGAAATTATTGATTTAACGGAATAGTGATTGATTCTTATATTTTTTTTTAGTGTCTGAATATTTTACGGCACCGAAGAAGTTGACCGGAACACAAAGAAAGGCTATTAATAGGAGACTAGCCAAAGCTAAAGCAGCGAAAGGAGAATCTTGGTTACCGATCCAAGGATTTAGGAGATTAAGAAGAGAGCGAGACGCTCTTAGCCAAAAATTAAACGTTATTGAAGAAGAACCTTTAATATTTCCACCCCTTCCCAAAGAAGTGGAAATTGTACCACTTCTACCTCTTCCTAAAGACGAAGAAATAAAAACAATTCCTTTTCCTTCTAAGGGAAACCGAGGTACACCGGTAGAAGTAAAGGTTCAACATGAAGAAAATTGTTTCATGGAATTACAAGTGACAAGAAATAACAAAACTTTCTTCTTAACCCCCAGAACACACATCCTAAAATTAACGGGAACACAAACCATGTGTAACAGTTTATTACCCTCATTATATCAAGTTAATGAAAATTGGTATAAGATCTTGCCATTGCCAGTGGAAGCACGAGCACCAGTCATCCTGCAACCATCCAAAACCAACGAATGGAATTATCTATATTAAATTGCTATTTTATTTTATTTCTTTCTAAATTCTTGTCATAATTATTCCTGTACTGAGAATGAATCGTACTACGTTAATCCTTGGATTGATCTTAGTATAAATTCATTCTTACATTCCATTTTTTTTATTTCCATTTTTATTATTTTAAATACAAGTGACTCCTAAAAAGACTATTTACCCTTGATTCCGAGACCAATTATTGAACTGTAGAAAATCTCAGTTCGAGAAAGATCTCATTCCACTTTTTATAAATTTTTCCATCCTTAATTTTCTATTAATCGAATCAAAGAATAGAAAAAAAAACAACAAAAGTAATCTCAAGCTATTAGACGCAAGTCTAGGCTTAAAATAAATAAAATATAATTGAATTTAATCAAAATTATATTTTTATTTAAATTTGATAAAAAGTATCATTACGAACCATAAAATTATTATTTTTGGGACG